AATTTCATGTTTTCTTTCAGCCTAACAAAGTTTCGTGGTTCGCAGGATCTCGATTAGGGAATCGTTTGCAATACAGATGCACTGCTTGCCCACGGTTTTTATTGCACTCGAGGTACACTTGCAACATATCAGTTAATTGACTGAAATCCATTTAAAAAAATTTAGCCAGCAACCACAGTAAAGTGTAATGTTGTTTCCATGGCATTCCATAAAATTTCTCACGATTTCTGTTACATTCGATGCGTAAAGAAGATTGTTTCCTTGACATGCCAGAAAATTTTGAAAAACTAGCTTCTTTAATTTTCTGTGTAAAAAATTCCAATCAAATATCAAATTCAATTAACAAAACATAATCATGCAATTTAAAATATATAAGTCAACCATAATAATAATTTAAAACATTCTAATTACGGCCGTTTTGTAGTATGTTTACAATCATGAAATATGGTTTTTGTTGCATTTAATTCGGACAAAAACTGTAGGCGCTACAGGTTGAGGCGTTTTTTAAGTTACATCCTGTATTGTATCCAGACGATCCATTTTGCCTTTGTGGATGCTCTCCTCTCAGATATCCCAATCGCCCTTTGTTGAGTACTCTCCTCCGACACTGTGCTCTTTGAATATAAGAAATTATCACCGATCACGTAAAAGGGCCGAGGAGAACCGGTTTAACCTCCCCCCCCCCTCCAACTCTGATAAAATGTGGGCGAAAAGGGCGGTAGTTGATAGGGAACAGTTCCTTTCATTGAGACCTTTCATCAGATTACCATGAAAGGTAAAAACATTTCCGCCCTCCGTCTTTCCACGTCACTCTCTTATCTCTAAAAGCAGTCGCGGAGGAAAGTGGTAGAAACCAATCCCTTTCGATGACACCTTTCATTAGACCATGAACGGTAAAAAGTGTGATTACCCCACCTCCCATTTTGAAAATTTTATTTGCCAGGCGCATACCAAATCTGACACAAAAAGACGCAAATGAATATGATGCACCTTTTACTTCCAAACAGCATCTCGAAAAACAATTCATGGGGGGAGGAGGCTTAAAACAACAAAATTTGAAGACTCTGCAAAAAATTCAGCGCAATTACCTAAAATGAGTTCAATACCGCGGAAGGGGATCCGGACAGAAAAACGTACAAAACGCAAACAATAGCGCACTTTTTTAAATAAAAAAAGCATACTAAAAATTTACAGAGCATTCCGTAAAAATACTAATTTGTTGAATGTTTTAATAAACCTATGCGCAACTACTCTTCTAATTTAATTATTCTAATTTTGTCATAGTCACTATGCAGATAATTTTGACCTGTAAAAGGTGGCGTAAAAGATTTTATTGTTTTAAATAGCCCAGAACAAGAGAGGGATAACAAATAAATAAATAAATAAATTTGGCTCCAAATAACATGTATTTGGAAAGTGCACACCATTTTATTCCCGGCACAACTTTTGGCAGCCAAAAAACCTCAAAATGTTTGGAATTTTTTCAGTTTTTCGCTTAAACCTCGAAAACGGTCCATATTTAATGAATAACACTTATTTAGTGAATTAAAGAAATTAAAGAAATTCGGCGGTGATCAAAAGATGAACAAACAAAATCGGTCCAATAGAAAAAATTTTACAAGCGATCAAAGAACACCGATTTTTTCCAAGCTTTCTAAAAAAACTTAGTGCGTTGTGGCTCCTTGCTTGTTTGCTTGTTCATTTTTTTCACTGTTGATCGACGCAGAATTGTGTTTTCTTTAATATACTTACTAAAGAAGTGTTATCCATATAAAGTATAGACCGTTTTCGAGTTTTAAGCGAAAAACTGAAAAAAATACGAACATTTTGAAGTTTTTTGGCTGTCAAAAGTTGTGCCAGGAGAAAATGGGTGTGTACTGTTCAAATACATGTTATTTGGACCCAAATGGACCATTTAAAACGATAAAATCGTTTACACCACCTTTTGCAGGAATCGCCCCTTCTGAATGCTCGGGCCGTAGCCAGATTAGTTACTAAGAGCGGGCAGGAAAAATATTAATAATTTGCTGTGTTCTGCCGAAGGAATTCGTTTTTAGCGCAATCCACGAAAGTGGTGCGCTTATGACTTCACATTTCCGTCCGTCTGCGTGTCGTTCCGTACTATAGCTCAGTGGCTAAACCTCGTATTGACTATCAAAAATGAACTTTGGCATTCATCACGTGTTATAGCCCTAAATTGGTCAAAATTATTATTTATGCACCAATTTTGTTGAGAAAACGATCAAGCTCGATTGCTCGATGACCAAGAAATGATACATTTCTATTTTTGGCGACCAAAATATTTTTATCTAAAGGATGTCAAAATTGTTATTTATGCATCGATTCTCTTGGGAAATTCAATTGCGCAATGCCCAAGAAGTGGTCCATGTGTTTTTTTTGTTCACAAAAAATGTCAAAGTCGTTATTTATGTACCGATTTTCTTGGGAAGAAGAACTCGTCGACTTCTAGTTTTCATCAATACAGATAAATAACCGTATGAAACTTGGTCACTAAGTAAGGAATTTTACTATTACAAACATTAGTTACGGGGGTGTCGAGCTAAATATAGCCCAGGGCGTTAAAAACATAGCCCGGGGATATATTTGCCCGGGGTCTGACTGTTACACAGATTATTGAGAATGAAGTAAACATGGGATGCGTTCTTTACCTTTAATTTTACTTTACCACTGAATAAAGAATCTGAACTTTATTCAATAGCTGGCATAATAATAATAATAAATTAATTATTTTAGCACCTGAGTAAGTCTAAGTAGCGTTTTTTCATGTTAGGAACAGTTTTGGTTTATACGAGTACAAATTTTAATATCGTTGATTAGTTCGATTAGTTGATTGATTAGCAAAGGCGAGCGGGAAGCAAATATATTTTGCTTGGTCTAACAAAAAAGTGTAGTACAATTTTTTAAATAATGCAATCAACCAAATGCGCTTCATAACATGACAATCGTTATCATTAGGTATATAAAAAATAATCGCGTACAAGAACCTGCAAAACAAGCGTGTCGCTAAAAAATCATTTCAAAATACAGATCCATAATGATATTTGTCCCTTTGATAGTTTATAAATTCGAATTTCGAGGATAAATTACCACTGCATGAGTGTTCAAATATGCTCATTCGTGTAGACGGCGAGTTGAATTTCATTTTTACAACCGGTATAAAGAGGTATAATTTGCTATCAGCATTCGAGTGCAGCTATCAGCTTTCAAGATAAATTTATTCAATGTTATCTTTTATGAAGCGCCAAAAGCGGCATCTAGTTTTGTATAACCATGGTATAACCCAAATATTTAACATTTTACTTCGCAACTGCCATCTGTATATGTATAGTACAATTTTAATGTTTAGGGTAATTTTCCACGCTTAGCAAGAGAACACGAGGGATCGGGACGCGGGTCTTAAGTAAGTATGTGCAAAACCAAATTTTGGACATGATGATTGCTTTTATTTAAAGTGTATATGTATGAAATTTCATTTAATTGCTTCAGTAAATAAAAAAGGTGGTACTGCACATCATGCACAAAACCAAATTTGGAAACTGGCGCTATACATTTGCTTTTATTTTTTATTTAAATGCCTCTATAAATAAGAAAGTTGACACTTTTGAAACTTGCGTTAAATTTGTTTTTATTCCAAGTGGCTATATGTATCAAATTTCATGCAATTCGGTTCATAACTAACGGAAGATGTCAAAAGGGCCTTCTTTACTCCTTGGCCTACATTGCCAATTCACAAACTCCGATCTACAAATTTGATGAAGAAACTCCACCTGCAAAATTTCATCGTAATTGGTCCATTCGTTTACGAGATATCGACCTAACGGACGCACGGAGAGACACCGCAAAATGATAAACTCGCTGGGTGTCGATCGTTGGCTGTGAGAGCCAAAGAAATCTGCATGTGCGTACTGAACTTGGCACAGAAGACGTATAACAATTTTATTGCCAAACAGTTAACAACAAATTACGAACAAATAAAAAGTAAGAATTTAAATTATCAAATGACGTTACATGAAAATTGAAGTGAAAAAAATAACAAAACAAGAATTAAATTAGAAATAAGGCATGTTCATGAATTTACGTTAGTCTGTAAGATTTTGTTCAAAATAATTCCAAGTGGTATTATTAATATCTAAATCCAAAGATAAGTTTATAGTCGACGACATGCAGCATAGGTAGGAGATAATAACATTATATTGCTACTATGCGATCAAAGAAGAGTTGCTGTCGAGTCACCTTTGGAATTTTTGTTTACATGAGATATCATATTTAACTTGAACTTCCAAAGACTCGACGTCAATCCTTTTTTGATCGCCATTCGCCCGTTATTAACTTGTGGTAAGTAACACAAAACAGATTTTCTTGTGAAATATATAAACTATACAGTACTGCATCATAATTTTCCAGGACCAACCCCGGCCACTATTGGTTGGATTGAAGGTACGAAATTAAAATGGCAAAAATGTACGTATAGGTATATTTAGTAAAATTGGCAGTTCTTATTTTAGAATATTTGACCAGGTCTGTGTCACCGATTTTTCGCGAAAATATGCTAATAAATTATCAGGAATTTTAGAACTACTGATGCTCTTTTCAAAACTCTAAAAAAAGTTCATTTTTGACGCAACGGGAGCTTCGTGAAGTTTTCTCTCATATTTATAAAATTGATTTTTTATGACTTATCCGGTCGGAACTCTGTCTAATATTTATCAAGAAGTAAACAAAACTCAAATGACAATTGCTCAATTTTATAAATGAGAGGATCGCTTCAAACGTGCGGAAAAGTTATTAGATCTGGCTTTTAGAAAATTGAATAACTTTAATATTCAAACCAAATGTGAAAAAGATGTATTTGCGGATAACGGAGATAATTGACCGTTTCGGGACTTTCAATTTGGTATTTCCAAATTATTGAATCATAAGCGTCCCACCTGTCCACGACGCCCCGGGATCTCAGTTACACGTCACGCCACTGGTGTCGTACGTAAAAATACCGGTTAATGAAGAATGTTTACGTCACAAACGATTTAAACTTTTATGCAAATCATTTACGAAACAGTTACGTCCAGAAAAAAAGTTATATATTGGGAGGGTTACGACCTCAACCTCGACTTCTACACATCACGTATTCGTTTGTGTTGAAATCGGTAGATAACGATAAACTGATTATTTATGCAAGTAGGGAAGGCATAACTTCCCCATTCCATTCACCATTGGAACAGGAACTGGTAGCTATTTATTTACTTTATGCACTATGGAAACTTTGTGATAATTTCTCTTTTAGCTTAACATACCACAATGGAATGCAACGATGTTTACATTGTTTCAGCATGTAGAACAGCAATAGGTGCATTTAACGGACAATTTAGTAAAATCCCAGCAATTAATTTGGGAAGTACTGTTATTCAAGAGTGCTTTAAAAGAGCAAATGTTTCTCCTGAAAATGTATCGGAGGTGATAATGGGCCATGTGCTAACGGCCGGTCAAGGGCAAAATCCAGCTCGTCTGGCTTCTAAGAATGCTGGCATTCCGATCGAGGTTCCCTCGTATACGGTAAACATGTTGTGCGGTTCGGGGTTGAAGGCGATTGCCTTAGGGTACCAATCCGTTAAAAGTGGTGATTCGGATTTTGTAATCTGCGGTGGTCAAGAAAACATGACGTTAGCCCAACATGCCGCGCATGTTCGCGCTGGAGTTAAGTTTGGAAGCATTGATCTGAAGGATACGATGTTGGTGGATGGATTAGTTGATACTTTCCACGGTGTACACATGGGAGTGACTGCTGAGTTTATTGCGCAAAAGTATAATGTGTCACGTGAGGCACAAGATAATTTCGCTCTTCAATCTCAGATGAAAGCCGCAGAAGCTATTCGTAATGGTCACTTTGTGAAAGAAGTTGTTGCTGTAGCCCAACTGAAACCTCCGATGTTACTGACCAATGATGAATTTGTAAAACCAGACACAAGTATAGAAAAGCTTTCCAAACTGAATACGCCCTTTGAAAAGGATGCATCAAAATCTCCATCGGTCACGGCAGGAAATGCGTCCGGTATTAATGATGGTGCAGCCGCAGTAATGCTGTGTAGCGCTTCACAGATAAAATCGAGAAATCTGAAGCCGTTGGCCAGAATTGTAGCCTTTGCTCAAAGTGGGTTGGAACCAATGGAAATGGGACTTGGCCCCGTGAAGGCCGTAGAACTTGTTTTGAAAAGGAGCGGCTGGAGTAAAGAGGAGGTGGATTTGTTCGAACTGAATGAAGCATTTGCTTCACAATCGCTAGTTGTAGTTGACCAATTAGGACTTGATGTTAAGAAAATTAACATAAGTGGTGGTGCAATCGCCTTAGGTCATCCTATTGGAGCTTCCGGTGCCAGGATATTGGTCACTTTAATTTATAATTTACAGCGTACACAACTGACTAAAGGTGTGGCTGCCTTGTGCATAGGTGGTGGAATGGGTATAGCCATGGCAATAGAGAGGTTATGATACGTATCAGTTTTGCTGATACATTTGTACCCCGTCTGATATTTCAGTATTCAAATAGGTTGTATAGATCCAGGGAGAGTGAATTCAGATTTATATTTCTTATAGTGGTGGTGAGCAACTGAAGTGCTATTAATTCGATTGACATACCTAACTGTATGTAACTTTTATCATTTCTACTTTATAAGGCAATGTTTTCTGTTTATATTTATATATGGTTGTGAGTGAAATGCGACAAAAATTTATATACGTTGGAAATAAAGATGATCTTAATATAATACGTTAAGTTTGTGATGTAAAAGCACATGAAGATGATCTGACTAGACTAGACTTGTCATAATTATCATGTGTGCAACTTTTACATCTGTTCAATTACAGAAACAAGCAATATCACGATTTAATTAATTTAGAAATACTCAAAAATATAACTTCAAAATGTTTAATGAAGTCTTAAGTGAATGCTCTTATCTTTAAACAAAGATGTTATAAATTTATAAATGTTATCCTAATTTCATGATAAGTCTATATAATCTTTAATGTTGTCTGTTTCATTTATTGTAAACATCATTTAGTAAGTCCATTATTTTTACAGAGTTAACTTTAAGCTTTGATAATGGCTATGAAAATTTTACAATGCAAGTGTGGGAAACACAAATCCTGTACTACCATAAAAATTACAATGGCATGTAGGAGGGAATTGTTAAAAAGAAATTCTTATATCTTTTGTCCCGTTACTTTACGTACAGAACAAGAAGATCTATTCAATCTTGTCTTTCCCCATCAATTTTTAAAAGTCCGAAGATCAGCGCTGGCGAATATATGAGCCTGATCAAAAGGTGAGTTTGTGAACTGGTTCTGGTTTACCATTATAGGCGTATACAAAAAGAGCACTACTAGAAATTGATGGTGATTGTTCACATCTATTCTACTAACGCTTTTTCTAAACCCCTATTGCAATGAGAATACAATTTAGCTATATAAAAATTTTTTTATTCAAAGTTAAATTCTATCTAAAACAACGTGCCTATTTCTCTCACATTAAAGAACGATAATCTGACAAAAATTCTGTAACGTGTAACTAGGCCCATATATATTTTTTTACATACAGTGATATTTATTAAGTAGTAGCATTGAATAATAATTCAGATTTATTATTCAATGGTAGTAGACATAGGTATTTGTGTATTGTTTTTCCATATGTCTACTTTTTTAAAAGAGAAAATCCTTCTGAAGGGCGCCTATATGCAACCAAAATAATTTCTTGAAACAAATAAAGATCTCGCTGTCATATTAATTTAAATATTGTTACTTTGGTTTCACAGAAAATAAATCTATTACGCTCCTTAAACCTGTTACCAGCACACGAACGAAAATAAAAATACGGAAGCCAAAGCGACAATATTGAAAATACTTAATTAATATGCCAGCCAGATCTATTTATTTTAAGAAATTAACTTGAGTGATAAAATACTAGGACCACATACGTTGTGTTTTCAAAAGTCGCTACCTACAAGATATACAGTGATATTCATATAGAAGTAGACATAGGGATTTCCTATGTCTACTTTTAAATGATAAAAAGCCTTCTGAAGGACGCCTAACTTTATGCAACCAAAATAACTACCTACAACAAAAAGATCTGTCTGTCATATTAATTTGAATATTATCGCTTTAACTTCCGTATTCTCATTTTCGTTCGTGTGTGATGTATTCAACTAAAGAAAAAGTTGATATATCAAATTGGCATAGTGGCGGTAACGGTTAAAGTAGATTAAGAGATTTAATTTCTGTGAAGTCAAAGCAACATTCAAATCAATAATTAATATGGCAGCTAGATCTTTTGTTTCAAGAAGTTATTTTGGTTGCATAAAATTAGATGTCCTTTAGAAGACTTTTTGTCATTTCAAAATAGACATAGGAAATCCCTGTCTACTTATACATGAATATCACTGTATATGTCTTGCTTGTCTCAGTGAACATTAAGTAAGGTATACAAGTAAAATAGTACATATGCTTTAAAAACAGAAATTTAATCAGAATAAATTACATAATTGTAAGAATAAATTTAGAAAATGATAGTTCACCGAGTGCAAATAGAAATAGGCTAGGAAAAAAAGAACTGACAACGAAAAAAACCAGTCAACAAAAGTAATATTAATTGTTGGTAATGACATAAAATGCGTATTGGAATAATTGCGAGAATATTTTTATGAAGTATAAGTTCATAAATTGTCATATCATAGGCTCCATTGGAATTTCTAAAGAAAATATAGTGCACACATAACAAAACAACAAACATTATAATAAATTCACATAAGTTTGTATGTATTAGGTAGCCAGTTCAAATACAATCACACTGAATGAGGGAAACCCCTATAGTGGATACAACAAATGAACCCACTAGTCCCTAAAATGAATGAATTTCAATAACGGATTAGCGATTATATTTATGGAAGATGCGAGATATTCCTTTCCTTTTCGGTACTGTCTAGCTATAGATCCTAGACCAGTGCACTAGACACTCCTAGAGACACTATCATAAATGAATGTATAGGTAATTTTCTATTCTTCAAAAACTCAACATTATGACGTCTTTATTAAGTGATATTTTGAATATTACAAAAAAATCAAACACGTCTATAAAATCAACACTGTTTGTCCAAACCGATAAACCTTTAAAATATAATAACAACCATTAAAAAAAAAAAGCTGTAAAATTACAATTCTCGATCACTTAAATGCAGGTAGTAACTAACCATCAATTCTATTTTCTGTGTATAGACCGATACACTATAAATGATGCCAAAAAGGGCCACAAAACTAAAAATCCTATTAACTGTGCAGACATTCCGTTGAAAAATGTCTTGTGATGCTTTTTTAGTGATGCTCCTTCCAAACCACTTTTGGTATTTTCTAATACATTAACTCTATGTGATAAATGTTCTACGTCTATTCTTAATTTATTAATTGTTTCGTTTATCTCCTGTGTAATATCAACATTGGAATATGGTGCATTTTTCGGTTTCATCCGTGACGGGTTGTCTTTGAATCCATAACTATTAAACATACGATCGGTCGGAATTATCCCATTCTCTAGAGACCTCCGGGGCTCGGGAATCTAAAGACTACTGTATCAGCTCTAGTCACTTGCTAATGATTTTTTACCTCGACTGAATCGATGTATTCCTCATCGCTGTGATCCGACTCTTCCGTACTTGAGGAGATGTCAGATGGTGAAGTGCTCACATTGGAATGTATTCTATTGGGTGACGTATCTCTCGAACCTAATGGAGAATTCGATCTTGATCGTACTCTTTCCATAACATCGCCAACTATAAGTTCCAAATCGGCCATATTTAAAGAATCTATTTCACTTGGTGATGCTTCCAAGAAATTCTCGACCTTATCTGAGTAGCTCATTGTCTCAACAATTCTGAAAAGATGAAAATATCTTCATTTTCCATTTTCAAATATTGCTGAAGAAATTTACACTAGCATGTATGTGTGAAGACTATAAAACTTTATATGGAATGAAATCAAACATTATAATTATCCCATTAACCCCCACCTTTCTATTTGTTTCAGTCCACTGTAATAATATAACTGTAGTGAAGAGAGAAGATGATATTGTTTTATTACTTTTATTTCATGTCGATATAAAATGTGAAATTGCGACGATTTGTATAAATAGCCATTAAAAATCATGCTAGTAGATATGTTTTCATTATTAAAATACAAGTTGTAACCATTGTATCGATTTATCCCAACAAAAAACATGCACATTCTAAGAAAAGGTGGTTTTAAGCCTTCCATCAGTGTATGGGATACAAACAAAGAGGATATCCCCAGAAGATCAAACTCAACTGAATCTGAATCTTGTTAGAACTGGTTTCTATATCCGAGAATAACTACAAATGTATATAAAATTAAGAAATGGTGTTAAATTGCAAATGCATTAGTGTTAAATGATTTTCATTATTTGTCCAACAGTAACTTATTAGCGAAACTTGCAATTGGAGTAGATTTGGCAACGCTGTTCTCCTATATTGGTGTACTGCCATCTGAATGCTATAGTAGATTTGTCTTTAATGAAATGGTAAAAAATAAGTTTACAAGAAGATTGCTAATCTGGCCAGTTAGAGCTTGGAAACCTGAGATTATAGCAAAGTTATCTAAAGCGTCAACGCCTACCACACCATTTATTTATTTTAAAAATTCGGACAAACCGTCTAGAATGCTGTTCATTGACGTGGTTGTGGAATGTGGGACTTATGCGGGTCAATGATCAAGGGGATGTATAATGTTAGAGGATGGTTTGGATTATTCCTCATGTCAGTTCGACATATGACAGCCCCAAGTGAGACTCCCGACTACAGGAACCGCTCATGGTACAATAAGACAAGGTATGCCTATGCGCACGTGCTCGTGACGTCATTGGGATAACTGGGCTCTACCACTCAATGAAGTAATGGGGTTTGTGTAGTCCTACCAGTGTGTATCTTCTTTACGGATGTGATAAGATTTGTTCAATCGATGTCAACGGCGTCAAGTTTCTCACATTAAACTTACAAAGTATCAATTACTGCATGTTATCAATACAAATACTTAAAGTTACAATAAAAATATGTAAGTAAAAATTATATTCGTTCCCAAATAAGGACGAGACCTCTAGCGGCAATAAAAAAAAATCTTAAAAGGCTGATTAAATTTCTGAAATAAGTACAGTAAGTGGTACGTTTAGCTTCTCCGTTGCCTGGAAATTATTTTTAATGTATCCAGTGCGATTACTCAACCAACATTAAAGAGGTGATCTCAATCTCTTGTCACATAAGATTTCCAAGGGTTTAAAATGTGTCTAGTGCAGGGGTCGGCAACCTGCGGCTCGCTTTTGATCTAAAGTTGCGGCTCTCTGCATTTATCTAAAAAAATTAGTTCATTTTTTCGAAATTCATGTTAATGAATCTTATTTTATTACGATATTGAAAGTTTGTCTTCTTAATTAATAAGAAAAAAACTTGAATAAGTACCCTAAAAATTATGAACTTTAAGCACAGGACACCTCGTATAAAAATTGAACAGGACACAAAACACAATCGAATAGCGAAATAAAATAGTGGTATTTGAAAATTTGAAAAATAATAGTTATGGTACTTTGAACAAATGACATTGAAACAAGCACAAATATTCAGGATGTTCTATTTAAAAAAATCATTTATTTATTGACACTGTAAAAATGCGATACCCTGTACATTCAAAAATAATTTCTGTAGATCCGCAACCATCTATAATTGACATTTGCACACAAGATTTTTTTTAATCTTTACCAGGTATAATCTAGCAAAGACGGATGCACTGTTGCAGGACTCTGTACATGACCAAATATTATAGTATTGATTCCAAAATTTTTAGTGGCTCTTTAAAAACTGGGAAATTTTGCAAATTGTAACTTTAGGCTCTTCCGTTTCAATAGGTTGCGGACCCCTGGTCTAGTGCAATATGTTGCAACTCAACTATAATTATAAATCGAGTTTCAAAAAGCATCTCTTAATGCACTAAAGTTCCAAGGACATAAAGTGTGCCTATGTGTGACTATGCAACTAATAAATACAGTTTAAAAAAGCATATCTTAATGCACACAAGACTTCCAACTATTTAAAATGCGCCCAGTGTAATTACGCAACCAAAATAATTCTCCCTTTAAAACGCAATTGTTAACTCACAATTCACTTAGGTGTGGTCTGCGTGCAATCACTATTATACCTAAATCCACAAATCTCTATCTTCAGAAACCTGGTCTCCCACCAAAATTTGGACACCATGTACCAGCTTATATGTATACAAGAATATAAGGTGCTTTTTTTTAACAAAGTGTTTAAAAAGATGTCCACTAGAGGCTGTTACAGGTGGTCGCTTTAGGCTTTAAAGTGTTAAATGTATCAATTTGCTGGTATAGAAAATTAAAAGTGTACCAAGGAATGAGAACAAAACTTTTTGAGAAAATAAAACGAGTTAAGATAAGAAACAAGGTTTCAAGTAGATAAGAGTCGAAACGTCACGGTATTGACACGCACAGACCTCAAAAGTTTCTGAATTTGTATGAGGGCACGCTTTTCACAAAAGCTGCATTCAGAAAAAGAGGGTTGCTTCGTGTTTTGAATTCGACAAGATATTTAAGTAAAAATTTGGTGGGAGAGCGGGATTCTTACTAACATTTTTGAAAATAATCTATGACGCTCGAATGTCACATTTTCTCGACCGCGTACTGATTTCTTGACCGAACCTTTGGTGCGAACTTATGTATTGTGATTTGTGAACGCGGAGATTTATATATAGCGTACAACGAAATTCTTCGCCAAACTGTCAAGGTAAATATTGCGATTTGTGTACGCCATTTTGGGATCGCCGTGTGAGAGAATCGTTGGCCTCGCAATCGAAGACGATGCCGGTATCTTGAACGAGTTTTTATTAAACATGGGTGTCTTCTCAATTCGTTACGAGTTGCTACCAGAAGTAAATTAATAATACGTGGCTAGTTTATGCAGAACGGGAATTTCATTTCGTCAAAGAAGCGATCGGACGGCAATATGATTTTCAACCGAGAATATTGCTAACGGTGCCGTGTTAATACACAAGCTAACATTATTCGTTTCGGTGCATATTTGGATTATAGTGTTCGCGTTTAAATAGAAACTACGAAAGCGTTGGGTTTCAAGGTTCAAAGCATTCCGTTACCCCAGAATGTGTAGTGGCAAGTAACGTAAAAAACCAATTTACTAATGGAAGGTAGGCATCTATTTTATTTATATGAAGTGTGAAGAAAATTATGAACAGAACGGCCACTGGTAAAAAGGTTAAAGACAATTAATTCAAGTTTCTGTTTGTTGTTCAATGGCGGCGCGAGTTGGTGGCAAGTAGGCTTTTGCCATCCATTTGCGTAAAGAAGGCGCTGAAATAGACGGCTAAAATTGCATACAAATTGGAAAAATTATTCAAACACAAACAATTTGGACAACATTAATTACGATATGAATTTCCATGACTCGGGGATTGTAAAATTGCCTTCAACCTTGCTATTTATCACCGTTCAGCGAAAGAGAAAATAAGACTAACACCTTAGTTAGATTACATATACCTAGATATAGTCTCCCATCTACTTTCAATGAGAAGCATCTGTACCAGCATACATAACACAGACAGAAATATACAGCATGTGGCATCGAAAGGCGGGACATGTAAATTTAAAGGAGGTTAATAATGGCTAATTATTTTAGAGGAAAAACCTATTTAGGTTATTTGAATAGCATTAAACTGCGCATCTAAAAGAATAACCTTCGATGTTTTTGATTTACCCCTATGTTGTAATTTCTCCTTTCTTATCACCCCGATGTATTGTATTGTAACCGTTGTAATTTGTTTATTTAGATTTGCTGTATTGTGAAGCATGAAATTGCGTTTTAAAATGTAGCGCCATCTGGTTGTTTGCGATAAGAAGTTTTGTTATGGGACGTAAGTTAATTAACGCACGTGTTCTGGTGCTGATACCAAGAGATGCAGCTGATCAACGATGTGCGCATTATTTTCGGTGTAAGTGGGGATGCGTTCCTTGGCAGCATTATCTAATCTAATTATGATTGGCGCTTTATTTGTAATACCTACTGGAAGAATATTATTCTATGTTGGAGGTGGTCATTATTTATTTAGTTGTTTGTGGCCCGAAATCTAGCAACCATGTCTTTCCATGCATCTCCAACTGCTACGGTTATTAGTAGGTACTAGTCAAAAGCATATTTGAAATTGTGATGAAATATTTTTGGAGGTAACCAACAATCTTTGAGGAGGGTTTTGATTATACGAGGAGATAAAAAACCAACATTCCGCAAGGTAAAAGTAAATGTAACTAGCCAGTTAAATGATGCTAGCACAGCTTACTTACTATCCAGCTGCACAACTCTCTTGGCGGGAGCGGTTTGCGCCGATCTACGCGCGCAGCGCTTAAGCCCCGCCTCTTGGGGTAAAAGACTACATTGCCTGTTTGGCGTGCAATCAAGCCCAGTGTTGCCACGTTGGCCATTGTCCCAAATTCAATTCAATTAGGCAATAAAATGTATTAAACACTAACCCTACTTTCATTGCAATATTACGTAATATTGTACAGCAAATTCTAAACGTTCACATTACAATACAGCTCAAAAATCACCTACTACGGTACTGTGAAGCGACCGCGCGATGAAAATTCGTTTAATCCGGCCCCGACTTTTACCCCAAGCGAGAGAAAGAGGGCACCATTCCATCTCGCTTGGTTGTAGACCGCCAGATCAAAGGCGCCGCTCGAGAGTTGCCGAGCTGGATAGTAAGTAAGCTGTGGTGCTAGCATGCAGACTAATTTTCACTGCAACAAAGATTTTATGAGCTGTGTGTAGTATTTTGTCTGTAATTGTCGCATACACACTTCGTCAAGCCTGTCGATACATAGAATCGATTGAGAGTGTCGACTTAATGATGTGTTTTTGTTTTAACGTTTTTTGACAGTCGACATTAAGCCATATGAACTTATTAATGACCCTAAGTTCATGCTGCCTACTGCTACTGTAAATTAGACAGCAATACAAACGAAACATTAAGAGCCTGTTTCTCGTGTGCCAGTTAACCTTAATTGAAAGATAATTTACTAAGTGAACAGATTTGGTTCCATGAAAACTCAGATAGAGTTAAGCGCCACACGGATTTATTTCCATAGCTTAATCTGGTCACAACGCGTTCCCTTAATATATTATCAAAACGTACTTACGTGTGTAATTCATCCACATAATGTTTCATTGCGTCCTGCTTCGACATATTTCCTAGAGCCTTATAGGCATCATATTTAGCTCTACCGACAATGTCCCAAAAAGCGGGACGAGATGTCTTGCATGGACCTTGCGTTGCCTGTTTATAATAGGCATAGAAACGCAGCATCAAAGCATTGCTTGGCTGATACGATCCTAAAAAGGGTTTAACAGATGTAAAAACGGCATTCAAAGCAACAATAATCAATATCAATTTGCAAAAAGGAGTGAACTTTCAATTTTAACCTAGTTTTCTAAACAATTTTTAATAATTTCTACCATTTTTTGGTAAACTTCTTATCACATTTACGGCTGCGTGAAATTTTTGTTCGGTTGTCATGATGATACTTTGTTTGCAGTTACGCGCTGACACTGTGCAATTTTTTCCAAATCATAGTTAATTAAACAATACCAATACTTCGGACTTTGATTAACATTTTTGTTGATTACATTTTTTGTCGTGTGAGGTGGGGACGGATTTTGCCTTAGCAAAAAAAAAATTCGACGCACAGAAACCTCTGGCGGTTAGGTTCCACTAAACACAAAAGCAAAACAGGAAACTGCGAATGTATGAGATTTACCATATATATTACAAGGTGCTACATTTGACACAGAAGTATCAACATTGTATATGCAATACATGGTATACAGGATGGTAACCTGCGCAACGCATCATATTTCAATGCAAAATTAATAATATTCGATTATTGGCTCCCCAAATTATTTTAGAGCAAAAATGTATTAAAGTTTTTTTGTAGAACAATTTTTTTACGCCAAACCACCGTTTTCAAGTTTTCAATTTTTTTCATATAAAGACGGAAAATTGGAAAAATAAAACCCGCATCTTTTTCAATAATCTGCGATGCCATGGAATTTTCTTAAAACAAAAAGATATCCAGTTATCAATTTACAGCAGTTCGAAATGGATTTTATGATCGACTTGGTTACTAGTCTTGCAGTTAATGGTGACTTATTCGAACATTTATTATAAATTGCTATATTAGGAAACCGTTTTTAGTAATTTGGTCTTTCTTTATGTTGAATTCGCTGTTTTAAATATAATACTTTTTCATAGAATTTGATTTGTTTTATTACCTGCCTGACGGCTCGCCAGTCAACTTCTCCTATCGCCAGTAAAAACTCACTTACCTGGCTAATAATGTAAAATACTATTGGGGTAATATTCACATTTTTTTTACACTCGACTGGCGCTCATTTTAGCCAGTGTCATATCTCAGATGGACAAAGTTTAAATAAACTGATTTAGCTGCAATTTCTATGAATGATGAAGAGCACGAAATCCAGAAACGCAGGAAGAAATGGGTCCACGACATTTTGAGTAACTAGGTACTTACCTAAATGAAAAACCGAAGGAAAATTTGCAGACTGTAGACGATGAATGACAAGACAAGTGTCTCTAATGTAAATACCTACCTACAACATCCATTTGGACCGCACGTCATGCTTACGATACATGTATAAACTTATTTATAGTAAATTATAACAAGCCTTTCCATAGGCTAACTAGTACAGAGAAGAGTTGTTACTATGCTGGGATGAAGATGTTTAACAAACTCCTCGCAGAGGTAAAAGTTGTTACAGCTAAAAAGTAAAAATGCATTTAAAAGAGCTATCACTGAATTGCTCTACGATCTAGATCCTTATTCCGTGGCCGAGTATTTAAACAGGTAATTCGGTACATTTGTGTTAATTCTTTCGAAGTTTATTGTTTCATATGTTTATTTATATTGTGTTTGTAAGCATATTTTACAGTTCAATTAAATATTATTATTATTATGAGACACAACAGTTTCAACTCCACACGTTTGCAGAATGTGCAGAAGAGACATTTTAAAAATTCAAATTAAATTTCCCAAATTAATTCCTAGATGTCTGATGACTTACCTCGGTGATTGGACAACACACATCGAGCTGTCAATGGCAATTCTTTTCGATGCTTTTGTGACAAAGTTTTTTTATCGTTTTGCGCATCCGACAGAACAGGGGTTTCTTGGTTTTTTTTATGTGAGTCTACCAGTTCAATTTTTCCTTTATTTCAGAAGTGTTAATGAAATAATATTGCAATAGTTTTAATTCCATTGTTTTATGTCATTGTTGTGAAATACTCCTACGGTTAGGCAACACACCTTACATTGGAGGAGAACACTATGTGAAAAGTACGAAACGCTCTGTATACACCACCTCGATCTTCGACTTTGACCGTTCTGAGGAGCTGCCGAAAACCCTAGAATTTAGATCAGTGGTCGTGACCTTATAGAGAAGCTTTGATTATAAACTAACTATATTCAAAGTAGAGAAGGAAAGAGAAAGGGGTGATAATAATGATAGTAAAATGAAGCCAAGATAGTTTGTTTGCTCACGCAAAACATGGTCTGTGCATTGCCGTAATCGACTTAAAATCGTTATTTTTTTATTTGCGACATTTTCAATTAACTACATGCGAAATTAAATTACTCACTAGAAGGGGGGGGAGACACTTTGTGACCCGAACGCCCATATCTTTAAATCAGTATAATTTTTGTTTAAAAAGTGATTTTAAAAAACTGGTTGATAATTTTCATCAAGTACGAATTTCGTGGCATTCTCTGCATTTTCGTTGTCAAGCCGAGAATTGCAGTGGAATTTTTTTTCGAATTTTCAAAAACTAAATTCATATTCGTGATTATTCAAAGACGTACATCAGTCTTTCTAACCCTTATGCTTGCTGAGAAAAAAATTAAAGAAGAAATGCAAATTTCGCCACTTTTTTGAGGGTGGCTTCCAAACGAAACACGTTGGACCCTTGGAAAAAATGCTTGTTTTGATCACAGACCATCAAGTTTTGATCCCCTCTTCTACACAACTTTTTTTACATACTGCTATGTAGCACCCTGTATATGGTACTATCTAGGTGTTTTCGTTTTCATAGATGGCGCACCCATACAATTTAGGTTTACAGAGCTCTACTTTGAAAGACGTAATGGTGTTTTGTGTAATGGATGTAATCTCTTCAAAACTGTCTGTCTAAAAGTAATTTTTTGTTAGACAATCTCAAATAGAACAAATTTGTAGTGAAATCAAGCCACAGGCCAATTTTCTATACATGTAAAGTACGATGTTTTCCATTCAGAATCAAAATCAGGTATGTAAACGATTTGAAGCTTAATTTTATATTTGCTGATAGGTTAAGTTTTTACAATTATTTGTTATTTTTAGGCAAAATTCACACTTTCACAAGTTTCTGCTATACTTACACCGAGGCACAACATCTACTTAAACAAAAAAAATAACCCGAAGAAAAAAGACGATAGGTTTTTGTGCGAAGACAGTTTTCTTGAAACTCTTAGTCATTGCGACAGCAACCTTGCTAAGGACTTGAATGTGAATAAGCTTTTCGAGCAACACTTTTTAAATAAACACAAAGTATCGTACGTTTCGAGCGATTCATTTTACGAAAACAAGCATGGCTTATCTCAAAGCACGGTTAACGCTGAACATATGCCGATTTTGTATATAAAGAAAAACAAGCCGATTACCATCTCGAGTAATTTTTACGATCGCTTAGTAAATAGTTTGTTAACTAACAACAAGTTCTCATTTAATATTCAAGTTAGAGGCTTTAAAACAGAACGAAATCATTCTGCCGAATTAAACCGAAATCCCACCTTGCTCACTAGGCTTAAGACCACTTTAGGCTTTTCCGAAGCAGCTGAATTGGACAACAGAGTGATCGCAAACGATCTTCCGACATCGAGCGAAAAATTAAAGCAAATTTTAATAAATGAAGATTCTGGTATTTCCGATGCAGAGAAACAACGTATCAAAATTGCTTTCGCCGAGGGATACCTAATCGGAAATAATAGCAATTTTAACAGGGGGAAGGCGGTGAAATATCTCAAAATTGTTCAACAAGTGCTTACGATTGTAATATTCTTAGCGATAGTTGTTAGTTTAATGGCCAGTGCGAGTGGGTCAATGTTTCGGTAGGTGACTTGAAGTGAGCATTATTTTTTTTAGTAAATCGAATTGTTTTAGAATTCAGCTGGGCAACCAGGTGGAAGTCGATCCAGAAGATATACATGTTACGTTCGAGGACGTCAAAGGCGCAGACGAGGCGAAACAGGAACTAAAAGATGTAGTCGAGTTTTTAAAAAATCCCGATAAGTTTTCAAGTTTGGGTGGTAAATTGCCGAAAGGAGTTTTATTGGTGGGACCACCAGGTAAATATCGTGAATTTCTGCTTTTGACATAAGATTTCTTTGACGTTAAGGACTGTTGAAGCTTGAAAGGGGAACTTCATAACTTTTGGAACAATCAGACTGATTTATTCAAGATGTTACAGAATTTAACAGACTTCAAACAAGTTTTTAATTGCAGGATTGTTCTTCGTTTACTGATATCTTCTGACTGCCAAATTTGTTGATAGCTTATAAGGATGATGTCTGCAACTAACTTTGCATAGTTTTTGTTTAAGGCACAGGAAAAACATTGTTAGCTCGTGCTGTGGCTGGTGAAGCAGGCGTGCCATTTTTTCATGCAGCTGGGCCTGAGTTTGACGAGATTTTAGTTGGCCAGGGTGCTAGAAGAGTTCGTGATTTGTTTAGTAGGTTGCCTAAACTAAAACATTATGCGTATTTTATATATTTACACATTACTTTTAGAATCGGCAAAAGAGAGAGCTCCATGTGTTGTCTTCATTGATGAAATTGATTCTGTCGGTGCTAAACGTACCAATAGTTTATTACACCCCTACGCCAATCAGACCATAAATCAGCTTTTAAGCGAAATGGACGGATTTCATCAGAACGACGGAGTGATCGTGCTTGGTGCTACCAATAGACGGGATGATTTGGATCAGGCACTCCTCCGTCCTGGTCGATTCGATGTTGAGGTTGATTGTACCGTAACGTTATTTCATTTTTTGAATTTTTCTTGTAGGTTACTGTTCCGACGCCGGATTATACAGGTAGATTGGAAATTTTAGGATTATATCTGGGGAAAATTATGGCAAAAGAAATCAATATCGAGCTACTGGCTAGGGGAACAACTGGGTTTACTGGCGCTGATTTAGAAAATATGGTGAACCAAGCAGCTTTAAGGTAAAAATGCAGTTGTAAGTTGAGTCTTTCAAAATACAGTGCAACCTCCATAATCCAGTGCGTCCGAATTAGTGAAATGCCTGGATTACTTAATAGTAGGCCACAAATGCATGCATGTACATTAATAACTTGGACACGTTTATTGTATATTTTCAAATAATATACAGGGTGATTCATGCAACCCGGTCATTAGTCATTAGAGTTTTGAAACTTGCAGATGAAATGGAAACTTGAAATTTGGTTTACAGCCACATTAAACCATTGTAAATTGAAATAATAGTACATTATATATCAAGGTAGAGAAGTACAGTATTATTGCCTGAGCACCAAGATTACATCTCGAGGCGCTTGGGCCGAGGGGTGTAAGGTGCGAAGGCAATAATAGACTTCTCTACCGTGGTATATATACTATTTTTTTCACTACTAGCACTTGAAGTCCTCTAAATTAACATATTATTATATTTATAAGAAAGTGAACGGTTGGACAGAATTTTTTGTTTATTAATTTAACATGTCAATCAAGTACGTAGAAGTACAAGTCAAACAGGCCGTATTTTGTTCTGTCATTGAGATATTTTCAAAGAGTAATTTCGTTCGAATTTTTTCAAAACGTGATAATTTTAGGTATGTAATTTCTCTGGAAATGGCGAATGGTGGCAATTATTCATTTTAGAGAACTTGTCCAAACGTTTATTGAGCGAAATTTCGTGTTGTGTTTTCTAAAAGTGACAGCGTGACAGTTCTCATTATTGACTACTAGTTAATAATGTCCACATTATTAACCATTTTGAACAAATGCCGAGAAAGCCTACTTTACAAGTGGAAAAAGGTTAATAATCATGTCATCAGCAGACGCTAGTAGTGAAAAAAATAATTTATAAATAAATAAATATTTATTAAATGAAATATTTATGGGCTGAAAAGCTTTTGGGCAGAACGCGCAAATTTGTGTAGATGAGCGATTGTATTCTGAATTTAACGCAATAAGATTTAAGTACCTACCTACCTGTCATAGTTTTTGACATATGTCAATTTTTTTTCTCTAAAAATTAGAAGAGGCAAGGGTTCATTCAAAAATTCATATCTTTTAAATCATTCGGGATAAGTGAGAGTGCTCTGTAAATAACTAAAGACAGGTTAGTTTATTTACACTTTAGTTAGACGTACTTAAACTTGCGTTTCTCTGAACAATTCGTTAATATCGTTTTTATCCTATACAAGGAGAAACTTACATTTTCTCGCCTGTGTGAGGACGCGAAAGAAGACAATTGCACACATGGAGCGAGAAAATTCAATTTTGTCGGCTAGGCGAGAAAAAAAATACGCCTTATGTAAGCTAGATGGCGCGGTTGTAATGAAATGTCTAAAGTCACTAAATATAGAAAGTACCGCAATCCATTGGGCTCGTGTGTTAGAGAGAGAACGCATGATTTTTGCCCAAAAATGGCGGAAGTTGCCAGATTCTAGTAACTTTAATGTTAGGGATTGTTCCACCTGTTTGGAGATATCTGTATATATTTTTATAAAACATGACAGTACTATGAAGTACTGTATTTGTGTTGTCGCTTGGGTTATTGGTGGAAACATTACAGTATTTTGTGAGCTTGTAGTGCTGTTTAGGTTTTTGCGTTTGGGTTGTATACGAGTGGGTTGTGTTATTATTATTATTATTATTAAATGTTTATTTACTTTATTAACGAGCTCCTAGCGACTTTATAAGTTGGCGGTGTCTGTCCGTCCGTCCGTTAGCACGATAACTCATAAACGAATGGACCGATTACGATGAAATTTTGCAGGTGGATTCTTTATCAAATTTGTAGATCGGAGATCCTTTTGACATATCTGTTAGTTATGAACCGAATTGCATGAAATTGAATATGCTCATAGCTTTAGCCATATAAAACACAATTCCAAAAGTTGAGCCTAACCGATCAGCATTCACAGTGCCCTTTTCGCATCTCGACCATTTACAGACCGAATTGCAAATTTTCTTATTTATGAAGGTATTTACATGAAATTTGATACATAGCCACTTCTAATAAAAGCAAATTTAATGCCAGTTTCAAAATTTGGTTTTGTGCATGCGCTGTGTCAACTTTGTTATTTATGGAGGGATTTAAATGAAATTTCATACATATACACTTTAAATAAAAGCAAAACTAACATCAAGTTTCAAATTTGGTTTTGTACATGCTATAGCCGTACCCAGGAGCTCGTTTGCTATATTTGTTTAATTTATTTACATCTGAAATAATAGTAATAATAATTAAATACGTTATGGCCGTTATTACCACTATAATTTGTAATATTGTAATTGTGGAATAATAAATAAATAATAATAATAAATATTTATTGCTCAACAGCAAAACCAATTAGTATAGACTTAGAGCAACATCACTTTTAATCTTACCTAGTAGGTACATGCTAGCACAGACAACATATACTACAGACGGTCAATGCAATGCTATAGAAATAAACGCAACACCTAATAGAGTACGGTTAGTGTGTTGTCTATCTTGCAGCAGTCGAAATAATTTGTCGTAAAATGTGGTAGACGCACAGAAAACTGTTGTGTGTGGTAAAAGTGTGTAATAGATGGAGTCATTTTTGTAAAAATAAAATACATATACTCAAACCTTATTTCCTCGGCTTCAGAACGCCGGCCTTTACGTAGATAAGATAAGCGCCCACTTGTATAACATCATAAATTACATGGAATACATTTTATTTCTTCATTTTTCTCTTTTCTAAACATTTAAAAAATTGATGGAGCGGGTTTGGTTATACAAGGGCGGAAACTAAATTGGCTTCCAAATATAAAATTATGAGGTTGGGCAAGGTAAGATTTTATTAGAAAAATAAACATAATTTTTGTTTTTCCATAATAAATATATTATTATACCGGGTGGTGACGCGCTTTTGTTTGATTTCCTAAATCCATGGAATTACCGACTTTATAAACGCTACAGTTTTTAATTTTTAAATTTTTACTGATTCTGAATTTATAAATATTACGAAACAAGAGTATGTACGGATTCGTTTATATGATTCGATGTAAATCTTTCACTCACGCCTTTGACGCTCCCGACGACCTATATGTATCTGTGATAATACCATCACAAAATTTTTGATTAGGGGAGGGAGCACTTAACGAACTTTATTTTATGTCAATGTGTTGGGTAGTAGGGTCAACATAGTCCAGTCAAATTAGCTCCAAAAGTATTCTAAACTGGATGTTGGCATTTCACACAACGAAACCAAGTGTATTCTATGTAGTTCCCTGCCCGGAAGCTCCCGGAACTGCTATACACAAAAAAACCAAGGAAAAACGGAAAAATGCAGTTTTTTCCGCATTTGACTTCCAATTATCTCGTCACCTATTGCTCGAGCTCATAGAAATGAATTTGTTTAGAATCGAATTTTCAGTTGGTACAGAACCGTCCATTTTTAAATGTTATTGTTTTTGTTGATACGCCCTTCTCGATGCTTTGTCTTTCAAACTGGATGACTCCCAGAGCGTTTTCAATATTTTTATGGATGGTGGTACCGTAAAACAACCTATTCCAATAATTGTCTGTTGTCCCGATGAGTTTTGCAAATCGACGGAATGTGGAATTAATTTAGTGAAAACCCCAGCAAAAAGAACAAGAAAATAACTTTATAAAATGCCCTTGGCACTCTGTTTAATAAAAATCATACCAACTTTATCTGATAGAAAAATCGATTCTAAACAAATTCGTTCTCTTCATTTTTTCCGTAAGAGGAATAGTTAACGAGATACCTAATTAAGTCAAATGCGAAAAAACGACATTTTCCCATTTTTATATTCCGGTCAGCTAGACTGTCATTTACGTTGAGTGAAGTGACAACACACTAAACCGGCAGACAGTAATAGATACAAAACTATAAACCATCTCGAGGATCGCTATTAAAACTTTGCTTTGTGACAATTTTCGTAGGTAATTGCACAAGTGCATCAAAATGCTCTTTTAACAAAATATGAAATTAACCGAACGCAGTTTTTTACTGATAAGATACTTGAATAAACAAGTAAAAAGGTTTTCGCCCTAAGGCGAGTAACTTCAGCGCATTTTCCATAAATTGATCAATACTTCCCCAAAGGCCATATCTATGTGCGCTGTTTTTTCATTACTAGAGGCATATATGGTTAAAATTTTAAAGAAATATCTTCATGACACTTACTGCGCAGTTGATATTGCGCGTCCTGCGCATGCGCTTATTAATCTGATATTTACAATATGCAATACGTTTGCTTTTACTATAAGTATCTTTGGTTAAAATTTCAAAGAAATATCTCCATAAATAAGAAAGTTTGCATTGCGCAGTCTGCGCATGCGCACATCTGATTTTTACTATATGCGATATATTTGCCTTTACTACAAGTATCTGTGATTAAAATTTCAACAGAATATATTAATAAATAAAAAAGTTAACATTGCGCAGACTGCCATTTCAATCGTCAAGATTTTCCTTGACTCAGGTGCCAGAGCGATACGCTACCGAATGCAAAAAGAACGAACTACATATCTTGAAAACTGTAGGAGTAGTTAAGACCTCGGACAGACGGACGGGCAGAGAAAGTGACTGCAATAGCGCACCCAACTTCGTTGGAAAATGCGCTAAAAATTATCATATATAATACCATAAGTAGTCGAAGTATTGTCGAATATTTTTGAGCTGCTGTCACGAATGCTGATTAATACCACGAGCGCTTGCGCGAGTGGTATTAAAAAGCGTAACTAGCATGAGTGGAGCAGCAGCTCAAAAATAATCTACAAATACTTCGACTACGAATGGTATTCGGAGGACTATTCAATGAATCAAAAGAAAAATTAAGCATAATTACCCACGCGAATGTATTTCCATGACAACAATAAACGTCAAAATAAATTATGGAAGTTGCTTTTCATTTTGCTATTGATTCTATTCGAACTTTTGTGCTCCAAGCTAATTCGTTATGAGTGATTAAATTAAAAGATGTGGTGATAAGTCGGTTGTCGAAATTGATTAACAAACTAAGAAGAATGTTCCGGTTAATAGACAAAATTTCGCGTCATTTCACTGGTGGAAGTTTGACAAATGTCATTGAATAATCGCATTGAATTGTCGCTGAAATACCACACGTGAAATTATCGCTAAAATACCACACGTGCAATTGTCACTTATAATTGCACAAGAGGTTTGTATTTTACCGAGTAAATTTGGGTTGTTTAGGTAACGAAAATCTGTTGCCTAGCAATTAGACGAGAAAAACTGTCAACTAATAAAAATGCGACACCGAAGGTGGAGCATTTTTAGGTTGACAGTTTTTTGAGTTCAATTGCTAAAAGGAAACAGATTTGAATTGCAACAACCCAAATTTACTCGGTTTAAATACAAACCTCGAGTGTAATTCGGCAGGACAATTTAACGAACAAGAAATTCACCAAACTAACCAATTATTGACAGACGTCAAACTAGTCATATGGGAAAGGATAATGCGATAATAGGTTCAAAAATGAATAACTGAAAAAACCACTAGTGCATTTTTCGCTGGAAAAGATGCAGGTAACTTTTGCCGCTGTCAAAGTGACAATTGCACTGCGGCTTATGGGATTTTTTATACATGAGTTGAATTGTCACTATAATTCGTTCCCATTGGCGCAGCAATTTGAAATCGAGACATTTCACTGGTTGAAATGTGACAAATGTTAGATGAATTGAATAGTCAGGTTTATTTTGATGCACAAGTGTAATTCGGGGGAATATTTCCCGAATAAACATTACAAACTCACTTTACCTACTTATAAAATTTTTAAGTGTATTCCCATGAAATTTGCAATTATCATCGCAGGGCTCTTTCGTTTTCTACAATGCAATTACCGACCGCTGTATTTGCCCGATAATTGCACACCTCATATGGGATTTATTACATATGAGGCAAATATTCATTCGAAAATTGCTTACGTTTAGGTTTTCTTTATCAAAGTTAAATGAAGTTAAATTGCCGATTGCAAGATTTATTCCACAAACGGAGAGACAAGTAGGCAAATAGAGTACGTAGGTATATAAACAAACACGGAGATTACACTTTTTTCGAGAATTCGAAAAGTGATGCAAGTTATATCGTTTGTGCACCCAAAGACAACGAGTAATACGTAATTGCGAATATGAAGTGATATTTGCTTTGTATGTGTACCTGCAAAGATTATCAGCACTTCGCCCAGACATACCATCGCCCAGACGTAAATATGGGGATTTCTTTTGGGACAGCTTTCTAACAATAAAGTATCAATACTTCTTTCCCTAGACAATTTGCAAAACCATTCCAATAAAAGAAATCTGTAGAAGAACCAACACATTGTTGTATGCGCTAATAGATGGAGCAAAATAGAGGGATAGCTGGTTTTTAAATAAGGGGACATTTGAAACAAAACTTAGCGTGCTTTTTCCCCTTAAGATTGACCGTCTGTAGTATATGTTGTCTGTGATGCTAGTAAACACATGGACACTAAACTTAAAAACGTTAATCGTCACAAAAAATAAGAGGGTATCAATTCATAATCAAAAATTAACGACATATTATTATGTAATGACACAATTACAACAAAATCACTATTTTAAGTTAAGTAGAAAGAAATTCTAATTAAATGGGGCAAACCAAATTAAATCAAATCAATTACTGTCAAACAACTAGCAAAAAAACATTGCAGCGGTTTGAGTAATCGAATAACTGTTTTAATAAATAATAAAAATTTTAAAAATGAAAAATGTATTGCCGTTATGAGTATTCAGCCGTAGTGTCGAAACAGGTGTGTGTGAGTTTACCACCAGTAACTTTCTGTCCGATACAAACATGAATTTTTGAAAAAGTAAAAATGGGTTAAAATCTATTTGTGTAAAAAAAATTGTCTTATTTATGTACAGAGCAGCGATAGACGGCGCAGACTGTGTGAGTATGAAGCACCTAGAATCTGCCCGCGATAAAGTTTTAATGGGGCCCGAAAGGAAATCTCGCATTCCAGACGAAGAAGCAAACATGATAACGGCGTATCACGAAGGCGGTCACGCTATTGTGGCTTACTTTACAAAGGACAGTCATCCATTACACAAAGTAACCATCATCCCTAGAGGTCCCAGTTTAGGTCACACAGCCTACATCCCCGAAAAGGAACGATATCACATTACAAAATCTCAATTATTGGCGATGATGGACACAATGATGGGAGGTAGAGCTGCGGAGGAATTGATTTTTGGACCGGAAAAAATTACATCGGGTGAGTGTGTATAAAAGCGATAATATCGCACTAAACAAATTTGTTAGGGGCCAGTTCTGATTTAAAACAAGCTACGCAAATCGCTTCTCATATGGTAAAAGATTGGGGCATGTCGGAGAAAATTGGCTTGAGAACACTACCAGAAAACGCAAAGTCCTTCAACTACGAACAGTTAGGTCCTTCCACTAATGAAACGGTATAATTCAATCTTATATCGCTCAAATGTTAATCTACATGCGTTGCAGGTTGATCACGAAATTAAACGAATTTTAACAGAAAGTTATGACAGAGCACGAAGTATCTTAAAAGCACACGCAAAAGAACACAAGGCGTTAGCCGAAGCCCTTCTTAAATATGAAACTTTAGATGCAGACGATATAAAAGCAATTATGTCAGATAAACCACCCGGTATAGAAACGAAATCGTAGTTTTAAAATTGTAACTAACTAATTTTATTCAAAAATGTTATGCTACGATATATAACCTTTAAAATAGTTTACCAATGTATTAAAGTACAATTATTTAGTTTAATGCAGTTAAAATAGGTTGGAGTGACATAAATTTTAATTTACATGTAAATTTCTTTCTTTCTAATAAACTGAAACCGATTTTCTGTTGCTATGTATATCCAGAAACAAAAGCTTTAATTGACTGCAATTTTCTAAAGTTGTACCTTTTGTGAGATGAACATTTTAAAGCAGAGCTCGTCTGCAACCTTTCTTGGCTGTTTTGTAATGACACCAGTTTCTCTGACCAATCACAGTAAAAAATGTTTCTGAAATCAAGTGTTGTCTATGTGTTTAACTTTGAGAGGTTCCAGGAACTGGAAACTATGCAACTTTTAGAAGGGAAAAAGCTGTCTGCGTGATCTCGGGCAGCAAAACTTACTACGTAACTGCATATTACTTTTTTTCGCCACGAAAACCAGTTTAAGTTTGTTGTTATTTTGTGTTTTTCAATGCAGGGAGTAATCTTTGCATTTCTTTACATTTTTTTAATAATTACTATTATAGGCAATCTTTTTTTTAAATTGTCATAATTTAACCGCAATGCATCAAATGTCAGGAAAATACTGTTAACCTATATTGATTTCCAATCTTTTCCATTTTTGGCGTAGATGTTACTCAATATATATTTTGATTCCATATAATATGGTCTTGACTCAATTTATAATTTAAGGTCATTCGTTTAAATATGTGGAAGTTATCAAATTGTTCTGATGTGTGTACTGACTTCTTTGTAAACTAAAATTTTCGCCGTGAATGAAGCCGTCATGGTGGTGGCAAATAAAGGGTGATCAAATAAGAGCTTCCGAAAGTTTTTTTGAAATAAAACGCATTAAATTCAATTTAATAATCAAAAATTGTATTTGATACGTAAGTTCGGTTCATGACATTTAATGTTTAAAAATAATTTGTTGTTAAATGTTGACCGTCACTGACTCGTAGATGGTCCATTCTATGGGTCCAGTTTTCAAGCGCTCTTTCGAGCATTTAGGCCGAAATTTCATTAATTACACGTATTATGTTCGCTTCTAATGCAGGAATAGTTTGTGGTTTATCGGCATAAACAAGTGATTTTAGACAACCCCATAAAAAGTAATCTAACGGCGTTTGATCACAGGATCTTGGTGGCCAATTCACTGCTCTATTTCTTGATATGATGTTCTCAACAAATGTTTCTTTCAATAAATCCATGGTTTCATGTGTTGTATGGCACGTCGCACCATCTTGCTGAAACCATAAGTCGGCTACATCAATATCTTGAACTTTTGGCAACGATTTTTTCATTATGCGTTCAGTTGGACGATTATGAGCACCATAAAATGACCGAAAAGCACCAAAAACATTTCTTACTGAACACTGATTTTGGAAATAATTCTGATGTAAGTCTGTTCATGGTGAAATGTCAACTAATAATGAACAAATAGTATATTATATACCGCGGGACTGAAGTAGTACTTTTAATCCCTTCGGTCGGGCCATAATTTACCTGAGGGATTAAGACCACTACTTCAGTCGCAAGGTATATACGATATTTTTCGTACTTCCGAAACCGAAACACTTAATATGTATGAAGTTAGAGAACGCGTTCTTTCAAAAAATCGCTGCTTAACAAGTAACCATAGGAACTGTCATTGCTAGTGTCATAATTTTGGTGGTGGGTGACAAAGGTGTATTTGATATTGATAAAAAGCAGCCAAAGTAGGTATAGAATTGATACCACCGAAATCCAAAAAACTATATGAGCAGCAGTGCGATGCGTTTAAGAAGTAGTGCCACATACAAAATGTGGAACAACCTACTGAAATTGCCTTGTTAGTAATTTCATCCTTCCGGGATTTTCGTCTAAATTTAATCCCGGCGGGACAAAAAGTGACACTTCAGTACTTGTCATAATGGAGTGAAGTTGTTACTTTAGTCCCGGAAGTACGAAAAAACATGCACATGACAGCTATCTTGATTAAAGTGTTTTAAAATCTCTATTGGAAAAAGTACTTCGTATTTGATCAGTTAACTGTAACCACATTAGTTACGACACCTAATGCTGGGACTGACTTCGACTGTAGGTTTGAATTCCCTGGACGTAGGACAAGTTACTTACCTTGGGCAGGGGCGAACTGGGGACAACTGACCGGCCCTGAGATTTGAAGGGTATACCTGCCCACTTGTCATTTTGAATTTATTGAATGATTTCAAATATATTTATTATTATTATTGCACACATCGCGTCATACATAGAACAAATACATATAATAATCCCATTATCTATTACTTTAAGCATTATCCATTACTTTTAAATTCACAAGAATGCAGAAATGCACTGTAGGTATTAAAAATGATAATTGTTGACTATTTTGCTGCGCGCATAAGCAAAACAAAAAATAACACTTCATTCATGTATGCATGATGCAATCATGATTAATCCAGTCTCCGCCGTGCCTGTGACCGGTGTATTTTTTATTCTTATTCACGTTTCTCCGTACCGACAGTTATTTCGAAAAATTATTATTTATTAAATTCGAATGAATTTTCTTAACTTAAGTTTAAAATGCAGTAAAGTAATGAGTACAAATAACAAGCCTCCGACTCTATAACCTCTCAGGTGGTGAGTTCAAATCCCACAACTTGCCAGTTTTTAGTGGTATAGATTTATATAGAACATCTTCTGACTACCATGCTTTGACGGGCATGTAAGGCTCACGGTGCCTGCACTCATACCACAAGTGTCGATAGGTCACGCTGACGGCTGTTGATGCGATCTGAAAACGTTTGTAATCCAGGAGTGCCACCCATACGATAAACAAATAAACATTTGGATAAATTCCACATATTAAAAGATTGACCAAAATGTATATGAATACCTATTACTTTCGGTCTGGTCAAGACCATGTAATCTAAACACAAATTAAGCAAACATTACACCAAAACGTAAACGATTTCAAACAGAAGGGTACGGTATCAAATACGGTGATTCTGCATTGAGGTTAAATCAAGTCAATTTGAAAAGCAAAGATAGAACATTAATTGTACACTCTAAAATGTTGCATACAAAACACAAGTATTATAAATAAATGCAAAGATTACTAACTACCTGCATTAAATAACACAAAATAAGTAAACTAACAACAAACATTTACGGAGCGATGCTTTCGTGATCGCCATTAAAAACACGATGCCAAATGTAACTAGACTTGGTGCTCGCCAGATGGCGCAGACAGCTTTTCCCTTCTAAAGTCCCTAGATTGTCTAAAAAGTCACGCGGTTGCCAGCTATAAATAGTAAAAAATATGTCCATCATCGCAAGATGTATATACAGGGTGGAATCTCTCAATGTGCCTCGGCGTCTTTTGTAGTCAGGATTCATCGCAGAATGAAACTTGTGGACCTTCCTTTAAACGTCTCCCTGAACAGTTGAACACCCTGTATGTAAAAGTTAACCTAACAAATCATTTTGTTAAATTATTATAAAAGTTTAAGATGCAATTTGAATGGGCATTAAAATATCCGGAGCTTTACAATTTCTGCCTAAAATTTAATTTAAGCGAATTAAATGATCCAATCGAAGTGTCGTACACAAACCTCGAAGGAATCCTCCAAGAAGGACCACAATGCGGCTTAGTCGCGTTAGCAATTTGCATGAGAAAGCCCACCAAAGATACCGTAGAGAAATTATTAACAGACGCGAGAAATTCAGGTTATACATATAACGGTGAATTATTTAGTGCGGCGGAATTTTTAAATTTAGTTCAAAAGCATTTACCAGAAAACGAAGTGTCCTTATACAGCGGTTTCTTAGACTCCAATCATGTTATAAGCTTTTTATTGAAAGGTGGCTTAATGCTGGTACCGTATCCTTTTTTACAGTACACTTTAACAGAATCGAACACCTGAACTGGCACAGTTACGACTGCGATAAGAACCACACACCTTGTAACTTAAATGGCCATAAGGCACATTGGGCGGCGATTATTGGAGTAATTGTCACAAGTACCGTAAACTTTGTAATTGCGAAACATGGAAAATCAAAAAACCTGGCTGTTTGGAATATACGGGATTTGGCAGAAAGTAATAGTCAATTGGTTGAATTTTCGGAGGATCGAAAATTGTCTAATGTTAAATACAAGTTGCCGATTAATGGGATTGGCGAAGAGAATGGTTTAAAGTGTAAGTCTATTTGGATTGCACCAACGAGAGTATAATTAGGTATCACTATTTTTAATTTTGTGTTCTTTGTTTCACTTTTCTTTGTCTTCTAGCGTTTTGGGAAACTATCATTGTCTACCTCATTTTGTGTTCATGTGTTCTACTGCTCCATCTACTACTGCCTTACCTCTGTGTGATATTAGCCATATCAGTATAAAGATCAGTTAAGATGAATTTTGAATTTATAAGTAAATGAGTGGTTGAAGAAATTTAATGGATATGGAGACAATTCTTCACAGTAATAGAAAAACTACAATTTATATTTTAATGTACCTACTTGATTTTTAAATGTGTAAATTGGTGTAGTGCAGTTAAGTACCCCAAAGGTTGTATTTTCGAAGGCATATGTACATTCAAAATCTATGAATGCTCTCAGATTTCTCAATCTGCTCAACAACATAGTGTAGTGTGACGTTAGTACACTTCCCCGGAGGTACCCGTGCTAATTAGGATGCAACAGGTATCGAGATAAAACCATGCCCCTTTTGTAAAGTTTGGGTCAAATTGGCATATTTTTATATTTATCTGTCTCATAGCCTTTCACAGTCTTGAGAGATACGATATCGCATAGTGACAACCTCTGGGAAGTGCAGAGCATCTCTCAATATCTTAGCTGTCTCAGAGAGCTCTGTCTTTTCTGAGACTACAGCTGAATAGTAATAATGCTGGTTTTTATTTAGAATTTACTACAGGCGCGATACAAAGGATTCTACCAGTCCACAAAAGCTCTTCCAGGCCTCTCTCTGATATCTCTTAATTTCCTTTTTATTTTGCCTTAGAAGTATGTTGTATGTCTCCCTGTCAACAGTGTTTTTAGTTTGGCTTTGTAGACCAGTTTGCCTACTAGTTTGAATTTTTGCTTAGCGCACGCCTTGCGCCACCAAGAGTGTTTGTAGGGTTGCTTGGCAATTCTCAGAGAGCATGCCTGTTCATAGCACTTAAGGCGTTGCCCTTAGATTAGGAAAGCGCTAACGGATAGACACGAGTTTCAATCACACGAAATAAAGTCCACCCTACGATTAATTATAGGCGGTTAACTCGACTTCGCTCCGTACCCAATGTGAAATTTTCTAATGCAAATCAACCCTGCACTAAATTACAGGGTATCGGCTTAACTGCGAACCACTTCACGCCAATTGTCTGGTGGCTTGACGCGAATTCTCTCGAGATTGGACGCAAATTCTTTCGCAGTTCTCCCAGAACAATCTACTTTATTTTGTGAGAAACAGGGATGTTAAAATATAAAAAGGTGAATAGTGTGCTGAAAAAAGTGAAAGTAAAAAATCGCGCGTGGGTGCAGAAAGGATGTAAACATTTTGAGAGACGATTTTACGTTTAGTTAATCTGTGATTGAATTATAGTGCATTTTATGTTAATAAAGTATTCATTAAACATTTACAATAACAAGGGATACGCAAACTTTTCCACCAATAAACTAATTTTACACAACAAATCAGCTAGATTGCTTGACGTGCCACAACTCGAACAATGTGAGTAATTTCCCGCTGATCTTGAAAAACCCAAAATAAACAAAACCTTTTCTGTAATCTAATCTCATCACGCCACATCCCTCGATTTAGTGTCGCCTAAAGTTTTTAAACCTTAGACCATACAGTACTAGGTACATGGACTGCTATTAGCCCACAGTATTAACATATGTTTTCAATACAAATCCGCAGTCACGGATGGGGGAGTAGTCCTGGGTATGTGAATCTTAGATTATAAGATGTGAATCTCAGAGTAAACTAAAGTCATGTGAACACTACCCGAATCGCTTAAAAAGTAGTTTCTATAGATAGATAGATAGATAGATAGATGTATATTTGTGCTGTACAAATGTATAAATATGTTTGCACACGTCAAATTGCAAATCTTGTATAATAACAATGGTATGTATACACGAAAAGAGAAAAAAAGTATTTGTATAGATAAAAAAAGACATTTAACAATAAGATTAATGTATATAAACAAAAACAAATATTAGACAAACAAACAGAAAACTCAACCACACATATCGAAATCACAGTCTAAGTACTCTTCTACACTGTAGAATGCATTGTTTTGCAGATGTTTTCGCACTTGGGTAGCAACCGCGTGGTACGGGAAACTTTAAATACGCTTCAGTCTCTTCTATACGTCCACAAATAAGAATACGAATAGGTTTGTTTTTTTGGTAAATCCATTTATTTGTGTATTTTTCTATTTTGCATTTTGTTGTCATAGTTACTTATTTCACGTATTTGGGTGGGCTATGCCAGGGTTTTTGGCCCGTAATAGGTTTCCGTGGTATTGGTACTGCCTTGTGTGCGTAATATGGTTTATTTTGCATTTTTTTGCGCAGAAAGTTCCGCATTTTATTCAATTCCCTTCCCGGTATTATGTTTCAATTCCCAACACAAAACAACCTATTACACAACGTAGGATCCATCGTGCCACCCGGTCCTAGCCAACTGCTATTGAGATTCAAATGTGCCGCGAAACATCCAACGTTTCGACTTTAGGGTTAGGTGGCTCTGCTTGTAGTTTTTCCCCAGAGTTGCCAACTGATGTAAGTATACGTCACGCTTTCAGTACCGGCTTCGGGGGACATCAAACATCATCTACATACAGCACAAGCGGCTACAGAGAGTAACTGAGGTGACGTTGACCATGCGCTGTATCCTTTTAGTACCCATACCAAAAAACGAATGTCAGCCGCCTGGATGCGCGATGTGTATCCTTACCACTAGGCACGATTCTTCATATCCTGACTGAACTGAGCTCACATTTCAAAAAAGTTGAGCAAAGGGGACACCCGTCATGCGTTAAATGAAATTTTGAATGTAGGCACTTAGAATATGTAAAAGTAAAGCAAATGTCGAAAAACAATTGTTCTGCGCATGCGCAATTCGTTTTTTTTTCAATGAAATGTAGCATGTATGTAGACATCTCGAAGTAGTTCTAGTGTTCGCATGTTCAAATGATATCTTAATTCAAGAACAAGTCCCGCCAGGGCGTGGGCCCCCGCTCAAAAACTGGACGCTAACCAAGATGCCTGTAATGAGAGATCAGCTTCCAGGTTTTTTCATATGTATTCTTTTTTTTTTCTTTAATGTAGGCAAAGTAACATTAGCCATGTTACTATTTTGGTTACTTTACTAAAAACGAGCTTTTGAATTTCTCAAATCTGTGATCTCTAGTCTTCAATCAAATGTATTATAAATTTGCTAAAGAAATATGTTAAAAAAATATTCTAGTCACTCATACAATGATACACAAAACTGAAAAATTCATACATGCCATTTCAGCTTAATGAAGTTTATGGCATCTTCCAGAAATATAAGTACCTACGTTAATTCATAAAAATATTATGTAGATTTTCATGCGAGGTCTTTTTCTCATGCGTAATAAACAAATAGTTGCTGGCATTATATAATTTTTGTGTCGATGCTTTGTTCAATCTCTCTTTTAATAATCATAGTAAATGATCTTCGGAGCTGATAGTGGGGTACTACTATGTATATTGTATCCCTACAAGTAATAATAATAATAATAAGTAACTTATGAAACATCTATAAAAATGTAATTAACAATGGAAAACTTACAATTAACATTCATACAATTTATATACATTAATTACATCGCTAATAATTACTATAAATAAAATTAAATGAGCAGGAACAAAAGATTCCTTGATGATTTTCGGTCACCACTGCAACTAACTCAACAATCTACGAAACATGCAATTGATCATTTCGTGAACCAAATGACTTTCTAACGTGGACACTGTTTACGTTTTTCATGCATCTTGGCAGCCTTCTTCTTCATGATCTGTAAACGCTTATCAGCGCTAATTATGTTAACGTTAACAGAATTTTTTACATTTGAAACTGGCGCTGGTTTTGTTATGTTGAAGTGTACTTTCGGAACGACAACGGCTGAAATGGATCGTGAATAGTAAAACGTAGTAAGCGTTTTGGATAATTACAAGGTCTCTGAGATGAACTTTTAGACGTGCTCTTCGACGACGAGCTTGCACCAGCGTGGGATGGTGACGCGGGAGGTGTAGCCTTTAAGCATTTAGATACATCCTAAAATTTAAGTTAAGGTAGCTTTATTTTTTAAACACTGGAATAAAGGAATGGTGAATCTAAAAAATCTATAAAACAATTACAACTAATAAGCGTAAAGGTTCACCCATTGTAACGGAATGAAGATATCACCTTGCAATTTTGACAGGTCCATGTACCATCGGCATCCGACGAGTTGACAGGCGGATGATGGCATTCCTGATGATACAGCGAGTGACAGTCGGAGCATTCAAGAAGACGATTACGGGCAGCAACATCCATACCACTAAAATAGAGCAGTAACCTCAAGGGAGGTTCACAGTGAGTGTAATAACATACTTGCAGACTATACACATTAAATCTTCATTAAATAAATCAAGTTCCAATTCATTATCGGAACTTGAGGTGGTCGCTTTGCTCTCCTCGATTACAGGAATTATAATTTCTTCGGGGGCCCGATTGTGTGTTGTTGCAATTAAAGGACCATAATCCTTTGTAATTCCATACTTGCTCTTTATTGCTTCTTCTAAATTTATTTGAAGATGTGAAGGTTCTCTTTTAACTAAATAGTCACGAGAATGTAATGATCCTATTGCGTTTATATAATACGAATCTAAGTCATTAATTGCCATTGTAGGTACAGAAACCACCGACGGTGTTTTATTTATGGAAACATTGGAAACCGACAAACACTATTTGTCAAGGGTGAAACGTGTTTATTTTGCTTGATTAATGTTTAAATCGCCTACGATTAACATTACGCATGCGCATGACCCTAAAAAGAGTGATGATCCGAAGCATGAAGCCGTGTACAGACCGGAGCAACGTGCGTCAACGACGAAATTCAGAAACCGATAGCGATACCGAATATTGCTTTTGCTCTCTTGTGTAAACGTTCTTACTTCTGCAGTTTTCGAGCTATTTAGTTCGTTCTTTTTGCATTCGGTAGCTTATTATAGCTCTGTACTTCAACCAAGAAAATTCTTGACTATTAATATGCGAAATGTCATCTTTCTTATTTATAGAGATATTTTTTTGAAATTTTAACCACAGATATGCTTCTTGTAAAGACTAGCGTATGTACAAATTCATACAAATCAGATGTGCGCATGCGCAATTTGTGAAATGTCAACTTATTTGTAAAGATATTTTTTTGAAATTTTAACCAAAGTTTTTTCTAATAAAGGCAAACATATCGCATATTATGAACATCAAGTGTCTTATTTATAGGAATATTTATGCCATTTGGACGCACAATTTCTTTGCAAGCATAATACATATTTTATATGGATCAGCGGCGGCGTCTAACGTCAATTGCCATCATGCAAACGCGCCATTACTGTCAATTTTGTATGTGTGGCAACGTGGTTGGTTGTAGTTGTGACTAATATAACCTAAATTTATTTTCTTTATGTCTGGTACACTTTCCCTTATTAATAAATTACACTTGAATGTCGGAAAGTGATACTGACTTTGAATTGTCTACTGAAAGTACGAGACTGATGGACGGTCACGTTGCAACGAGCGGTGGCGGAGGTGATTGCAATGGAACTGTTGACAATTCTCGAAAGCGCAAATCAAAACAACCTTACACTGATGGTGAAGGATACAATGTAAGGGACAATTAATCTAGCAGTTATCATAAAACCTCAATTGCAGGTAAATGCTGCAGTACCTGATGTTCAAATAGCGGGGCATTCAGCGCATCAGAATGAGGGAGGTGCCTCACAGGCAAATCGAGAGTGGCGTGATGATGAGGAGGAACTTAAGTATGGTGCCAAACACGTTATAAAGCTGTTTGCACCAGTTTCGCTGTGTATGCTGGTGGTCGTGGCGACTATCAGCAATGTGAATTTTTATTCAGTGAAAGATGTCTTTCTGTACGATTGGTCCATCTGTAGAAAATTATTTCTCTATGCTTTAACATTCTAGTGTGTATACCCCATTCCATGAAAAAAGTCCAGACGTTAGCACCAAAGTATGGAATGCAGTGGCTAATTCGTTAATTTTAATGGCAGTCATAGTTGTTATGACAATATTGTTAATTGTGTTGTATAAGTACCGCTGCTATAAGGTAGATGTGTAAGTAAATGTATGTAAATTACATTCTATTTTTAGATTATACATGGTTGGTTAATAGTTTCGTCCCTTATGCTGCTATCAATTTTCTCCTATTTATATCTGGAGTAAGTTCAAAAAGTCATCTGGCATTGTTGTACATTGGTATATGTTTAGGGAAGTACTACGGGCGTACGACATACCAATGGATTATCCAACACTTTTGTTATTAATGTGGAATTTTGGTGTTGTGGGGATGGTGTGCATACACTGGCAAGGTCCACTGCTATTACAGCAGGCTTATCTGATTTTTGTGGCAGCTTTAATGGCTTTAGTATTTATAAAGTATATGCCCGAGTGGACAACCTGGGCGGTACTTGCGGTTATTTCAATTTGGGGTAAATGGCACTGCATCATGATACATGTAGAGCTAATGTGCTAATTTTATGCAGATCTTATTGCCGTTTTAATGCCGAGAGGACCTTTGCGAATTCTTGTAGAAACTGCACAAGAAAGAAATGAACAAATTTTCCCTGCTCTTATCTATTCATGTGAGTAGTTTATATGTCCACATTTTTAGATAATGTTTCCAAACTTGTAGCGACTTACATGTATACTTATGTTGCAACTGCAAGTGACACTGAAGTAGACGCCCCCAGTTCTATGCAGACAGCCACTAATTCAACTGGTAAGTATAGAATCTCAATCCATGGGTTATCTGAATTGTCACTTGCAAGTGACCTAATATTGATACAGAAGATTGATCTAGATAGCTTAGCTTTGACCTGCCATTTGGGATGAAGTAGTGTGTTGTTCTCTTTCTCCACATCGAGTGGACTCAACTACCACTATCCAATGATTCACCATCACCTGTTACCTTGTACAACACAAACACAAGGGTACTGCCATTACTCTGGTGACTCAATTGAGACTGTCACACATCAAGTCTGAAGGAATTAAATTACGAGCCTTCCTCTGACGATTTACATCTCCTTGAACATTGAACAACGCCAAGGAACAACGCTGTGTTGAGAAAAATGTTAAATGGAAATGACATGAGATTATGGTTGATGACTTTTCAGTTTGCAACCCTTCATCCATGTGAGATAAAAGTTTCACATTGATCATTAAAATTATTAATCAATGATTAATAATATCTTACCTTATAATTAAATAGGTATATCTTTATTTTGAGGTTTGAATGAGTAGGCCAAGTGTCTTTTTAACCGTAAGGGTAGATAAAGTGATGACATCTGTCATTCTTATTAAGAATGAGACTCTGAACACGAAATAAAATGAAAGTCGTAACATATAATACAATATTGTTTCCAACGACTGAAGAATCTAAGCTTGCGCTTTTGGACATCTTAAGTTTTATAATGATTTTTATGACTTCTGATATAAAATCAAATTTTGTATGATATACGACAATATAGAGAAACTAACCATCTTGTGAAACTTAATTAACATCTTTCATTCGTTTGTTAAAAATCTCTTTATTGTCATGTACAATAAATAACTATTAATTATTGATTACCCTTATACATACAATTAGTTCACTATTAAAAATCATTAAGAAATGGCCAATAGAAACAAAGGTTTATTGTGCGTCGGTAACCAACAAAACCATCCTGAGCTTAGTAAACTAATGATAATGATTGTATAAACCCATCATTAATCACTGAAGTGAAACTGAGCATATCTGCATTTTTATAGTATGAATACTTTGGCGGAAACCCAGCCCACTTAAAAATAACGACCAAAAAGCATAAAATAAAATACAAGCAAATAATTTGGTGAATTTTTTTCTTTTTAGAAACTGACAACGGATTCACTGAAGAGTGGGTGCAAACACACGCATCACGTGCAGATTCGCGACAAGTCGATGTACCTCAAGCAGCCAATACTTCTACCGTACAAACGGTCGCCACTGCAGTGGAGGAAGAACGTAATAATGACTTAATATCGTGTGTTTTATTATATTAATTGTCTCATAGGTGGAGTCAAGCTTGGTCTAGGCGACTTCATTTTCTATAGTGTGCTGGTAGGAAAAGCTTCTTCCTATGGCGATTGGAACACAACATTAGCATGCTTTGTAGCAATTCTAATTGTAAGATTTCACCTGGCATCATTTTTTAATATGTGCTCGCTTTATTTATTTTCTAGGGATTGTGTTTAACTCTCCTACTTCTGGCCATCTTTAAGAAAGCATTGCCAGCTCTTCCAATTTCGATTACATTTGGACTAATCTTTTATTTTGCCACAAAAGAAATTGTCAGTCCGTTTGCTGATGTTTTGGCGATCGAACAAGTATTCATATAACTTATTTGTTTATTTTATTTTTAACTAATAAAGTAAAGCTAATATTTATTTACAACTTGCCGTGTACCAATTATTTGTAGGTATTTATAAGGAAAACTGAAAAGAAGACTAATAGCGTATAATAAAATTGTAACGTCTAAGGCGGCTGTTTTTTTTATATCTGGCACGGTCAGCACACATCAAATCCACCGAACGGGTACGCTAATAATCAGCTTTCTGTCAGCAGCTGTGCGCAAATTATTCGGCGGGAATTTCGTTTATGCTTGTTTACACTTACACGCCCATTGTTGGAATAGATTTTTGTATTTTCGTAAAAAGAGTGTGCATGTGAAGCCTGCTGTATGTTGAGCTTCTAAGCTTCTATCCCTTCCTACACTGTGACCCAATCCAAGGGCCAGATGGAGTTTTGTTCATTTACTTCAACAATTTTCATGCTTTGGTGTTAGATGCCCTTTTAATCAATAACGGGCGATCAAAAATGAGTTGCTGTCGAGTCGCCTTTAGAAGTTCAAGTTAAATACGATTTTCCATGTAAACAAAAATTCCAAAGGTAACTCGACAGCAACTCATTTTTGATCGCATAGTACATGCAAAACGTTTGTAAGTCTGTATACCAGATATACACTTGAAACACAATGAGAGGTTTCACCCTACATTTATATCCTACATTTCTGAGAGCCGTCTGCGCATCTCGAAAGCACTGACGCTTCTTACGTCAAGGGCCATCTTGACTTTAAATTTCGTCATAGTGTTATTTAGGTTTGTTTTTTTGTGTTATTTAACACATCTTTGCAGTTATTTATAATTTTATTTGTATAAAACATTTCATGTTTTTTTTTAATGCGCACGAACTTCGATAGCGATGGTCCATCTTTTTTAACAGCCGAAATATCTCCTAATATGTCTAACGTCTCCAGCGATAGTCCTCGTCTTTTTTTATATTCGCAGCGGTCACTATGGGTCCTTAGGAATTCGTGATCAGTAAACAAATCATAAAACTTTTATATTCAGTTTGTTCATGATTTTAGCAATCATGATCATAGGATCACACTTCGAAAGTACGTAATTTGACAATCCAAACGCGTTTGCTTCAGCGAAAGAAAGCGCCTTTTGTGAAACTCGGGAGAAACCGATGCATCACGAGGTGGCAGTTGAACGCAGCCCAATGTCTCTTGTGGACAGTTGCATAGACAAAGCACATTTAGATGGACATGTTCTATAGTACCAATGAGGATGAAAAAGTGGCGCTAAGGTGGATGTAGGGGTAACTAAATCACTGAAGAGGGAAATTTGAATTAATAACAATCTCAGGGGGGGGGGCGGGGGCGGTACCCCTACTTGGGTGTTTGGTTTTATTTGCTGCTTGCAATTTAAATTTCAGTGTAAATTCAGATAAAATGAACTGTACACTACAATTTAAATCATACAATTGTTTCTGAATGTAATGAGAAGGTGAAATTGAGCACATCAAAAATTAATATTTATTTATTGACAAAAATCATCTGTCATATCAATATAAATACAAGATATATTACATCAGGATTAAATTGATGAAGTTTAGGAATAAACAAACATTAATCATAACCTTTTAGACCAATACTAACCTATTACAATACAAAATACTGCAACACTTCATTAATATACAATTTGTAACAAATATACTTAAGAATACAAATTTAAATGCTATACTTTTTTTTGTTTTTTAATTTAGATAAATATTTCCTATGTGCCTCTAATTTTATTGCATCAATTGTGGTCATATTTGGCTTAGTTGCAAGTAACCTAACAAACCTTTCATCATTGCCATTTAAAATTTTGTTCACTTGCTTACCCCAAAAATAAAAAATAACTTTCACAATTAACTTAACAACATGTAATCCTAAATCAGTATGCTTTTCACACTTAAGAAAATCAAAGTTAATGGTTTCCATTATAAATGCAATTAACGACCGATTTAGTCCATACTTGTGGCAATGACGTGGAATTAAATAAAATAATCTGGAACAAGCCTGACTTATTACAAGGTACAAGTATGTCCCAGGTCTGAACAAGCGGGAATTGCTATATTCTCTTGCCTCAATAACATCCATCGGAACATTACCATATGAAGTGGTTAACATGTCCTTGCAAACTGAACAATTTGCACTTTTTGATATTCTGTTACCTACATATCCTGCTACATACGCTAAAGTAGCTTTCGCAATAGGACGTTTTTTTGAATGTGATACAATAAAACTAGTCTCAATCGTAAAATTATTTTCTAATAAGCAAATGCCGGGAACTTCTTCTCCAGTAATAAATGATCTTAAATTATCTAAAGCGCCAACAGTGAAATCGTCTTCACAATTAGAAGAAGGAGAATGGCTAGACATGAAATTATTTACAATTAAAGCCTTAAATGAAGTTATAAAATGACGAGCATCTGGAGAAATATTTCTCCTTCCATGACTTCTCATACTAGCAAAAAAATTTTCTAGGCAATCTTGATTTAAAGCTCGAGGTAATATATATTGCATCTTATTTATCAGTAATACTTTCTTTAGGTATATGAAGGCTTTTAATGTTTTAACCAAATTTAATATTGAGGGCACTTTACAAAATATTTTTTTTTGTGAATCAAAAAATTTCGCATTTTCCAACACTCTAATTGCATCACGCCAAAATTGTTCATGATCAGATGTCATTGTCAGTCCCCCTTTAAGAGGTTTACTTAGTGGGGCGATTTTATTATTTCCGTTAAGGCTATCAAATAACTTGTCCATAAATAGTATAAATGTACCAGTTTGTGTTGCCTCCAATGGTAAATTGTGCGGAGTATGTGTATCTAAAAAAAAGTATATATACACAAATGATCATAGATTCCAATTGTAACATACCCCAGCCAGCAAAACGTTGTAAATGTGCACCAACTGCATGACTAAATAGTTGAGTCATGTAGGCAACTTTCATTTTATTGATCTTCTTGCCAATCACATGACGATCTGTAAGTTTTGGCAATAAACGTGTATCTTCTGCAGTGTCCAAAAAATATAATTGTTCGATGTGCTCCCATTTTGCAACATGCTCCACATCATTCATTGTAAAATGCAAATTTTTCAATAGTAAATTGTTGCGAATTCCTTTAAACAAGTGGGGTACATCATATAATGGAACAATTTCTTTATTATCGACTAGAAATCCTATATATTTGTTCTCAATGCCATTTTTCAAGAGATGTTCATTTGTTTCTTTAATCAGTAAATTTACTGCTGATGAATTTGCACTACCTTGATCGCAAATAGTTGCCACTACCTCAAAGCCAATATTGTGACACTCCTTTATAATTTCAACAATCATCTTTTTAAGTTGCAATGATTTTACTGGCCCATTGCTAAATGTAAATGATAATGCTTGCTTCCACTGCCGATATACTCCCTTGATCATAAATACATTGGCATGATCAGCCAAATGTGGAAATCTCTCCTTTCCAAAATCTTCTACGCCATCATAACAATCAGCTCTTATGTTGTACGACAAGGAAGGAGAAATTGACATCTCATCAAACACAAGGGCACATTTTCTCTCATTAATAGAAAGTTTCTGCACAACATCCTTCAAACTAGCAAATATCTGCTTGTTAACTCCAGGACGAAAAGGAACCTTATTCAGCATATTTAGCAGAGTGTGTTTTGATGGGAGGGAAAATATTTTGGACAAAATCTTATACCCCTTGCTACTTGATTTTAGCACAGTTAACGCTAATAACTTGTCGTCTATAGTGTAACGTCTTGCCTTAGGGGGTAAAGATTGGTTACGAAGTTGCTGGAGAATAAATTTATAGGTAGTTTCATTAATCACATCAGCAAAATTGGCAAAATTTGGATTTTTAGCAACAGCCTCAGCGTGCATCAATCGCTTTCGGTAACTTTCCCGTTGGATATGAAATTTTGCGGCTTTGGTATTTAATTGTGTAACCATTTTATAAAATGTTTGACAATTAGGTGTTAGTTGAATTTGTCTGGTCACATTCACAGCTTGCAAAATCCTTTTTTTCTTTTTTATATCTGTAACAAATTATATTCACGTGAAACATATAAAAATATATCTTTAAATCCAAGATTTATACTAGCTCATCAAAGTTCCTGGCTTGTTACTGGCTACTACAATTAGCTAGTAATTCAAAAATGTCAATCATGCAGAAAATTGTAAATGGTTCAGTAAGCACCAGAAATTTTAATCAGATTGTGTAAAAATTAGTCATAAATATAATATATAGGTTAAAAAGTTAAATACCTTGCGGTTTTTTTATTGAGGAAGATATGGGTACAGTTGTTGTTGCGGTCACTTCCATGGGAACATTTTCGGTGGCTTCAAATGCATTTCGTGTGGGTACAGTTGTTGTTGCGGTCACTTCCATGGGAACGTTTTCTGTGGCTTCAAATACATTTCGTGTGGGTACAGTTGTTGTTGCGGTCACTTCCATGGGATCATTTTCTGTGTCTTCAAATAAATTTCGTGTGGGTACAGCTGATTCTACTACCACATTGCCTGCGTAACAATTAATTAGACATTATACATATATTACTACATTAATTTACATACCTAATATGTGTAAAGTGGGCACAGCATCTCGACGAAGGCCCCTTCTGGTTCCAGGGACCACATATTCCGGAGCAAAATGTTTCTGACAAACAAACTTTGTATCATATACTTGATGCGGTTGCAATGCCATTAAATGTGGAACTTTAATATTTTCAATCCATTTCCTTAAAAGATTTAGGTCTTTTGGAAAACGATGTCGTTTTAAAACCTTGTCATCACAGCCAGGTACACAACACTTATTCTTGTACTTTACAGTATTAGCATCCATCATAGCACAATTACCTAAAGACGTCCATTCGTTTATTTAATATTAACTAGTATTTATTGCATAATACCATATTAGTTGAGTTTAATCCTTAACTTAGTCAATTTTCCTACACATTAAAACTGCATAAACACGAACATTAAGTCAATATTTAACCGTTATCTTTTATACGAATTATATTTACCACGTGAAAATACACAGCAAACTTAGGTTAGATTAACAAAACCACGCGCTACGCGTTAAATAAATGACAATATAACTAATGCGCATGTTCAAACATTGTTCAAATCGCTATTAGCGCCCTCCAACGGAAGTAGGGAACGCATTTAGCCAAGACAACACATCATTCCATCATTGTTCATTTAACTTATGTATCTAAATGTGCTTTGTCTATGGACAGTTGTTTTTTTATTTATAACCTAACCTCAAATGATTAGACATACAACATGAATAATTTCTTGCAAACGTTTAATAATTTAAAAATATTTAAAAGAAGTATAAGTAAAAACATATACAAATGGCACGGTGAAGGTATACAGTATCCAGGTTTCAAATACTATCCCAAGGATCCAAATCATAAGGATCCTCCTTATGAACCGTCCAAGTTGTTTAAAGTGCAGCGGATAAAACATATAAAAGGTTGCCCTTATTGGGAGAAAAACATCCTGAAAGAGTTTAAAATAGATGGTAAATTGAACGATTATGCGATTATTAAAAATATACCCGAAAATAACGCTCGCCTATGGAGGATAAAGCATTTAGTAAAGATCGTACCGGTAACATTTCCTAATGGTTTCCCGGATGATTCGTGGGGAACGTATTTAAAAGAAAATGGAGAACTATTGGTTACGAAGGCATTGAAGCCGCAAGAGGATAAACTTATAGCGACAGAGAAGTTTGTAAAGGATCCCAAAAGGCTGGATGGTGATACTTTGCGACGTGAATCACGTAAACGCTGGGAAACGGATCATAGACCATTGTAGATGTAATTATATAAATTAATATAGAAATACAATTTGTGTATATATTATTTTATTTTTAAAAGCAATCATTCATTTAATCTAAGAGCTAAGACAGTGTCATTATTATGGCCGTTTGGATGTCATTACGGCTTTAATAATAATAATAAGTAAAAAGCTACAAATTTTACATTGAAGGCAAACATATGTTCGTTCTTTATTATCCTGGAAGTGAACATTGTGAGCCAATCACAATTGATATCTGAAGGAACCTCAGAATCAGAATTACCATAACATCAATTAGTATAATGTGTGCTTGAAAATTTTAATGGGGAGCAACGATCTGCAAAAAATCTTTTTCCCATGTTAATTGCCTATGTTCGTTTTTGAAATATTTTTATTTTATGCCCGGGTATATAATAATTTAGAGGTACTTTTAGCAGAGCAGTGCAGCAGCTGCGCTCGGAAAATCGTACCTTCCAGCGTGTCTACCGTGACATTAGTAAAATCACGCGATTGGTACACAAATTTTTTTTGGTTTCTTATGACATCAACTTTTTCCAACAAAAATTTCATCTTTATAGAAATAAGTTCAGTCGAATAATTTTTTATGCATCTTGCGTGGGTGGTAGACTTGTGATAGCAACGCTTCCAGCTTGGTAGATTATTACCATACTTCATTTTTAGGTATACTTAATTACTGTACAAACTTTCATCCTTGTACAAATGAGGCATGTAGGTACATATTATTTATTAACATGTTCAGAACATTGTTGCAAATTTAGGCAACACCGCCGACGCGCTAGACTACCGTTTTGTATACTTTTACTATCAAAACAATAAAATTGCAGAATACCAGCTTTGTAGAAATGAGTACACAAAAAATGTCGCTGCCTATATGTTTAAGCACAAGTTTGGGTATCTTAATACACCTGGAACGCAGTCACGAGTTCTGCCAAAACAAAGTTCCAAATTACCATCAAAAATTTATTTATACAGAGAAAAACATAGCAGTCTGTGGATAATATTTATCCATGTAAGTATATAGAGTATATAGTTCAATGATGTAAGTATATAGTATGTAAAGTACTTTTGTAGTTTTATTTGAGTAGAAATGAATAAATAAATGGGCTGTATAAGTATAATGTCAATATAATATACAAAATATATACATATGGCCAATGAATTCAGATAACATTTTATTTATTCCAAAAAACCATAACATCACCATAGATCGATAGCTTTCAGACATGTTCCCTTTTTGTGTTACAATTACACAATGGAAGAAAAAAGCAGAGAACATTTCCAATAAGCTAACTATCTAGTAATACGCAAGATATCACATTCACGTATTAGAAATTTTATTTAAGGACTTAGGTACTAACAATCAGTTAATATCAATATCTAATGAAATAATTGAGTTCAAAATATATAACAAGTCTTTAAAGACATAACAATAACATTATTTGTACAATTTCTCTCACACAATGCTCATTGGTAGAGTTAAGAATGGCCAAAAGACAAAACTCCAACGGCAAAGTAGAAAACAATTTTAATAAAAATAACAAATTCGATTCATATGTAACTGCATAAATCAGATGGCATTATGATACAGTTTAATGCTGCGCTAACAAATCTTCAGTTTCTTCACACAATTCGAAAAAGCTGGGACGATCATGGGGGTTTGCCTGCCAGCAGGGATAAATTATTCGAACGTACACAGATGGAGGGCACATTGGCGGGCACGGAAATCTGGAGAATAGAATCCAATTATTATTATTACATACCGGGTTCAAGTATGTAAGTATACCGAACTGTAAATTATAAATGATTATATTACCTTGTTCCGCTCTCAATTGCATTCAGTAAAATTTGCTGCTCTTGCCCAACGGAGTCATCCGGCTTTGGCAGCTGTAACTTTGGTTCTTCTCCGTACGCGAACATTTCACACATTGTAACACCATATGACCATACATCGGAGCGTGTCGAAAATTTACCGTCGCGGAGGCTTTCGGGTGCATACCTAAATGTTGTTAATTAGTCAAGTTTACAAGAAGCAATAACGGCAGTTTACCATTTTATAGGAAGGTCTCTGTTAGTCTTTATTATATAGTATTCATTTCCCTCCATGACCTGAGCTAAACCGAAGTCGGATATTTTTACGTGATTTTCATCGACTACTAAAATGTTTCTTGCTGCTAAGTCCCGGTGTACTATGTGCTTGGTTCCTAAGTAGTTCATACCCTGAAAGAATAGTCCAAAGTATACTATTGTGGCTGCTTGAGTGAACACATGGGACAGCATCCCTATGTCCATAACGATTGCTTTGCATATAATCACACTTCTTGGACTACAATTTTCTTACCAGTTACAGGAGGAGGGGAGGGGGAGATTTTTTCCTCCTGAAGCAATAGAAATCCCCCAAATAAATAAGTGATTTTGTAAAAAAGGTGACATTACCCCTTCAAAAAAATTTGTCTCCCAGAAAAATATGCTTTGTACTATTTCAACACCCAAAACAGGACTTTCTACGCTGATTCTTAATTGATGAAAGTATTTTAATTACATTCGATTACATTGATATTATGAAAAATCATTGCAGATTCAGTTTTGGAAAAAAAAGCTGTTAAGTATTAGTTGCTGTTCTCTTTTTAAACATATAACCTCTTGATAGAGCTTTACTATAACTAACTTTGATCAATAGATGAATTCATCAGTTAACGTTTGACCTTGAAAAATGGAGGGAAAAAGTGTTCAAATCCTATTTTGTGGTAAATTCTATTCATTTGACAAAATACAATTAACTATGTAAAAAAGTCTGAAATAAACCAAGAGCCCAGAATGGTTCATTTTGGAACCACTCCTCTGAAAGTCCCAGAATTTGCGTTTCTTTTTTAATTTCTTCCCAGCAACCATAAGAGATATAGCGACTTTATATAGGTTGTTGGGTATGCCGTTCAAAGTAGCCTTGCACAAATTTATGTTACCTTAGTTTTTGTTTTGTGTAATGCGTCTGTAGAAGTTCAGTAAATTTATAGTTCCAACTTTATATCTATCTCCGTTACTGAGAAGGAAAAAAGAGGCAATTGTTTGTATTTTTAGGGGTGTAGCACCCAAGCAAAGCATCCATTACGGTGTTTGAATGCTTCGTTTATTTGTAAAAAATTTTTGTGTTAGTTTTTGTAAGTGGTAAATAATAATTAATTGTACAAAATAAATCACGTAATTAAATTTACATTACCCACATTATTATAATTATCATAAACTGTATTGTATGGGCAATTCTAGAAAAGAGCCTTTCTGGACTCCTGAGAAGTTGATTGATATCTATTTTTACTGATTTCCTTATTATATTTGATCCAAATTCCAATGAGATTCTATAAAATTGAATACGAAGGAAGAATATTTTATTTGACTTGAAAATTACAACTTGACAATCTCTCAATGATTTTATTCCAACCGATTGCTCTGATCTTAATATTCCTGACCATGCGACCATTCCATAAGAGCTTTCATATAACATAAAAATTCAGGAGTCATGAAAAAACAAGTATCACATGTGGCATTTATGCAAAATGAGATAGCAGCAAAATAACAGACGATCAAAAATGAGTCACCTTTGGAATTTTTGTTTACATGGAAAATAGTATTTAACTCGAACTTCCAAAGGCAACTCGACAGCCACTCATTTTTGATCGTCCGTTATTTTGCTGCTATCTCATTAGCTTTTTTTTTTAATTTGTAGCAGTTGATGAATTACATACTAAAAGTCATTAAATCTATTACACTAATGCCGTGGGACATGATGGTATTAGTTAGCAACAGAGTTATTAAATTGTGCATGCCATTTATTTTGCCCATCATAACCCACCTCATGCCTGGAGAAATCGGTATTCCCACATGACTGGAAGAAAGCATTAATAAACCCGATCCCGAAAGTCAAATCACCAAAAGAATTAAAAGATCTACGTCCGATTAGTGTCTTGTCATTTATGTCAAAAATATTAGAAAGGATAATGGAACTCCGCAATCATATACAACTTAATAATGTGCTGCCAGTTAACCAATCAGGGTTTAGAAAAGGATACAGTTGTGCCACTGCATTACTAAACATTGTTGACGACTTGGTTGCAGCTACAGATGCTGGTAAGGCAACAGCTGTCGTTGTTTTGGATTATTCAAAAGCATTTGACACTATAATCGTAATGTCTTGTTATCAATCTGCCATTATATTGGTTTACGTCCTAAAGCTGTTAACCTGTTACACAGCTATCTCACTGGTCGTTATCAAGCTGTGCGGGTTCGAGACAGTGTCTCTGGATTCATTGAAAATAAATGTGGAGTCCCTCAAGGATCAATCATGGGGCCTCTCTTGTTTAGTCTTAATATTTCCCATTTTCATAACGTTTTAAAACATTGTAACTATCACTTTTACGCCGATGACTCGCAAATCTATCATTCTTTCTATGCTGCGAAGCTTAAATGCAGCAGATCGTATAAATGAGGATTTAGAACGTATTAGTGAGATTTCTCAACAACATTCTCTGAAGCTTAATGTTGACAAGTCGGCTGCTATATTTTTTGGGAGAAAGAACGATACTGACTTTGCTAAACATAATATAACATTAAAAATCGACAATAATGCAATAGCGGTTGTTGATACAGTTAAAAATTTAGGAGTTATTCTTGATTCAAATTTGCGGTTTAAAAAACATGTATCGCAGTGTTTACAAAAAGTGTACAGAAATCTTAGGCTGATTTATCAAAGTCGTCACATGCTGAATATCAGGGTGAGAGGTATCTTATGCAACAGTTTGGTTTTATCACAAATGGATTATTGTGATGTAATATATGGTCCGTGTATTGGTTCACAAGATAAAACCAGGATCCACTTCAGAATGCATGCTTAGGGTTAATATTTGACATACGGAAATTTGATAGAATTTCACATAAACTGAAGGATATTAATTCGGTAAATATGTTAAACAGACGTTATCTGCACTATTCAGTACTTTACTTTAAAATCTGTTATTAAAAACTCCACCACTTATATCACAAAATTACATTCAGAACAGATGTACATAACTTAAATTTGAGGTTTAGGGGCCACATTACCATACCACGGTTAACCACTGAACTCGGTCGATGTCGTTTTACTTGCAATGTAGCGAAATGGTGGAATGATTTGCCACAGAACCTTCATTACCTGCGTTTCGACATAAGCTTCGTACGTCATTATTGGGTTAAGTGGTAGAACAGCACGCGCCTCTAACGTGAGCTGATCAATCTCGCCCTATGCGATATGTTATAATAATTGTCATAAAATCTGTGTTGAAATAAAGACCATATTATTATTATTATTATTTTGCATAAATGCCAAATGTAATATGTACTTGCTTTTTAATGAACATTTGAATTTTTATGTTATATGAAAGCTGTTATAGAATGGATCTCAAAACCCCTAACTCTTTATTACACTGAGACAGGCCGGCGCCTGAGCTCAAACCAAAACAACTATAAATTGTGCACAACTCTTGTGCAGATAAAGCGCATTTTTTTAAACCGAAATAGCTTTTGTTTTGACATCACCAATGGATATATTTCTTGCAGACGTCTCAATCGCCCTTTGTGAGTACCCTCTTCGTCCGTTCAATCCCTTCTTGAGGTATAAGGGAATATTCACGATAAGAGGTCCCCTCCACACCGTACTTTGATAAGAGGACAGAAAGAAGGGCAGTAGTTGGTAGAAAACGGTTCCTTTAGTTGAGACCTTTAATAATACAATGAGAGATAAAATTAATTTTTACCCCCCCCCCCCCCTCAGGCCCCGTCGTTCACCAATCTCGAAAAAGAGTCGCATGGGAAAGTTATAGTTTGCACAAACCAATTTATTTCGATCAGATCTTTCATTAGAATACCATGAAGTATATTTCGAAAACTATTCTCAATGTATAAGTTTTTTTCTTATTCCATTTGAGGATGAGTATTGAACTAGACGTATGAAAGACATAATAACAGAATTGTAAAATTCGCGAACCATGGTGTAAACAGGGACAGGTAGATTGTCCGGTTGAAACTGAAAGTACATATACCATTCTAAATAAAAGAAATATGACAGATTGTTCTCTAAGTGTTCAAGGATATCATTAATTTAAATTAGAGGGGAGAAAGAACAGTCAGAGAATACGCCTATACATGGCCATGCCTGACAAACACACAATACAAAGAACCATTGTTCAAATATCGCACCTGTTAATGCAGTGAATATACGATACTATTGTAGTAAAAACATTGACTCTGTGGACAGTCGACTTATTCTGCGGACAAAATTGAGCGTTCAGAATGTATACAGGCTACTATCTAGTGTAGTATTATCTTTGCGTGTAGGAATAATGGTCTCTAATGATTAATTGAGTTGTTGATTCTGAACTATCCAAATTACAGACCCCCAAACCTTTTGGATATCCCAGGCCTTGCCTCAGGTTGCCATGTGATATTTACGTCACGGGCTGCGTCCTTTCCCTACCGCCCACAGGTTGGTAGAAAATCATCCAAATATGGAAAAACTAATAGATCAGGGTCAGATTCTACCACTCTTTCTAATTAAAATTAGACGATCTTAAAAGATTGGACGCACACACTTATTATTTGAAGTAAAGCAATCTGAAATAAATACACCAAAAACCACAAAGAAATCTTTTTAATTGCACAGGAGGATAATCATTTTCATATTGAAGATCATGTCTGGTCAACAGTACACGAAACTAAGAAAAAAGCAACACCTGTAAAACAATTTAAATTTAAAACTACTTCCTCTGGTAGCAACTTTGATTTTCCAAGCAAGGAACCGCTTATTTGCCGCCCACCAAGTAATGCAACCCTGACAAAAATTCTTACCTTTGCAATATCCAAAGCATATTTTAAAAGTTGCTTTATAGTTAACGATTCTCGATAAATCTTCAAGTAGCTTTGCAATGAACCATGATGAACAAATTCCATGACCAACGATACCTCCGGTTCTTGCAGAACACCTAATATATCGACAATATTTGGATGCGTTAAGGTCTACAAATACACATTATAGGTACAATATGCACATGTTAACTGCACCTTCATAATAGAAATTTCTCGTTCGAAGTCCTGCAGGCAAGTTGAAACGGCAGACGTTTTTAATTTCTTCACAGCGACCAGTCGCGGTTCAGAATCCTCGTCGCCCAAATACTCTAACGTTCCCTTATACACTTCCCCATAAAATCCCTGAAAGTTTAATATGGAGACAAACGAACAGATGTTGAAATGTCTAACCTGGCCTATACGACCCTGTAAGATGACATTGCAATTGGCGTCTAATTCAAATATACTCTGCATGGAGCTTATGCTATCTAATGAAGTGGCAGATGTCGCTACCGAAAAGTTGAAGTTTGAGAAAACTGTGGAAAAGTTACACGAGATGTTATCTTCATAATTATCCATGTCCTGAAAACGCACTTCTGTTGGCAAAATTTTAATGAATTACTTTATTACCTGTGAATAGAAGAGGCACTTGGAAGTCAATGAGTTTTCCCTACTAGAATCAGAGGTAGCAGTTAAGTCGGAATCGGCTTCTGCCATGTCCGAAACTGACACTAACTCATCTATGGCAGTGCTCTCTAAAATAATCAAAAGTGTGAAGGGGAAAGCAAATAACAACAAACCTGTGTTAGTCGAAAATATACTGTTAACCGATATGATGTCACTGTGAGAGAGAGAACTTAATTTCATCTTTGAATAAGCGTGAACAGCTCTCGAGTTATAAACTGAAACAAATAATTTAGGTTTGGTTGTGAAGGTACGAACATACTTTGATAGTAAATTTGGTTAATATCTCGAAGCAAAGCCTGTGGTTGTTTGCGACAGTGCGGATCAGGGTCCCAACATTCGAGCATTACTTGATAAACGTTGCTTGGGCAGTCTGATGGACGAAGTAATCGTTTACCGCTTGCGTAATACTGCAACATAAACATCACATTAGGAAAAAAGTTGTGCGGTGTCTCACTCTCATAGCATCCATGTAGTTGTTATGCTCGATTGTTTCTCCGTACGTAAATATTTCCCAAAGTGTTGTGGCAAAAGCCCACACATCTGCGGCAGTAGACCGTTTCGCATATTCCAGATTTGAGTAACACTCAACAGGTATCCAATGAACTCTAAATTATTTTTTAATTTCTTGTTGTAGAAATAAAATTGCTTACTCTTTAGAGGCATATGAATGGAAAATTCCTGGGTCCCCAAGTTTGACAGTAAATTTATTTTCTTCGTGGCAACTAACCAAAATTCTCCTACAACGAATATTACCATGTACAATACCGTGTTCCTCCTGCAAATGTTAACAAAATGTTAGAAGAAACTTGGGATTTCATTACCAAATGCCATAATGCCGAGGCCAAATTCGAGGCGGCTTCAATTAAATCTACAACTTTTAACAGTGCTTTATTCTCTCTGAGATATTCATCTAAAGGTCCTAAACGCATATGTTCTAATATCATAGCCACTGGACTACTTAACGTAATCCCAAATAATCGGACGATCGCGCTCGATTCTAAATAGGCCCAGTGACCAGTCAGTTCCATAAAATCCTAAAAAAGAACTTTTTTTACAGTTGTACAAGTTAACCATTTCTTACTTTGAGATACTTTTCATAGAGATCGTGCTTAAGTACTTTCATTGCCACCTCGATTTTCTTTCCCTTTGCTAAACGCCACATACATCGATATACTACTGTGATGCCGTCTTTTCCCTCTTTCTTTTGCCCTGAAAAATAAGCAAATTTACCACTAATCCAAGGAATGTAGATTTCTCTATGCTCGCGTTTTCCTTGTGTGCGTCAGACGAGCTCCAATGGTATTAAACCTAGCCTGGACTCTATCACAATTATAAGAATTAGAAAGCTATTCAGAAGAATCAATGGTTTCCACTTGTTACCACAAGTAACCATTAGAGTGAACTGTGAGGATAAGGAAAGCATGTGTCCAGAATCGTTCCACAGACTTTTAGTCTAAGGACTGTGGACGTAAAGTTGGAGCAAGTTGAATTCAATTTAAAATCTGAACTCGCTGTATGGCTGAAAGAGAGAAACAACCTATCTCCCCCACAATTAAGAGGAGAAATCGGCCGCCAAAGTACCAAGCGTTTTTAGTATAGGAAAAATTAAAAATTTCTATGGTGAGTTCCAACTCAACTTACAACCGTCATACTCAGAAGGACCTTTCCGTTGGTTTAGATCCAGGTTACCGCTGCACCTTTGTGATTCTTTCGTTTTAAAAAATTACACCAATTTAACTAAAACTTTAGAATTAAAGTTAGCTCATGTTTGACCCTTGGAATGTATGTATGCTGTAACCAAAACAAACTTTTTCCCCAAAAAATCAATGGTCCAAAATTTGCAATTTTTTAACTTTTTAAAACAACAATAACAATAGAAGCATGTGTTGACCTTTGTTTTAATTAGAAAAATGTTTGTTTCAGTTCCTTAACTTTGTTACACCCTGTATACTATTTTTTAGTTATGTAATTTAACAATCTGTAAGTTTTTTTAAAAGCTCATGTCCCTTAAACGGTTAGATTTAAAAAGCTCATAGCATTTAGAAGGCTTTGGAAACTCTTGAGCCTGAAAGAGCTTTTAAAATCTCATCTTATCCGATTAAGATTCTTAAACTCTATCAAAGGTTCTAAAAAACCTCGTAGACCCTTGTAAATTTGTTTGGCCTCTTCAAGAGTCACAGATAAATCCATAAGGGTTATAAAGGCTTCAGGGGATTGGAGACTAGTGCAAGTTAACCTATCCAGGACTCATAAAATATGGAATACAGCTCCACTATACCAAAATCTTACGATGCACACAAATGGTGCTTCTCAAATAACCTTCACAGTTTTCGTTTTGTTTAGTAGTGATCAATTTTTACACGGAGGTTAACAGTATATGTTCATTTTACCGTATTTTTCATATACAATAGCGCTGATTTCGTCCATCTGTCTTAGAGCTGTAGTTCTCAGTATTACAGTCTGGTTCCAAGACATATAGACTGGAGGACAAGAAAACAATTTTTACTAAGCGCATTCCACGTTTATTTGTTCCATGGTAAAAAAATAATTAAACATGTTTTAGTGCAAATAGTAACCTACATCACAAGACATAGTGACATGTGACCGTTGCAGTAAACATCCATGCGTTTGACAGAAAATAACTGAATGTTGATAGGCATTTATTGCTCTCGTCGAAATATACATGATATTTCTTGGAGTTTTTGCAAAATTAATTTACTCGCCATATCCCAAATGGCATAAGACATATGTAAAAAATATGCTGCAACAACCCAGATGAGTGCAACAGCCGGCAGTTCTATCTCCTGCTTGATTTGTGGAATATTCTTTAGTATCATTGTGTGGCATAGTGTAAAAAATTCGTTTATTGTAGAATCTGCAGTAGGCTATGACATTTTTCTCAAAAGCGGACTTAGACTATGGGTGGCAAAAGCCTAATCCAGCTCTGTTAAAGACATAGAGACGGCCATACAAATCAGCGCAAACATATGATACAAATATTGGGATTCAGAATAAAAAGAGTCAAAACCTTTACTAAGGTGGCAATACCTATTCCCTCAAAATACCTGCCTAAGTTGCAACCCTCTACACTCATTTCATTTTTCTTTGATATGAAGCACATACATAAGAAAACAAGCGTAATATTTTGGAGAGTACATAAGGTGGTGTGCTAATTTAATCCAAATACAGCCTAAACTTGTGTGTTTTTTTTAAATGGAAACCATTGTTGATTATGATGACTTTTAAAAAAATACCATTTTAAACGATTCTAACGATATATGGCACTTCTAACGATTTATGGCACTTTTAGGTCAAAAATTTGCTACTATTTGCGTTTTGTCCCTACTTTTGGGAAGATTGCGCTCGAATTTTGTTACTCGATATCCAAAGCTTTCAAATTTTTGTCTCAAAAGCTTGCCGTTCTCAAATAAACCAAACACCTTTTTTATAACCCTACTGACCGCAACGGATTGCTATACTTCCAGGTTGATAACCTGGGCTGTATGTGCAAAATCGCCTCAAATGTGAAGGTCTTGAAATGGTCAAAAGAGGTCATGCGAACACTACTGCCTACGGCATATTTGGAAAACCGTTTACTTTTGCTGTATGGTAAGCTACATGCGAAATATATAGAATGTATTGTAAATTGCAACTATGTACAGGGCGTTACATTAAAAAAATTCTTTAAGCCGCTTGCGAGCAAGAGGCAAAGAGTGGACTTGCAAATTTGTTTTTTTGATTTTAATAGCCCTTATGGACATTTCATGCCTTAACGAGAATACAAGCATGAAATCATTTTTAATAATCTGATCGAGTGACAGTAATAGTCCAGTCAAATTATCATACTACCTTGCATCAGATGTGTCATTTCTATTTATTTTTTTAAATTGTTAGGCTAAGTATGGATGTCAAAAATCCAAGTTTTCGACATCCAAAGACCTGTGCGAGCAACGCAGCACTCGAAAATACGCCATTTTTTCTATTATTTTTAGGTTTTGGTTAGTTTTAGTTCTGAAGGACAGATTTTAAAGCAATTACTGTCGTATACTTTTTTAAACTAGACAAAATTTGTGACAATTCAAGCCCTTAATCGGCTCTGTAAGTCTAATAGTTTTGGAGATACAGTGTTTCAAAAATTCGTAAATTCTCAGTTTTAATCAAATTTGCCTTTTTTTAGCATAAAAACCTCATGAACATTTTTATTATTTTGTTCGTTTGGGGGGACTTTGGGGTGAGGGGTCTCCATAAATCCGCACAGAAAGAGGTAGAATGTTGATATCCTCTGGATCCCCAGCATCTCCCACGATAAGAAAGTTGTCATCTTCTTCTTCAGCAAGATCCACTACCTGTAGCATGGATTGCGAAATCCGTGAATTTTTTCCTTTTGCCTGACCTTGCTCGACCATTCAAAAGGAACACCGAATATAGAAGATCTGTGACAGTAGCAGAAAGCTTACTCACAACACTATGATTTGAATGAATAACGCATCATATACCGGGTAATTCATTAGAAGTGATGATCGCTTGAATTTCGCGCGTAAGGTTTTAGTATTTTTTGCATTATTAGATTGACGGTTTGAATTTCGTTAGTATTTTTTTTCTGACATGACTGTCATTTAAGAAACCAGTGTCGCCGTTAATTGTTGTGTGCCATTTGCGGTTTATTACATTTTCCATTTTGAACAATTTTTAGAGTTGATGCACTAAAATATGTAAGAAACGTGACTGTGTCTAGTGTTAGTTTATAATTTGTGGTAAAACAGAAGCAGTATTTGTAGATTATAAATAAGTAAACGATTTACTGAAAGCATGATGATACACGATACACCACTGCAATTAAATAAAAGATCATCAGTTAGTACCAACTTCATAATTTATTTGATTTGCGGGAAATTCAAATTGTCCTCACTTCTAATGAATCAATCCATAATAATAAATCAATAAACATGGATATTTTTCCACTAAAAGACAAAAATCAATATTTAATTTGCTTTCATTATCCGCAATTTTTAGCACTTCTTCAACAACAAGTTTATTACGACTCACGACTTACGACAATTCATCGTGCAAATTTGGTAAGTTTAGTTTCTGCGAAGAATAACCGCCAAATTTTGATAAAACTTGTAAAACTAATAAGTTTACCAATAGTTGAAGCGCCGTATCTCGGAAACTATTAGACTTGCGGAGATCGTTAAGGGCTTAAATTGTCAGAAATTTTGTCTAGTTCAAAAAAGTATACGACAATAATTGCATTAAAATCGGTTCTTCAGGAGTAAAACTTACAAAAACCAAAAAATGGTAAGAAGAATGACATATTTTCAAGTGCTGTGTCGTTCGCACAGGTCTTTCAATGTCGAAAACTTGGATTTTTCACATCCATATTGATCCTAACAATTTAAAAGAAAAATTAGAGATGACATATCTGATGCACGGAATGCCCATTTTTAGCGCATTTTTTAAAAAAATACGCTATTATATTCGTTATTACTGGCAGGCCGGCTGTCCGCGTGAGATCTCCACAACTACAATAGCTAGAGAATTCAAATTTTCACTAAAAGCTTTCTGCTATAGTGTAGATGTGCAGGCACTAGTCTATTTTGAGTTAGATTACTTGTGAGATCGATAATTGAAGAAAATAATTTCGATATGGGTTTCGGAGGTGTTATAATTTTACCGTTAGATAGCGCTACCAGTATAAAAACTTATTTACTTTGTGATTTGTTTTACAAAATGAAGACGTACCGTCAATTGAAATTAAATAATAGTATATTATTATACGAGCATATAAAGTGTGCGATTATGACACGAGGTGAAGTTTGCAACACGAGCCGAAGGCGAGTGTTGTAATTTTTCCGAGTGTCATAATCGCCTTTATATGCAAGTAAAATACGCTATTTTATCTACGACTATTTAATTAAATAGAAAATGCGGCATCTGAATCAGTTTGAAACGTAGCAACTTCATAGCGGTAGCGCAATGTACGCCTATGGTTTGGTTTGCGTTCGTTCATTCGTTGACGGTATTTAACCTCAAATCTAATTCAATGCTCAGATTCAAAATGTATCGCAATGTACCTAAGTGGCGAACTAAATATGCAATTTATCTAAAGTTCCCAGAAGTCATTAATTCAACACGTAATTACCTACACGTAAGATTATTGCTAATATAAATGGTTGTCATTCATTTTTCATTGTTTTAGATTGTGACATAACCTATGGAAGTAAGGTGGATATTTATGTGATGTACCTGTACAACTATTCTCTAAATCCGATCCCGATGTATCAATTATGTCTGCAGAAATTGTTACACAGCTGCCAAATGGAATACAATATTTTGTTTCGCATACATAATCTAATTTTTCAAAGACTTCGTTACGCTTCTCCGACCTGCATCCAAGAAGTTTCTTCCTCTTTTAGAAACGAAGTTTAAGCAATGAAAGCATAGTTTTATTGCAAATTTAAGGGCAAGAGGTGTTTTTTATTAGTTAACGTACATATTGTAGCCATCTATTTAAGTAATTTGGTCAATGCCTAGTATGTAAGACCTGTTACGAATTATCAATTCTTAAAATAAATCATGCAAAACTGTGGTTAAGTGCTACGACAATTTGTATCCTTTATTGTCAACGAGTTTACAATATGTTATTGTTTTGTATCGTGGCACAATTTCGACAACAATACCACATATGTTGTACGAAACATATTTCTCTTCGTAAAAGGCTGAAACTTATAGGTTATACCTAGCATAATCTTCAAATGGGGCTTCCGATAATCCATTATGCTACAAATAATGCCTTGTGAATATGAAGGTACAGATACTTTAAATACAAACGAAAACCTTATTCATGCTCATGCAGAATATTTGTATCAGCGAAGGTATCTGTCGTTAAGTAACGTTGCCTGAACTTGCCAATGACTTCAGGTATTTTACAAGTTTATTTCATCCCATTTTATAAATATCGCACATATCTCGTCATAGAGGTGGATCAAGTTCCTGTATTAATTGTTTTTCAAATAAACCTACAAAGTTAAGCGTACGTAACCCGAAATCTCTCTTTTCTAACCTAAGAAATGCTTAATTCAAAACAAAACTGACAGGTAGTACATACGAGATGGGCGGTTCTATTTTTAGTACATATGCAATTATGAACTTATACATATGCAATTATGAGAAATATATAGTGACATAAAGTAGTTGTATATAAGGATTTTAGAGGAACCGATAATAATGCATATCATAATTCGCTAAAATATAGTGACGTTATTTGAGCGTTATTTAATAGTCGTAGATAAAATTAATTATTTAACGCAGCCAAAATTACTCGTGAGAGCGATAATTTTAAACTTCGCTAATAAAATACTGACCTGCATTACCAAAAATGCGATTTAATCATGCATATGCTGATTTACTACTTGTTTTTATCTAATTTGACTGTACTAATACCAAGTCTGTAAGAGGTGTAGTTTCGAAACCTTTGTGATTCAGACAGACAGGTAGACAGACAGACATTAAAAACGCATTATTTTTTGAGAGTAAAAGTGCACTAAAAATTACTGCCGACGTCATATCTCCTACTTGCGATGACCTGTATATAACTGTTTCATATTGTTGCAAATGATTTGTGTGCCATCAAAAATTTCTGGAAAGTGGAAAGTAATGTCGTTCTAAAATATTCCAAATAAAATACAGATCAGCATTATTATAATAGTTATTATAAGATTGTATGAAACACAGCATACTTGGGAATGCCTCTCTACCTCTTATGTAAAGGTTCCTAAAAATTCAAACCATGAGATGGCGCCAGGTGGTTACACTCTGTCATTGAACTGTATACCCTGTAACTGGAATGGCATCGATATCCAAAATCGCGTGCCGTCTAACGTAGGTTGTGGTAGGTATGCTCATCCTTGTCTGGCACGTTGTCTGTATAATAATCCTTGTTTGGCACGTTGATTTGTAAAACGCATAACCGCCATGTGAGTGGAACACGATGAGGTGTACCTACCTCTACCCATCTCCCTCGTCACGCGGCCCTTGCATCAATTGTTTACAGGCAATGCGGTTCTAGTTACGGAGTATTTAGTTCAATGCACTCTCCATACAGTCTTTTGTTTTATTTATTTACTTATTTATTATCTCTCTCATGTCTCGTGCATAATGCTTTTTAGAGATGCCTCTGCAGAAGGTCTTAAGGTGTTCTATACTACTCCGGTATTTACCTTACGAACTAGGAAAACCTGCAGTTAAACCTAATTCGGAGTAGCTGGCAGAGTGCTCGAAACTGGTCTAAGGAAATTCCCACATCTGTCACAGATGAAAAATTCTTACCTCATCCCAGGGTCGAACACACGACCTCCGGCTTTATAGCCCAATTTGGTTAACGGCCATGTTGGATCTGGATGATCGCTCAATAACTACAATAATGGAGCAAAGTCTAGTCGCCTAGCTTGGACCTGAAGGGAAAGAGATTCCCTACATTCTTTCCTAGACCAAATCCATTGGACAGAAAGGAACCGCAATCCTGGTCAATGGAGAGTTAGAAGATGAGTTCTTTTCTCTCGAAAGAGTGAAGGCAGTACTCAGTAGAGATTTGTACATCACTTACCAATGCATCAAGATCAAGAGACTGCTGGATCGTGGGCCACATGTGCAGAAAGTGAGCTTGTCCGAGAGAATGAGTGAGACATAAATCCTGATAGGGCAAGATAACATTCATCATTCCAAAAGAATGTATTAAGCCTCCAATAAAGAACGCTCCGTGGGTATAAAGGTGTAAGATGGACACACTGGCCTGGCGAGGCAAGCACAAATAAGATATCCTTATTCATAGCTCAGAAGAAAACACCAATTGAAGAAATGATGCGAGAATTCATGAGTTCAGAGGAATTTGGAGTAGTGTCAAGGATGATCGGCCGCGATCAAGGAGACAAGCGTGCGGAGCATATCATACAGTTAACAATGAGGAGAGTTGACTCGGGACGTTGCGAAACAGGCTTTCTCTGGCGCGAGCTCTACCGAGACAAGATGACTCACAGTGAACAAATGTTCAAAAAGTTGATATGGGCAAGGCATGGTATTTGCGATTTGCCCCACTTTGGAGTCTTCAAACCCAAAAAGACTAATAAAATCAGAGTGGTTGTAGATACGCCCGCGAAGATCCACGGAGTCAGTCTCAACAACAATCTACTTACAGGTCCTGATTTGCTGGATTCCCTTCTAGTGATTTTGATGCTGTTGAGGATGAAAAGAGTTGTCTTTACGGTTGATATTGAAGAGATGTTCCACCAGGTCCTCATTTGAGACAAAGACATCAGAAATGCGCAAAGGTTCCTCTGGAGGAAAGACAAATCGCAACCTGTTGAGGAGTGGCAGATGATATTTGGAGTCGCCATCCTCCGCATGTCAAAAACAGAAACTCTATAGAATTTGAGAAAGATCACCCGAGAGTAGTTAAAGCGATCATTCAACCTCACTATATGGACGATTATTTGGATTGTAACGTGTGAGGATGATGGGGAAACGGCGGCGAGGCTCATGAGTGCGTCATCAAAGTTTATGCCTAGCTAGTTTAAGCTAGCTGAGTATGAAGCAGATAGGAAACAAATGGCAACCAAGAGGGAACTGTTGAGTGTCGTCATATCAGTGTTCGATCCTCTTGGTTTTGTGGGGCAGTTCGTGGTGTTCATTTGGAAATTGCTAACAGTCTGGACATGACTCGGCTTTGAGACGATTAATGGTGAGACGAGCTGCACCTAAAAAGCTTATGAGTACAACGGGACAAACGTCAAGCGAGCTTCGGACTGCCCCCGACACACAATATACGGGGCGTTACATTAAAAAATTAATGCCCATGTCTTATCTCCTACTTGAGACACCCTGCATATAATATTTTTAATCGAAAATAACGCGCAAGTGAAAATATTAATGGACGTGTCCAACATTTTTTTCATAACTTAAAAACTTCAACTGTTTGTATTGATTGTTTTATTCCGCCATTACAAGTCAATCGCTGAAATACTCGACTATAATAAACAATTATTTATGAAACCGTCGATTCCTTTTTTTGTTGACTTTAGGTTTGCTGGGAAGCGTACAGAATTTGAAATAAATATATACACCGCAAAGGACACATAGACAGACAATAACAACTGTGGTTATTAAGGCCGCTTTAACTTGCTCATCGCTTTCAAACCACGAAAATATTGGCGAGGTCAATTTGTCCTCCCTCAAATAAGTGTATATGTTCGGTGCAGATTTCACTTCCACCTTCAGTACGTTCGTGGTCCATTGAAGCTTCAAATCCCGTTGCTCCACGATGCATTTCCATAAGCCCGAGTGGGATTGGTTTATATCTTTTAAACGCTCAACGTTTACAGCTGATAATGTTGTTATACCGTAATCAAGATACATGCTATCATTCAACAACCATTTTTGTCGCAAATCGGAATATACGTAGCCTAATACAACCGCATTTGAATGTAAAGTAAGATCGAGAGTTGCTCGAGTAGAGATTAAATAGTTTGAGGTTAATACAGAAAGAGATGCAACTCTCAACACCAGTTTCTGTTTATTCACCCGATACAGCATGCAAACATACACTCCTGTATCCCCTACATTGGCATTTTGAATAATTATGTTGTCATCCTTGAACTTGAGACGTTCCTCATCAAATTTCAGAGGCAAACCATTCCAAGTCCACTCATAGTAAGCTTCTGGTGATTGGGCCGAAATTACATTTAGAAGTTCGTGATCATTTTCAATTGTGAGTCCACTATTTTCGGTGATAACAAAGCTGAAGTGCATTGTTCGAAGATTCTCACGAATTTTCTCCATGGTTTCCAAGCTTATATCTCCGCATTCAAAGTCGTTACATATTCCAGTCGACACTGATGGTCCTTCACACAGTTTCCCAAAGATATTGGGCGAGGGATTTGTACAAGTGCGAGTTCTGTAACCCTCACCCCCTCCGCAAGTTACGGTGCAGTGCCATGCTGACCAGTGGGACCAACCCCCATCCAATGGTTTACCGTCGATGTCGGGGGGATTGCAATTTGCCGTCCAAGTAATGGCACCATTTTTAACAACTACAGTGAACCAATAAATAAGTAAACCCGAATTGGTTGTGTAGCTCATTGTGGCAGTACTGTTTATGAGAACTGTGATAGCCTTTTCGGAAAATAACACGACTACCTTGGTCCACGTACTGTCAGTATAGAGCGTATGGTTAACGAAATGGCTGTGAAAATCTTTGGTGTGTTCTATAAACGACAACGTTTTCCTTGTATTATCGAACACCAATGAGTGATAAGAATCTGAGTCAGGAAACGTGAAGAATCTAACCGATAGTGTACCGAATCCTCTTATGTTTATCGTTAAATTGTTGTTCAAAACGTCTTCCTCTTGGGACCATAATCCGATGGGTAGAATTTTGGACGAATTTAACGTGGAATCGGTGACCTCCGTGTGGCAACTGTCACATTTGAACGATATTCCGATTGGAAAGCCTTCCAATGACTGATAGTTTAAAAAAAACGGTTCAAACGCGTAGATCGACTCCGGGTCTCTCCACTCAAAAATCGCATCGGTCAATCCTTCGTATCCCAATAGAACTTCGCCTTTTCTGACTTGTAGCCAAAAAGATGCCCATCGTCCGGATGGTATTATACGTGGTACAGTAAAATGTTTAAGTAAAGTTGTCCCATAGTAGAGAACCAATTTGTCATTACCCTGTGTTCCGATAAAGAGTCTTAAATGTTGTCTTCCATCTTTTGATGTTATTTCAATTGCCATTCCGCCCAGATTATCAGGATTCCATTGCTTCAGGGAAAAGAACAAGCCGCCGTCTGGGCCTGTTTCTTTCCACTGTGGGAGAATGTACAAATTTCGCCCTAAAATTTACATTGGGTATAAATGAGAAACATTCAGTAACTACCTGTCGCTTATTCGCGTCGTTATAGATGTTACACGTTAATAATTTGCTAAGCAGTCTTAAATTAAAAATAGTGGATAGTGTAACAGGTGGTCTTTAGAATTAAAACCAGGTGTCAAATTCTTGACAGAATAGCTTCCTAGCTGAAACCAAAAATTGCCAACATATGTACGTACATACAGACGGAACAAATAAGAAAGGTGCATTTTTTACTCATGCATTTTGTTTGCTTTTATTAGAGGGACCTACCATCCAAATTTCGTTAAAATTGCTCCATAAATAAGAAAGTTGGATGTTGCACATGCGCAACACTATTTTTTGCGCATGCATTTTGTTAGCTTTTATTAAAAGGACCTACCATCTAAATTTCGTTAAAATTGTTCCATAAATAAGAAAGTTGGATGTTGCACATGCGCAACTCGATTTTTTGCGCATGCATTTTGTTTTCTTTTATTAGGAGGACCTACCATCCAAATTTCGTTTTAATTGTTCCATAAATAAGAAAATTGCATTTCTGCGCATGCGCAACACGATTTTTGCGCATGAATTTTGTTTGCTTTTATTAAAGGGACTTACCATAGAAATTTCGTTTAAATTGCTTCAGAAACAAGATCGTTGCGTTTTGCACATATGCAACACAATTTTTTGACTTTGACAATTTTTTTCTCCGTTTTTTGATAATATAACCCGGCCCAATTTTTTGTAGGTTGTACACAGGAAAATAAGGTCTTCCAAATAATAGAATAAAAATTTTAGGTTGCTATTTGAAAAAAAAAGTTCGATGCCGTTACGGCGCTCCAAAATTTTTTTTCAAAAATCCGGCCCGTTATTTTTCTGTTCGGTATGCCTAAAACATATATACAAAATTTCAACAAAATCCGTCGAGCCGTTTTCTCAGAAAATTGCCAACAAACGTACGTACGTACGTACGCACATACGTACGTACGTACATACAGACGGAAAAAAATTTTATTCTTTAAAAGTTGCTTAAAATGGTCTAAAACGTCGACATTTGATGAAATTTTGAAATGTTCAAAAAACGGCTATCGCAATAGCTACCTAGCACATGCTAGGAAGCTAAAAATATTTTTGCGAATTTGTATTTTCTTCAGTATAGGAAAATTTACACATGTACTGCTTCACAGCGAACGTGAACGAAAGTATGTCTGGCGCTAACAATTTGTACGTTTCCGATAAAAGTGTAGGGTGCACTGTACAATGCACCAGAATAATAGAACATTCAACTTATAAACGTCTATGCGCTTATAAACACTTCGCTCATTCATTGAGAGTCTAGAGCAGGCTAGTCAAACTCGCGGCCCCCCGTTCTGAAACCTGCGGCCCATCACGACTTTTGTAAATTATAAAATTTAATTGCACCATGTGTTCTATTTTGGTTGAGACTGCAGTGTATTTCAGCTGTTTTTAAAGTGCGGTTTTGTGTATAATGTATAATACCACAAACAGAACCAATTAGCTGCGTTTGTTTCTGAGATGCAGGGTGAAAACGAAACATTTCTGAGGTTTGACCAAAAGTTGGTATTTAGTAAATGCAACACTCTGTATATCTTAACGTCAATTTCTTATCATTCCTTTTCCTGATTACATTCATGTATCACAACCTATTTTTTTTAAATTTTAGCGATGAAACAATAAACAATAAAAACCTTTTTTACTTCTTTAAATAGTAGGCCATGGATTCATGGAGATTTTGTTTTGTTTATTGTCTCCATTGTAACTAAAGCAGTCGATGCCAATCGACAAAAATGGCTGGCGGTAGGTACATGCCATTTCAAAATTTTGAAAAATAGTAAATAAATATAGGATGATACATTAATGTAATCACAAAAAAGAATGCATGATTTAAAAAATAATCTCAGAAACAGTTGTCCAAATTTTTTTACTACGTCACTGGATTCTACGTAAAAATACCTAAATAGGCAGTTTTTACCTTTTTTCTATCTTACATGGGTAGTCAGATTCCACAAAAAGTCAAATTTTTCATAACCGCCCTATATCTCAGACCTCAGAAACAAACGTAGTTGGATCGATTCTGTTTGTCGTATTGTTTCACAAAAAAATGTCACAGGGTCGCGAAAACCACAAGTCCCTTATCTTTAAAACCAGCTGGACTACACTGCACTTTCAACCAAAATAGGACACACGGTACATTTTCTTGAGCGCGTACTAAAATGATTTTATGATTATTTGCATTTTTTCGTTTTTTTTTGTATTATTTTGTTAATAATAAAAAATCAAAATTTGATTATGTGGACTTTTTATGTTGTGGCCCGCAGCTATAAGCGGAAACTTTAAAATGGCCCTTGATGATAAATGAGTCTGACATGCCTGGTCTAGAGGGTGGTTCCATCTTTATACCTATCTTGATTCATAGCACAGCGATATTGAGATGAACAATAAACTTATAGTGAGAAGTTACATTAGTTTCCTCCGATTCCTTTTTGATGTTGTAACATACTAGGGCCATCTTCATACACAAGACACAAATACTCCCCCGCGAGCCCGGAAACCACTTGAACAGTAACTCATCCTACGTAAATCTAACACTTGAGGCTCAAGCTAGCACAAAACCGACCCTGGACAATTAAACACGCAAACGCGTTCAAGTAGCAGCAACCGATTCCAAATAGATGCCTCCGACACCTGTTTTTCACTGAAATCTGACCTCGGTCTCTTGTTTGCGCCAATTTATCGTAAACTTGCGTTGTGAATATTATTGTGTAAACAACGTTTTGTAGATGTTATTTCGGTCTAGTTAGGCACCAAAAATAATGATGGGGCACCCTGTATATGAGAATATTTCAATTTATTAAGTCTAAAGGCGTATTTATGGTCACTAATAGTAATAACAAACACCTTAATATACATATTAATATACAGAGTGGCCCAACGAGAAGTATACAGAGGACATTTACGGTATTAAATTTATACATTTCGAAAAATCTTCGAACACGTCAATTTTGTATTCGAGGGGGACAACTTTTGGAATACAAATCACGAACCCAAGTCTTCACCCCTCTACGTAGGGAGCTTAACCCCTAAAATTTTAAATGGAATCCTATGGCAAATGGCACATTATTTGAAAGCCAATTTAATCGTGATTACTAATCTGCTTTGCTTTTTAAATTCTATTGATTCGTTTCGGAGATATTCGCATTTGAAATGGTTTTTTCCCCTGATTTAAGTCCTTTAGATTACTTCTTGTGGGGATATTTAAAGAATAAAGTTTATGCTACTCCGCCCGGAACATTACAAGGGTTGCGAGCACGTATAACCATAGTGTAAGAATAGAATACACTATGGTATAACTCAACAATTTCGAGCGATTACCCCTGAAATCTTGCAACATGTACGGCAGCGTTTTGAAGCAAATCTTTATTATTGCATGGAAGCAGGCGGAAGGCAATTCGAGCATTTATTGAAATAAATGTTGTCTGTTATTTGTTATTTTTTGCACAATTTAAACCTTTTTTAATACAAGGTGACTTAGATCGCATTTGTTTTGTTTTTTTTAGAAAAAACCATTTCAAATGCGAATATCTCCGAAACGAATCAATTGAATTTAAAAAGCAAAGCAGATTAGTAATCACGATTAAATTGGCTTTCAAATAATGTGCCATTTGCCATAGGATTCCATTTAAAATTTTAGGGGTTAAGCTCCCTACGTAGAGGGGTGAAGACTTGGGTTCGTGATTTGTATTCCAAAAGTTGTCCCCCTCGAATACAAAATTGACGTGTTCGAGGATTTTTCGAAATTTCTAAATTTAATACCCTAAAAGCCCTCTGTACTTCTCGTTGGGCCACTCTGTATATATTAATACAGGACACCGACATTGAAAACCGGTCACAAATTACAGCGCCACGACGTTATTGCGGCAGGAAGTGTCAACAGTAAGCTGTCATACTTGGTTTAAACTTAATTGATGGTTTTACGTTCTTTGTGATAGTTATTGTTATGGATAAATTGATAATATTGAGGTATTTAGTAATATCACATATCTTAGATATTAAATAACTTTGCTTATATCATTAATTTGCTCCTTAATTTTTCGTCATTCCACACCGGGCCGTGTAGATGGCGCTCTTTTCCGTGTCTCGCTAAAGTCACTAAATATAGAAAGTACCGCAATCCATTGGGCTCATGTGTTAGAGAGAGAACGCATGATTTTTGCCCAAAAATGGCGGAAGTTGCCAGATTCTAGTAACTTTAATGTTAGGGATTGTTCCACCTGTTTAGAGATATCTGTATATATTTTTATAAAACATGACAGTACTATGAAGTTAGGTTATAAAAAATTACAGCTATTCAGATTTTATTTGTCAATTTTTTTAAGTTGGCAGCAAATTTGCCCAAAAATGGCGGATGATTGCGGTACTTTCTATATCTAGTGACTTTATGTCTCGCGTTACGCAAATGCAAATAGTAGTAAGTTTTCCTGTAGTAATATATTAAGGTATCTGCTAATAATAAATAATTAGAATAAGTAATAAATAATAATAATAAAAGTTAAAAGTAAAGATTTAGATAGGATTGTCTAGACTAGTATAAATGGTGGAAAAAGATACTATTACTTATTACTTATTAGTGAGCATAAAATGACCGAATTGAACCTGATAGCCGAAGACATGTCCAAGAACGCCCGTCGGTCCCTAGTTAAAGATCGAATATGGGAAATGTGAATCGGAAGCGTTCCTAAGGAAGTTCAAGGAGGTTGTGGGTCCAATATTCTTACCAATTAAGGGAAGATACAATCTTAAAAAGATATATCAGCTCAGATTGGGACATACTTCCCTCACGCATTCATTTCTTTTGACGAGTCAAGATCCTCCCCAATGCGAACAATATTTAGACCTAACTGTAAATCATGTACTTTGTGTGTGTCCCAAATATAATGTAGAAAGAGTACGGTGTAACCTGAGTGAAGAAATAATAGAAACCTTGACAAATAAAGATCAATGTGGAGCAGTTATAATATATCTTAGAAATACTGGCCTAATATCTAAATCTAAATTACACTGATACCTATATATATTTAATAAGGCAAATGACCATAGTAGTCGAGGGGTTTTAGTGGGTATACCCGGTATCTGGGGGAGCCCCACACTTAGTGCGTCATTGCATTTCCCCTCCTGAAGAAAAAAAAAATACACCTTAAATCTGGGGGATTATTTACGAAATAAGTACAAAATTACGTGTTAAAATTTACGGATCTGATTGTTTCTGGTTGTTTGTTTGCAATAAGAAGTTTTGTTGTCGGACGAAATTTAATTAACGCACGTGTTCTTATCGATGTCGCTGTTAGAAGAAATATCGAAGAGACACAGATATTACGTTGTACTTAAACGTAAGCTGGCATTATCTAGTTTGATTGTGATTGGCGGTTGATTTGAAAGATCTTGAGCAAGATTATCTTATGGTGGAAGTGGTGTTTCTTTAAATACCGGTTGTCAGCCGTAGTTGTCGTCTTGGGAAAGATTCTGTGAAACGCATCTACATCTGCTCGGTAGTTCTTAAGGCGCTAGCTGGAGCCTCAGCAAGTCTAGCTGGAGGAGTGATAAGAAGCAAGCGTAGAAAAGAGTGGAAACGTCTATGGGAATCTGTCCCTGGACTAAGATAATCCAAGAAACTGATCAGTTTCTAGGAGGCTAAAATCTTGCTCGTGCACTGCACTCGGCAGAAGTGAACTAAGGTCATGCATAGCCATAGGCATCATCTCAACACATCACAAGACCTAGGTGAAGTTATAATAGCACCTCAGCAAATCAAGGAGTTGCAGCCCAACAGGATCCACACATTTGGTATCAGTTAAGAGCAAGAATTTGAGTTATGGACTTACGTATGTGACTCAACAATTCACACGTAAATACGACCTTGACGCACCTAATGTCGAATGCAAATTTCTGGAAATAACCAACGCCCACGATAAACGCACTAAAGTTTAGGCGCCCTCTATGGGGAAGCCGTAAGTATTACAATTATAATGACAATGGAATCTGTTGACTGATTTCATGAAAAATATCGATTTTTAGCGACTTTAGCGTCGCCCTTGGCAAAATCTGGCCACTTGTTTTAAAGGCCCCTCTTAAACAAGAAGTGGATTATTTCTGTGTATCAAGTTTTTTCGTTTCTCAGCACTATTTGTATCAACTAAAAGATCGTGTAACACCTATAACAATGGTAACATTTTGATTGTTCAAACAATCGCGACCTTTATCATATTCCCTCAGTAATATAATACATTTTTCAGATTTGCTACAATCTCGCACATTGCAAACATCCCGTTCAATATTCGCATCTGTTGTAAAACACCAACTGCCTAAAAATAAACTTTAATACAACAGAAAACGGTACCTCATCTCCAGTTACCAGCAATACTTCTTGTGGGATTCCTACAGAAATTGTCGGCATCTTTTACTGTCATATCCGTAAATAGTGTGTCATTAAGATACTCCGAGAACCTTCCATTGTTACTAAGTGCATTAATCCAATTTCTACATGTACGTCGAGATCGCGTCTTATTTAATTTTCCAATATAATCGTTACCAGTCCCTGCTACCTTACATTCAGCAGATTTGCATCTACGTATATTACAATATTTTTTTTGGACAGCTTTGTTACCAGATTGATTTATAACGTAACAGTAAGTTCCTTGGGGGTCGTTTGTTGGATTACGACAATAGTTTTGATCGCTTTTTGACAAGAGATCCTCGAGTTTGGGTAGCAATCGACGACTCAACCAAGGTATGCAGGGAAGCCCTTCGCTAGTAACTGTCTGAGTTCCTTTATAATCCGGTTCGTGCTTATATAGGGCGCACTCTGGTGGCCACGCATTAGGTGGATTGGCGGAAGGTGGCGGTTTGCAATAAAAAGTCCAGTGGGCGACGTTATTGGCCGAACTAGGCGAATACCAACGTAGCTTTTTGATCGTCTCATGCTTTACATCCATAATCATACGCTCTCCGACACTTCTCGTCCAGTAGACGTGGAGGCTGTCTGAGAACAGCATGAGAGAAAAGTCGTTCCATTTCCAATAACTTAAAATGGAAGGGAAGATTGCCTCTTTCAGAACGGTTCGTGGACCATTTTCATACTCGGTGCTTACTACACGAGTTACATTGTCTAATTTGCTTAGCATTAATTCTATGCGTGGAAAGTTGGTAGGTGGGTTTGTTACTAATAGGATATGCGCAGAATGTGCCGCGCGCACTGTGAACCGTAATTCGTGTCCAGTATCTGTCACACGCAGAGGGAAAAAATGCTGATATGCTAATGCTGTTGTTGTATGCACGTTACAAATAGCATCTGCATTATCAAATGGAAAATTCCATAAAATGTTCGTTCCTTGAAAGGAGTAGAAGTAAAACTGATCCTTCAAGTAACCCAGCAAGTTACCTTTCGTTTTAAACTCATTGATAAACAACGATGTAGTTTTTCCTTCATAACTCAGAGTTATATACCCAGAGCTCCAGGTAAGCGAGAGAAATGTAAAAGTGGCAGACTTGATGATACCAATAGAAGGCTCCAGTTCCACCTTCCCTCGGCTTCCAATCGTTAAACCAACTTCACGATTGGACACAAAAATTTCTATGCCAATTTCTGAGTCCTTTAATTCTTTTCGGTTCAGTGGTAAAGCGTACAATGACAAAACCAAGCGAGCGCTGGCTAAATTGTAATCGTCCGAATCCCACAGCTTAATACCGAATGTGAGGTTTGAAAATGTGTGGTTAAAAGTGTGATAGTGCGAGTACACAGAGTCATCCTTCGAAAAGGTGAAAGATTCATAGACATCACAAAATGGAATGTCACAATACTCTCGTTCAATTTCATTTGTTTCTGCGTGCTCTATGAAACACCAAGGGCCACCGAAATCACCGTCGGGATTTCTGCAGTATTTCTTGGCGTCACTTAATGAGCCTTCCGGAAACCTGTCTTTTGTAAATTTATCAATTGAAATATAGGTGTTCTTGTACTTGACTTTCTGCCTTGACTTATTCCACTTTAGGCATTTCCTTTCTAAAACAGTTTGTAGGTATTACATCGACTCTAGCTGTTGAGACCCACCTGAACTCCCTCGATTGTGCGAACCAGCATATTCCATGCCGGGTCCGGTAATTCTACACTCAAGATACCTACATAACAGAACGCCGCACGTCTCGTTTATTAACGAACGGTCCATCGTGTAACACCACGGACCTTTCGGATCCTTGCTGGGATTTCTGCAGTAGTTTTTCGCGAGAGCTCTAGAATTTTCGGGAAACTTGTCATCCGTAAGGTTCTTATCGACCGCGTGCACGGGATTGTCGGTTTCCCACAGTTGACAACGAACCCCCGATTCCGATTTGCCTTGAAATCCCCGATATTCGAGGCCGTAATGGCTGACCTTGCACAATTCTAAGTTTGTAAGTGAAGCATTTTCATTTCCGCGTGAAAATGGACGGCGAATTGAGAAGAGTAATATGATGTGTAAAAGGAGCAACATGGTGAAGTAGACAAAATTATGATTTCTGACAAGCTTGACAGATACTGTCACAATAATAGTGAAATTAGATCTAGAAGTGATTCACTTTCACGCAACAACACGTTCTTCTATGACACTACTAATTCGACTGGCCAACCAATAGTCAAAGTCGTGTTTTTATGCAAACAACTTAACTACGATTATAATGTCACGTACTCAGATACAGAATTTGAACCTTTTCGTAACAAATTCCATATTACAAAGGTAAATCTTATTACTTAAGAGCACCAGGTTTAAACATAATTTTGAAGTCAAACCTTTTTTCATAAAACTTACCCCAATCCACATGAAATACTTCATAAGAGAACAAACCTCCGTTGCCTAGAGATAAACTCCTAGTGCTTATATTATGCGTCGACCAATGAAGAGAATAAACGAGAGAGATGCCAGTTACTAAGAACCTCTTTGTAGATTAACCCATGTGACACAAATTGTTTGGTGGAGGTCAAATATATACTATAAGAAAATAATCTTACCCTTATAAACCTGCAGATCTCGGCTGTGTATGCAAAGAGGTTGCGCCGGAATTAAACTGTGAACTGCCGTGCTATCGGCAACGGAATCTCCAGCGATGTTGTCCGTTCGTGAGAGAAGAAGTGGTGATATATCTTTAAACAAAAATTAATCCCCGTGAAACTCTGTAAAATCGTATTTACCATACTCGGAAGGTGGCAAACATTCTTTTAAATAAATGCTTTCTTTGGGATCATTGTACGATAACATTAGGTGCTGGATGCTTTTGTAACGATTTAAGTCGTCATTAAAAATAAATTCGTCCGTTGCCAATTTTTCCAGTTTGAATGTTTTCGGTTTGGCGCTGAAATGAAAAGAATATTTAATTTAGTTAAATAATTAAATTTAAAAACCTTGTGTAATGCAAACGACAAAAACCTGTTGCTACGAGTCGCCCTCTTACTTACCTACGCATTAGGGGCGACAGACCAGCTCCTGACATGCATTTATTATTTGTTATAAAAAATATTGCAAGAAAAATTTTCCAAATTAGGTATTAGCACGTAGTTCAGAAATCCAAAGACCAATGCAAATATAGGTATTAATTATAGTTATTTATGTATTAAGGGCATAAAAGTGATGTTTATATTCTCGAGTATATCAAATAAAAGTTCTATATGAACAAATCCTAATCACCTGTCAAAAAAAAATTGTATTCGGATGTGACGGAGGAAAAACTTTTAAATCTAGTAGTGGTACAGATTGATAATTATTTGGTGTGTCATACGGTTTTGGTGGTATTTAAGATTTTATTGGAGTTTTATTGGGAATAAAGTTGCCAGAAGGCTGAGTGCAGTGAAAAAACCACAAATGAAAATCACTATAAAGGATATCTCCCTCAGTAGTCAAATATGTTTAATGAAAAGATGGAGAAACGCTATGTCACTGTTATCAATAAACCCTTAAAAATGAATAATCATCTTGTGAAATGTGAAAAATTTGCTTCCTGCAATCTTTGTAAACACGAGATGATGGGAATGCTTAGATAAGCGTCAAGGCATCTCTATCTTTATTTCTATTTTCTTATTAGTCTGAGAAACTACGATATATACAATAAGGTTGATAGGTTCCACCCTGTATATAAAACTTTTTATTTATTTATTATCCCTCTCTTGTTCTGGGCCCTCAACAGGCTTGCGCCCAATTACAGAGTGACCCGCATAATGCTTTTTAGCCTGCAGAAGGTCTTAAGTTGTTCTATACTATTTACCTTACGAATTAGGAAAACTGCAGGAAAACCTAATTCGGAGTCGCCGGCAGAATGCTCGAAACTGGTCTAAGGCAATTTATTCCCATCTCTGCCACAGATGAAAAATTCACCTCAACCCAGGTTCGAACACCCGACCTCCGGATTTATAACTCAACGCTCTACCATTGAGCCATAATGCCGATGATACATACATTTTTGAGAGTTGGCAACCATGCAATTTCTAGGTGGGAAACATAGATATATTGTATTAATATATTAATATTCTTGAATGGCGGTCGTGAACGCGTCGCTCCATGAATGTTTGTTGTTATTTTGTGTTATTTAATGCAGGTAGTAATTTTTGCATTTCTTTATATCGTATTTGTGTTTTGTATGCCGCATTCTATATTTTTTGTGTGTTTCAATCTTTGTTTTTAGTCCAGTCAAATAAGAAAAAATAAAAACATTAATCGGTAAAGATCTGAATTTTGGTACACATGTTCATTAGTGTTCCCCATTGGACATACTAAAAGTCCCCGTCAAAATCTGTTGCGCTCGAGGCGCCATCCTGGAAAAAAGGAGCACTTCTTCAGATTCTTGCCTATATATCGGCAACAATTATTGATACGGAAAAATAGTTCAGATAAAAAATATAGTTTATTAAATTGCCCACAAAAAAGCATATTAACATTTTTTTGTATGTCCAATACTTTAGCTATAATCCGACATCGAATAGGGAATCAAGTATCCTGAGCTCTCGAAACAGTCGCGCAGATATTTTTTTACAACTTTTTACAAATCATTAAATTCATTGAAAATTCTACCAGTATTTCTTATATATGCGAAGTCGTCGCACTCAAGCTTGGTATGAGACAGCAGAGACACGTTTAAAGGTTTCTCATAAAACTCTCTCTCAATAGAACTTTCATCTTCAATGCGAGCACTGAGTGTGGACTGGGAGCCTTCAGTGCAGTCCGAACAGGGTCAAGGTAATTCTGAAGGTCTGATAACGATGTCGGTTTTAATATCTCTCACTAGCAGGCACGTTATACTTATGCAGATAAGGGCGTTCTTCAGCTTCAGAAATCATTTTGTTGCTCCAACACTTTTACACATTTTCGCTTACCTTTTTGAAAAAAACATGATATATCATCAAACATTACGTCATTGCTAGAATGCTTTATCCTACGACGATTCTGTTCATTTTTTGGCTCTGTTACAGCTATCGGTGTAGTCATAAAAAAGACGGCCTCCTTCTATAATTACGATACGGGGCCTAAACGCGTTCTGACGTATTCAACGTGAGATTACAGCTAAAGTACTGGAGATCCAAAAAAATGCAAATACTCTTTTTTATAGGGAATTTAGTAAACTATATTTTTCATGTAAACTATTTCTTCGTGTCAGTAATAATTGCCGAGACATGGGCGAAAACTAGAAAATTGTACCCTTTTTCCAAGATGGCATCTCGAGCGCAACAGATTTTGACAGGGACTTTTAGTATGTTCATTAGAAAGTCCCAATAAATGTGTATACCAAAATTCAGATCTTTACCAATTAATGTTTTTATTTGTCCAAAATTGCGCTAATTTGACTGGACTATTTTGAAATTTACTTGGTTTAGGTTTAACCGCAATGCACAATGAGATGTTTAATACCGTTATCTTTTTTCTTTATAATTATTTACGTTTTTGGTGTAATGCTTGTTTAATTTATGTTTATTGATGTTGATTACTTGGTCTTGTCCCTGAAGTAACATTCATGTAAGTGTTGTAATTTTATTTTAATATGTGGAAATTACCGATTCGTTTGATGTATGTACTGACTTGTTCTTTGTAACTAACATTTTCTCCGTGGATGAAGCAGTCACGGGGGTGGTAAAAACTGTAATCAAAATTGAGCTACCACACCTAATTCCGTGATTGTCTTCGACATTCAACTGTAGGCTCGAAACCCCGAACGAGGGGCAACGCTACCTATCTTGCGGGGGCGAGATTACGCTAGTCAAAGCTCTTCAGTTTAGAATGTGCGATAAATGAGTTATGATTCGTAATTTTCACATATTTCGTCTTTAGTTGAATTTGCCTACAAGGCCATGTAATTTTCCATCTTGCTTTTAACAAAAGGACTTTATTGCACCAAAGATGAGTCACATTCTTTCTTAGAATCTTGCTACCTGCTTACCTGACCCATGATTCCCAAAACTTTTAACCTATTTTACCTCTTGAAGTCTACATACTACTTTTTGTGAGGTTATAATTTTATGTTACGCATTCACATCATTACAAACAATTAATTTTACAACACAATTTGATATTAATTTGATGGCTGGGTTTTTTATTGGTAAGTTCTTTTTTTCCAGCCTATTTCTATTTTTATTCAGTGAAATACCATTTTCTAAGTTTATTTGTGGAATGTAATTTATTTCGACTTAAATTTCAGAGCTTTTATAATCAATTGCGATTATTGTTAAACAAACTTTTCACAATTTGAGTGTTTTATTTTACGTTCCTTCCCTACTGTGCCTCAGGTCATAGCGTTGTTTATCTCTAACGTAAGGGGGCCCTGCCTTAGATGTTTTATCACGTACCACTTTTCAAATTTAAGCGGGATCTTGTTTAGTTTTGGAGGGAATAGTCATTCGGGTGACCATTTTTAAACGTTGCCGGGTTGACTTTATTCCCCTGTTCTTGTAGTGTGAAGTTAGCCTAGAACCTGGGGGTTAAGTACACTACAAGGTGTAATTTAAATATCGCCACAAGCCGTAGCGTCTACAGTTTGTGTCCGAATTGAATTACACTTGGCAACTGCGCATTGGAGTGACTATGCATTAAAAGGAATATTCAATTGTTTTTGTAGTTCCGTCTTTACCGAAAATGATTGCTTTAGAATTTTAAATCGCCCACTGTATATTATTATATTTGGATAGAATGTACCAGTCCAAAATACAATGACACCTCATATGTCAACTTTTGACATTTTAAACCTAAAATGTTTGAATTTTAAAATTTTAATTTAGCGTATGACTTTTTAGCACATTTTTAAAAATTTAAAAAAAAAAGAATTTATTCATGGTACTCTAATGAAAGGTCCTAACTAAAGGGATTAATTTCTACCAACCACATGTCCTCCTTCTAGACCTCTTATCGTGATTATCCTTCCCCACAAAGGGCGATTGGGAGGTCTGGAAGAAATATATCCATTGGTGATGTCAAAACTTTAAGGGCGAATATCTCAAAAAAAGGTGTGTCAGACGAGAGTACTCACAAAGGCAAAAAGAATCGTCTGGACGAGACATATCTACTGGCGATGAAACCTTAATGTGAATATCTCGAAAATGTAGTCAAAGAAAGGTAATCTACAAAGGAAAAATGTAATATTGCGGAGAATTTCTTTAAGAACTAATTCTTCTTGCATTATACACTGTGTCCAAGAGAAGGATGTCTATCATGGGGATCTCGAAATATAAGATATGACAATGATCAAATTAGGGAAAAGTTGCACAATTAAAGAGTTTTTAAAGCAAATTCTTTATCAATTTACTTACCTTTCTCTCATGCAAACATCTATATAATAAGTGTTATATTTCAATTGACTTTCTCTGAGGATAAAGCATCCGGGCCGATTACCACGTTTCTCCTCCAATTTCGCATAAGAAAATTCTCCCCTGCAAACTTCTCAAATTAGAGACTACCTATTCGAAAAAAATTATGATACGTACCCTACAGGTCCGTGACATTTCATCGAGTATAACTTTTGCAAAGAGGGAGTCGTCATATCTTTACATAAATTAAATATCCATTTACACGACAGCCGATAATATCCATCCAATAGGCTCACAAACGAAAACATATGCAATAAAGAGTGAAAATTTAGATAAAACGGAATTCCATTTTTGCGACTGATTTCGACGGTGCCGTCTCGCCTAACTGAAATATGACATAGCTCGTCGATGCCGCAAATGTGTTCCCATTTCTAAAAAAAACCGTTGATGTAAATTGATAATGACTTTAATTCTACCAAAGATCATACTAGAGTAGATGACCAATGTAAATTTATGAGTTATTTTGGGTTTACACAGTTCCGTAAAAATAATATAGAGGGCCTCGGCTCGTTCCTGTTGAAGGGGATGGAAAAGGTCTCAGACCAAATCCTGAGAAGCGAAGTTCTAACGAAACATCCGCTTCACCCCCAACAAAACGCCTATCAACAAGGAAAATCAAGAATCGCGACCCTACATAGTTTTTACATACAAACTTAAAAAGGTGCTCATGCCAATAGAGGCGGCTCTAACCGCGTTTGAGGATATAGCGGGTACTTTTGATAACATCGCATGGAGCCATCGAAACGACGCTTTAGTCCCTTAGATGGAAGACCAAACACGTTGATTTAGTCCATGGAGTACAAAAAAAAATGAAAAATGGTTTTCGGCGAGTAACTTTAGCACATTTTCCTAAATTGATCAGTATTTCCCATAAGGTCATGTAACATACAGGGTGATTCCTATAGTACCTGCCACCGTTTGGGAGCGTGTAGGTGGTGCGTAGGGGAGTATTTTGATATAGGACACTTGGGGTCGGAAATCTAAAATAAGGGTGCCAGAGCCAAATTTACCTTCTGGAATTTCGCGCCTGTAGGTAGGCAACCCAACCGGCCGGCGGTGCACACGGAGCGATCTCAGGCGGCGATGTGTGGCTGACACTTGGTCAGAATTTTGTTTAAACCCACGAAATCCCGTCTGCAACGACGCGTATCAAGTGAATAAACACTATGGCAATAGTATAATAATAGTTGGCTAGATGTAGGAAGTGCATTGAGAACAACGGTGGCCACGTTGAACACTTGTAAACGTTATTGCTTTTGACTGTCGTTTTTCCTCCTTCCCTCCCATGTCGCTTCCTCGCGCTAACTCGCTCTGCATCGCTCCGCGCGAAACGTCGGTCGGTTGGGTTGCCTACATACAGGCGTGAAATTCCAGAAGATAAATTTGGTTCTGGCGCCTTTATTTTAGATTTCCGACCCCAAGTGTCCTATATCAAAATACTCCCCTAGGCACCCCCTATACGCTCCCAAACGGTGGCAGGTACTATAGGAATCACCCTGTATGTGTACCAGGTGACCCAATAAAACTGTTCCTCGTATGACTTAGGGGTAAAAAAAAATTATTGGGTAAATCGGTCGTGAAGAATCGCTGGAAAATATTTTCTAAATTCAAAAAATGACCACCATTAAAATTGCATTTTCTTTAAATTTCGCATAATAAACTAAAAAAAAATTTTCACATTTATAAAGAGAACCAGTTTATCATTTTCGTAAAAACAAAAACTCTGTTATTTCAAAAACAAAGATGGTGTGGGATGTTCAATTGTTTTTGCAATAACCTGCTTTAACTTAACCGTTTGCCCGATTGTAACAAATTTGGTATCGTTGAAAAGAGCATTCCTTGGGCAACAAGAATCAAATATAGTTAATTTCGTTGAATCCTTACCCGCCAGGAGGCTTGTTTTGACACTATGATCCAAAATCCTAAAAAAATCAAAAAAAATCAAATGGAATGATATGACTTTTTCTTTATGAAAAAGTAGCCAAATAACACCCAAAGAGGCCAGTGAAAACCGTTTTTCAAAATATCGTTCCTAACCTCAAATATTGGGAAAATGAGATTAATTAATTAATAAAAATGCTTAAATTGCATCTTATTTGACGAATTTCCGGTATTTGTCGACGGCGCGAAAGATTGTTTGGAAAAGGACTCCACACTTTTAGGTAGGCCTTGGAAAATTATATAAATGAAACACGATGCATTATAAAATAATAACAGCCATAATTTGTAAATTATTCTGCTGTGTTTACATTCAGAAAGTGCAGTTTTTTGAATTTGTAATCTTTTCTAAAATGCCGACTTCTAACCAAGAAGCATTTAATATGCTGGCGGCGATGGTTTATGATCGATTCGGATAACGCAAATAGGAGATTCAGGCAGCGATTGTCGCATTTTGAAAATACCCAAAATATATTACCAGGATATTAAATGCTTCTTGGTTAGAACCGAAAGTGCAGTTTTTTGAATTTGTAATGTTTTCTAAAATGCCGATCATTTTAGAAAAGATTACAAATTCAAAAAACTGCACTTTCGGAATGTAAACACAGCAGAATAATTTACAAATTATGGATGTTATTATTTTATACCTAATGCATCATGTTTCATTTGTTTAATTTTCCAAGGCCTACCTAAGAGTGTAGGGTGCTTTTCTTTCGCGCCATCGACAAATACCGGAAATATGTAAAAAGTAAATTTAAGATACAAGTTAAGCATTTTTATTAATTAATTAATTAATCTCATTTTCCCAATATTTGAGGTTAGGAACGACATTTTGAAAATCGGTTTTCACTGGCCTCTTATTGTTATTTGGCTACTTTTTCATAAAGAAAAAGTCATATCATTCCATTTGATTTTTGTAGGATTTTGGGTCATAGTGTCAAAACTAGCCCCCTGGCGGAGAAGTATTCAACTAAATTAACTATATTTTGGTTAATTCTCATTGCCCAAGGAATGCTCTTTTCAACCAGTTTTTGTTTTTAGGAAAATGATAGATGGTTCTGGTTCTCTTTAAAAATGTGAAAAAATTTTTTTAGTTTATTATGCGAAATTTACAGAAAATGCAATTTTAAAATTTAAGATGACAGTTCCGCCCTCTGTAGGTCATTTTTAGAACTTGAAAATATTTTCCAGCGATTCTTCATGACCGATTTACCCAATAATTTTTTTTTCCCCTAAGTCATATGACGAACGGTTCTCGAGATATGGCTGAGGAACAGCTTTTCAGCTCTTCCTTTTATGTAGATGAACATGTGTACCAAATTTGGTTCCAATCTGTTTGGCCGTTTAGCCGGAAATGAGAGTACAGACGGACCGACAGACCGACATCATGGGGATTTTATTTAATTCGGATCTTAGTGCTTCAAAATATGCATTTCCGTCAAAAAAGTGGGGGGTCATTTCTTACTCCAATGCAATACCTCCCTTACTGACATGCAGGTGGTAAAATAAGAAAGTTATACAGACCTGAAGCAACAACTATTTATTCGAGACAAAATAAAAACAGATTAAACTAGGAATTTCACAAAATGTTTAAGTGGCTTTAAATAAAATGAAATTCAAAAGGAATTAACTTTACCTTTACCTTACGTATTCTAAATTCAAAAGTTTTGGATATATTATATAAGTCCATCATGAGAACTAAGCATTAAATGGGGAAAAAGCTGAAAAATAGTTGCTATATGTAAATTCATAAATAATTTGGACAAAATAAAAATATTAGCGGATCAGTCTATTATTCAAAGATTCATATAAACCAATTGTTCTGCTAAAATATGTATAGTTAGATTGTGTTAAACTCCATTATACTCCGAGAAATTTAATCTATAACAAATACCAGAACTACAGTGATAGGTAATCCCGAGGGTAATCCCTTCCCATTTTCCATTGAAACAAAACAAATGCCAGATGCAATTCAAAAATGCAGTGAGGATTCCAATGATGGAAGAGGTTAAATACAAATTTTACATATTTGAGCACTTTGTAACTTTTTAGAAACCAATTCATTAGGGAGTGTGAATTTTATTTGAAACATCCTGTATGTCTGTAATGTAAAAGGAGCTGCACAGACATGGTTTTCTAATGAAATTTGTACAAGTGGTCATACCTAGTGTAGTATGATCCTAAAGCCATCTTACACTATGCAATTTGTTGCGAAAGAAATTCCACAATTTCTTGTGCAAGAAAATGTATCACACATTTGTGAGCTGACTGCTTTTATACTATGCAATTTCTTGTGTAAGAAATAGCTGAGGATTCTGCGCATTTCTACTATAAATTATATAAGCGGCACACACATTTTAAAATTACATTAACACTTACATAAAAAATATCACCGGTTCTACCTATTTTTGATACAATAATTTGTTGCAATGTAATTTTGCATGCAATTTCCTGTATGATGGGTACTATGCAATTCAAATTGTGCAAAAAATTGCACAGTGTAAGACGGCTTTTAGTGCCACATACCTCCCGTTCGGAATCTAAACAGTATCTTATTCCAGGCTGTGGTGTATGGAAAGGTGATACTCTTACAATTACGCTAGTCAAGGCACCGTTATGATCTGTAACAGCTTTATATTCTTCTGCCAAATACTCGGGTGCCATCACAGACGATTGCTTCAGGTACTCCATTCTAACATACCTAAAAAAATTGAATAAATTTCACAAACATAAACATATTCTTAATACCAAGGATCATGGGAGGCCTTCTGTATATTACTCAAGCTGTCGTGAATAGGCTTCTTAATGAAAAGTGAATGCCGCTTTAACACTTCTTTGGGAATATACTTTTTGTAGTCACTCACGACAGTATCTCTAGACAAATCTTTCTCTAGCATAACCCTATACATGTCGGTTACTCCCAGACCTACCAATTCCCGTTTGTACTTCTCGTAAATTAAATCGGGAATTTTATTTTCCAAGACGTCGCTTCGAACTTGATGGAAATAGTAGTCGAATGCATTCTTGTCAGTCTCCTTTAGGTTATTGATGTCAGAGATTCTGTATCGTACACGAAAGTCGTACGAGTGCAATTTTTCATTGAATGTTGATACAGGTGTTAAGAATATTTGTTTACCGGTGATCCTCAAGGCAAAAATATGCCTGGCAACCGGCCCGATTGACAGTTGTTTGCATATCGATATGCATATGTCTTCGGCAATTGTTTTACTTGTATAAGGAACATGGACTGCCTTACCGTCCGTGACCAAACTTATTTTTAAGGTGTTGCTGGCCATTTTATGAGTTTTCTAACATCGTTGATGAGGTGCATGCACCTATTTATACAGTAGTATCATTTTTAGATTAACGGGGGGCACAATAACAGAATTTTTTATCTGTACGCTGAGCATATACCTAAAAAAAGATATAATTATGACGCTGAAGGCATGGAAAAGACTGCTATGAAAACAAAAACAGAAACAAGTGTGAACATATGTACATTAATATTAAACTGAAGGTAGCCAGAGCCACTTTTGAACTAGCTAACTTCACTTGGATTCGATAAAATTCATATACCGTATGTCCCAAGCTGAACGTGCCATAGGTAAACAAAATTAATGACCTTTTTTTTCTCGAAGTTTTAAGTTAGCGTTAAACTACGTTATTTCGCGTGCCTGATGCTAGGAAGAGGTTAGAGTAGTACGTTGAACGCTAATTTCAAAGGCCTCGTGGATTCTTCGGTAAAAAATACTGTGCCGTTTCCCTATGGTGCATTCTACCTGGGGCACACTGTATATTTCTTTTATATATATACAGGTATGGAAAAAAATTATTGGGTGTCTGATTTATAATAAGTAAAACAAAGACAGTACAATCACTTCAACATCATTCAACTGAAATACACAACAAACGAAAAGCGCTGAGGTCATAGGTACGTCATTAAAATTTTAATATAGGATATACGTCCACTAGTATAAGAACAGTCGCAGGTAGACGCCCACTGCAAAACCACAATTACTCAATTTGTGTCTCTTTTTTCACATGAGCGAGATAGAGATGAAAATATAATAGCAACCGTTTTTATACTAGAAGAGCAATAGTATCAATGACGGATTTAATTACTACTGTCAATACTGCGCAAAGTGATGCCTCTCTCACATTGATTATTGGGTTTCTTTCATGTTTTTTCATCTCATGTCCGCTGCCGGACGAGATATAAGCAATATACGAGAAAGGGGGTCCATCTAAATTTGTGTTTATGTGATAATCGACTTTAACATGAATACTTCTTTTCATGTTAGACCATGCAGAATCAGATAGCCATGCATTTTGATGTTCTTTTGAATGTTGTACACGCAATTTTTCATTTTACAAGTTGTTATGTCTAAATTGACCGTAGGCGTGTTTGATGTGTTTTGGTACTAATTTTTGTTTACCATTTGTATTTATGTCTCGTGTGTCGTTTTGATCAATTTGTTTAACATGCATTTGACTCCATTACTTGATTTTTATTGTACGATTTGATATGTGTAATCTGTGTATTTCTCTTTTTTTTGCATCTTGTTGTATGATGTAGGTAGTAGATTTATTTCTATTCTTCGTACGTAATATATTTCATTTTTCTTATTACTAATAACTAATAAGAAGATGCATTAAACAATGTCGATTTGTACCTTTTCTGATGCCATCCTCTGAGAATAATGCCAATGGAAAGTACCGCCGACTGTTTCTCTTGAAATCATGCCAGTTCAAAGCTCAAAACCTCCAGCACCCCCTGAGCGTCTAAACTTGATCTTCTATCAATGCAAAGGAAATTGCCCAGAAATTTGTGGATGTCGGACAGCAGGCCTCAAATGTTCCGCAGCGTGTCTTCATTAATTGTTCTGGGGAGATTTGCAACAACATAATGGACATATCAAAATTAATTGAGGAAAATGATTTCGAAGGAACCGTTGACAACTCTCGGGTTCCCCCTCAACATTCTTTAACATTGAAGATCAACCAAATCCTGAGCCGTAGACCGAGAAAACAGTAATTATGGGATTTAGAACATTAGAATAAGCTATGTCAAATCATTAATATTTACGTAGGTATAGTTATGAATAATACTAGAGTACAGTACCTATTTGTTTCGCAGCGCTGTAAAACCATACTAAATGAATAAAATTGGAAAAGTTTGTAATGAAAATTATTCTTTGAAAACCCCTCTATAAAATTGGTTTAATGTTATTTTTTGTAAAATGACCAGAAAAAAGTTATAACGATCAATTGAAAATTTTTTACAAAATGTTCATTAATGTTCGTTTAGAACTTTGTCATTTTTCATTCTACGACTAAAAGTTACTGGACCAAAATTGTAGAGAATTTTAATTTTAATAAAAAATGATTGAATAAATTTTTTGTGAGACCAGATAAACCATAAAAACCATTTGCACCCCTTTTTCAAGAATGGCGGCCGTGGGACAAGGGCTGCAACCCCACAAACTTAGATTAAACTAACCCCTCTTTGATATTTAAAAAATAAAATTACGTGCTCTGACAAACGCACGCTAAAAGCCCAAAAACATGTCAAATGACAACAATATCCAATAGTTATTTACTTACATAAGTCAGGAAAATGATACATTACTGGGGAGGAAATTTTTAATTTCCGAGTATAGTAATGCCATTTTTGATTTTTACTGACGAGTTTTGTGTTAAATTTTACCTGAAATCGTATTTTAACATAACATTTTAATTTTCATATAGAACTTTTGATCAATGCCAATCTGTCAATGATGACAAGAGTCATTATAGACATTTAGCAATAGGTATGTGACAGGTGCGGCAGGTAAAGTGACAAGTGCGGCCCGGTAAAGTGACAGGCGGCAGAAAAAGTTCCTGACATAAAGTAGGCATGAAAATGAAGGTTTTTTTTGACGATTTTGGGTTAATTAATTAATATGACAGCCAGGATCTTTATTTGTTTTAAGAAGCTATTTTGGTTGCATAAAATTAGGCGACTTTCAGAAGTAATTTTGTCATTTGAAAGGAGACATAGGGAAAAACAATACACGTAAATCCCTATGTCTACTTCTTAATAAATATCACTGTTGAGTGAAGGATTTATCACTTCATAGGTACTCATGTTTTTAAAAAAATTGTTGTGGTTCGCTAACCCTTTTTATTGGAAAGTATGTGTAGAATACAAATGAAAGAAAAGTAGATGTGATTTTGTCTGTATAAGCATATTTTACTTGCAAATGACAGACCTATAATTACCTTTTGCACTGTTAAAAAGGACTCTTTAATTGGTACAGCCACGGATTTTGTCTGATGGTTAACATCCTATGTATACAGTTTACATTAGATTGATGATTATTTGCTTAATCAATCATCAATGATTAATGAATCTAAATAATAATTAATGTTTATTCAATACATAAATAACTAATAAGGCCTAATTGCACTTTGCTTGTTTAAATTATTGCCATTAAACGCTGATACATGAGCAAAGATTATTTATGTGAATTCACAGTTCTACTCTTAGGTCAAATTGACATGTATATGATCTGATCTAAGATTATACCTCTATCAATGAATACCTCTATTGATGACTCATGTCAGAATGTGTTGATTAAGCAGTTTATATGTATCATAAATTGTAACTCTGAAAAAGTGTGTATGTTGTGGTCGCAGTGCACAACGTGCCATAAAAAATAATTGCATGTGTACAGTTTGTATTTGGATGGAGGAAGAAAAAGTGATAAACAAAGTTGCTAGTGGCAGTAAGCAACATAACTTAAACCAAACATGTAAATCAAACGAAGACCAACTGTTAAACAATTTTTTTAGATTACAATTAACAGAGTTGGATCAAAACAACGAGAAAGCTAAATTAAAAGTAAATAAACCTAATTTTCTTACTGGATTTAAAATGGCTAGTTCTCATAGTAGTAGTACCTTAGAAGAAAATGTAAGGATCGGTGACTGTAGTCGGAAATATTGCGATAGTTTCAAGCAAGGAGCGGAACAAAGAGCAAAAAGCAGTAAGTGTAGCACTTCCATGAATAAGCATAGAGTTGAAGCAAAGGTAACAAGAAGCGAGCCAAATGCTGGTGTATGTAAACGAATGTATGAAGCAAAGACCAAAAGAAGCCAGCCTAACAGTTACACGACTAAAAATCGAGTTGAAGCAAAAGAAGCGAGAAGCGAGCCAAGCAGTTCATTGAAAAGTAATGAGTGTGCTGGTGGTGAAAACAAGCAAAAACACAAAGCCAAAAGTAGGAAGCCTGACTGTCCAATGGGTAAGCAAGGGAAAATCAACAGTTTAATGAAAAATCAAGGAGCTAAAAAGAATGTACAAGGAAATTCTCGCTACGTGGCCACCCCAGAGTTTGATCTTGACTTCCATGAACTCGAGCTGGAATATGACCTTGACTTGCATGAACCCGAACTAGAGTATGACCTCGACTTCCATGAACCCGAACTGGAGTATGATCTCGACTTCCATGAACCCGAACTAGAGTATGACCTCGACTTCCATGAACCCGAACTGGAGTATGACCTCGACTTCCATGAACCTGAACTGGAGTATGACCTTGACTTCCATGAACCCGAACTGGAGTATGATCTCGACTTCCATGAACCCGAACTAGAGTATGACCTCGACTTCCATGAACCCGAACTGGAGTATGACCTCGACTTCCATGAACCTGAACTGGAGTATGACCTTGACTTCCATGAACCCGAACTAGAGTATGACCTCGACTTCCATGAACCCGAACTGGAGTATGATCTCGACTTCCATGAACCCGAACTAGAGTATGACCTCGACTTCCATGAACCCGAACTGGAGTATGACCTCGACTTCCATGAACCTGAACTGGAGTATGACCTTGACTTCCATGAACCCGAACTGGAGTATGACCTCGACTTCCATGAACCCGACCAGGAGTATGACCTCGACTTCCATGAACTCAAGCCGGAGTACCTGGACTTCTATTAGCCACATCCATGAGGGTGGTAGTTGGAGAACTTATACCAACAGTATGTTTTAAATGTTTTTAATATGAGAATATGATTTATTTGATAAAACTAGGAAATTCAAGGTTTTTTTTGCTTAGGTCTCGGGAGAGTATGCTTCATATTATACTGAATAGAGTTACAGTTTTCAAAATGTACTTTTTGTAATATTTGGTTACAATATTGCTAATTTCCAAAAAATAAATTTAGTTTTGCATATCATGTGTCATTAATTCCTCTTATGTTGTGTCTCTATTTAAAGTTATAGCTGGTACCAAAATCGGATAATAGTTTAGGAGCTGTGGAAGAAACAACAGTATTATATTGTACTATGTTGAAAACTTTTGAATTTGGTGACTAATGCACTAGTACACCTATGTAAAGTGAATGTGCTACTGAATAGCACAGTTCAGTAGTCATCCATATGAAGATTTTAATTATATTCGCAGCGAAGAAAAATTACAAATCATTCGTGACTTCTTTAGTATCCCTCTCGCCGCCACCTTGAGTCATGCTAAATTAAGCCCAGATTAGTAATCAATAGTAATGTACAAACTAGCAGTTTTTCCGAGATAAAATATGTAAATCAAATATTACCATAAAACTTGCCTTATTGGTGCTATGATCACAATCTGAATCCATCTGGACAAGTCCTTGCTTGGCCTCTTGACCTGACACGGAGACGTCAGAATTGCTGCATCCATATCCATAGCATTAAGAGCTACTTATTCAGCACTCGCTTAGATAGGAGGTACTCTGGAGCTGCAGGAAGATTTGTTGTATTTTCCATTCCATTTTCAATAAACGGATATTATTATTATTATTGCATAAGGTCTTATGTACAGTCCCGCCACTTCTGTGTCTGATGGTGTGCTGTCTCGAGAAGAGGGCAATTGATATTAACGTACTGACAGCAGGTCTCGATACTTTTGCAACAGTGTATCAATTTTATCAAAATATTTCACAATAAGTTCAAATATCTAATAAATGACGTGCGCCTGCGCAAACGACATGTATAATAAAATAAGTGCAGTTTATCCCGCAACTTGCCTTTTAAAATAGGTAATAAAAGGAAGCATATAAATGTTAATAATATATTTTTTTTACATTAGGTACGTTGTATATAAAATAATTAATATGTATACATTCATTTGAAAAATATTAGTTCTTAACAGATTTAGTAAACGTTTATATATACCAAAACAGTAAGTTAAACATCATTAAAAAATTCAGGCACTAGTGAATAACATTTTTAGGAGTAATGAAAGCTGTACCATGAATAACTTGATTCTAATCCTTATTAAATATCATTAACAGATCATAGTACTTAAAATATCATTGTCGCATTACCTATGAATTTTACATTTACAAGCCCAACAATATCAATCCGGAAGCAAAGTCATTACTTCTATTGTTATGTACAATTATTATAAAATACACATTCAAAAATCTGGCAGTGAATCCTGTCTAATTACCGAAATGTCAGTTTTTAATCGATTTGACCCAGACCAAGGTAGATCCATATGAAGTTTCCAAACACTATATCACAGAGTACTATCAAATAATTTCTGCTCATTGCATTGAAAGGCGCCAATTGATTCATATAAATACACCTTAGTGGGATTATCAAATCAAGAAATTTAAATCATTGTATAAATTAACCAACCCCTGCTTGTAGTAGTGATGAAAAACAGGTGTGACAGTACGATTAATAAACATGTCATATGAACGAACAACACAAATTAAAACGCGTTAATTGACAGTAAGATTGTATTAAAAAAATGTATTAACCACCGACAAATTTCTTTTCAATTAATATTAAAATGCTAGAAGTTTCTTTTCCACACCCTGTATATCTTCTGAAGTTTCATTAACTATGACCAACCCCCGGTTAGCTTATGGAAGAGTTCTTCATTTAAACTTTGATTCGCTTCTTTCGAACGCATCGATAAGAATATGTATCCACCAATGAACTCGTGAATAACCTTGCAATCGGCCGACAGACAACTAAAAATGATGTTGCCTTCCTCAAATTGGACCATCATATGTTTAACTTCCCAGTTGACATTCCAAGCCTTCAAATTGGATTATTAATGTTAACAAGTGAAGAATTTGTCACCTACCTTCATTGTGTTAAACCTCCACGTTTTTAGATGGTCACCATTATTAATATCCATTTTCATGAGACGGTTATGTGCAACGCCGATCAGTTCATCTTTCTTCTGACCCATAAATCGTACAACAAAGAGCGATATTCCGTAATCGGGCAAGGACTGCCATGCCTTGATGTAGTTTAATTTTGCGTCGATTAATGGTAATTCCTTTACATTGGTGTGAGCTTCCAGAATTCTTTGGACGAGCTAAAGACGACGTGTAAAGTAAGAAATACAATTAGTGACACTTACCCGGCCTTTAATTTTGCGAGTAAATCTCGGCGCAATGTAATCTTCTGGTTGAATGTCTAACGATTTGGGGTTTATTGCTGGACCGGTTTCACTAGGCCTCTGCATTTGGATGAAATCCAAAATGGTTTGTACCTCAGTGTTGTAGGAGCTGTCGGCTAACGATCGCCCTTTGGCAGCTAGTCTACACGCGGCCATCCACTTGGCATACTGCTTTTCCTAAAGGTAATTAACTATAATACGGGTGGTTACATAAAGGATCGAGCACTTACATTGTCGCATCGAATGTACATTTCTGACATTCCTTCGGAACTCGGTACCTCCAATTTGATTCCGTATTTATTTTGGCTTATATTCACATCTGGAGTAACTTCGCATCCTTTCAAATTTATGGAGTGTGCTGGATTACCATGATGAATCATCTCTTCTCTACTTTTATACAGGTACAAGTGCAGGTCACGACAAGTAAACCAGTACTTTTTAAACGCCTTCAGCGTAAAGCGTTTTGGTCTGAAATTTTCGCATATTATTAAATTTTGTTTAATTCGTACGGCTCACTTCAAAAATCGTAATTCGTCGTACAACTCTGGGACTTGCGTAATGTCGTTGGTCTGGGAGTTGATGGTGGAACCTTCCAAGGTGGTCTGTAAGTCCGTTAGAGCCGCATCGATGTCATCTTCGTTTGGAAACACTAAATTGCCATTGTCGAAATTTGGTTGTGGTTGACCAGTTTGAAGTGCGACTTGTAACTGATAAAAAAAAAATAAGTGTTATCTATTATATTAACAAATACCACCCATATGTTCAGTCAAAAATCAACCTATAAGTAGATATGGTACCTGGCATCTTTTTAAATACAAGTACACTTTGCTGAATACGTGGCCACATTGCATGTGTATTCCACAGTTGAGTGACTACTAATTGGCTTACTGTAAATCTACACCAAAGAATAATTCCCATATCAAATACAAATAGTGTGATGCAACTTAACAAGCCATTATATTTGCACAAGTCATTGTTATACAGTGCTATTTATTAAGAAGTAGACATAGGGATTTACCCATATTGTTTTTCCCTATATCTACTTTTAAATGACAAAATCTTTCTGAAGGGCGCCTAGTTTTATGCAACTAAAATAACTTCTTAAAACAAAAAAAAGATCTGGCTATCATATTAATTCATTTAAATATTTTCGTTTTGGCATCCGTATTTTTAATCATTTTAATCTCTTTAGCAGTTTAAGAAGCGTAAAAGGTTTATTTTCTGTGAAGCCAAACCACCAATAATCAAATTAATTTTTCTACTCCTATGTTGTAAACATACCCAAAATGTCACCCTGTACTGCACGTCTAAATCGTTCATTATATCATACGGTTGCATAATGAAAATTAGAACTGTTACTTAATATACAGGGTGTTTGGTAAACATGCGGCAAAAATGAAAGAGGTTATTCCTTGGACTATTCTAATGATATTTTATCCTTTGATGATTTTTGAAAAAACGCATTCGAATAATGAGCCATGATAGAGGATTTCACAAACAACCGTTTAAGTAATAAGGGCAGAAATTACACGCCAATAGCCAAACGTCAATAAATCTTGACAAACTCGAAACAAAAGATCATCAATGACAGATATCAGGGAATGTGATTAACGTTTTTTACTTGATAAGTTCAACTCTTCAAAAATCTATTTCGCCTTGTATCTTCGCAACGAAGCGTTTTTTCAAAAATCATCAAAGGATAAAATAACATTAGAATAGTCCAAGGAATAACCTCTTTCATTTTTGCCGCATGTTTACCAAACACCCTGTATATATATTACGTAACAGGTTAAAGGTCAAACGCGAAATGTTAATTTAGTAGGTTGTCAGCCCTGCCTAATGAATGAAGTAACGTCAGATTTTGTTGTTGTAGGTTATGTTTCACATTTTGTAAACTTCTTTGAACAGAATTACTCATAATTTGTTTAAACATTGCCATTTGTATGGGAATGGAGCCTGTATGTAATTTATTAGCCGTGCCCAATTATTTTTCATAATCGCAATGGGCTACTCAAGAATGGTTTGAAGCTGCGTTTAGTTAATTAAGCAAACTCTGTTGCTACTATTTTGTATTTTAGAAAACTACAATAAGTACTCGTAGAATTAATGGATGGTGCTAATTACGACTTGCATGGAACACGGAATAATGCACTTTAGAATACTGGGTAGTCCGATGCTTCCTTCCCGGGAAAACTCGTTAAAAGACGCAGCGTTTTGAAGGCCTTAGTATTATCGATAGTTAGGTACCTAATACATTGGCAACTACAACAATAGAAATCGTTCAAAACTGTAATGAAAAAGAGCACTAACACCACCTGAGCTAGTTAGGTAGTAATCTTCAACTTCAACACTTGTATCTTGTATCCTATTGGCTATTGCATCTATGGTGCTAAAATGAAACTCACATTGCAGTAAGGAATAGGGATGTCAAAACCCTGCAATACACTTTCCAATCTAAGTAAAAAGTATTTATAAAATTCTTGCTCGCTGGCGTGCATTCATGGAATATAAGTGAGGTTACGTTGTATTTTGTATTCCTTTTAAATAGACCATGACATTTGACACTTGACAGTTCTAATTTTTAGTTCGAAGTTCGAATATTTAGAACCAAATCGATCGTAATCTATCAATCTTTTATCAAATATATTCAAGTCGTAGAAAAAGTATACCTAGTACATAATTCGAGTGCTAATGCCTATTACGCACTCGATTTTATTACAACACTCGCTCGCTGCGCTCGCTCGTGTCGCAAAATACTCGTGCGAAATAGGCTTCTTAGCACACTTATTATGCAATATACTATAATATGACAGCCAAATTTGTATATGTTTTAAGAAGTTATTTTGGTTGCATAAAATTAGGCGCCCTTCAGATGAAATTTTGTCATTTAAAAATAAACATAGGTTTTAACAATACTTCTTAATAAACAGCACTGTATATAAAAAAAAACCAAGGACCCAAAACTGACGTTTGCGAAACGCCGTGATTTGCGGGAAGTACATCAGACCTTCTGCCCTGCACAGTAACATATTGCGCCCTATCCATTAGAGGTAAGTAATTTGCAACTGGTTACGCCAAGATTACAGTAGTGAAGCTTATTAAGTAAAATACTATGCAACCACAAATGCTTTTTGAAGATCTACAAAGGTCGCTATATTACCTTCTCTAGCTCCCCTAAAAGCCACAGTTGATGTGTTTCACAACTTGCTACAGTTTCAATATCAAAGGACTTACAAAAGTGGCTCGTTTTAACTGGAATGAATTGTAGACATACATTGTAAAGAACTAAACAGTTTATACATTTTTTCCTATTTATTTCAGATTGCCCGGCGCTTTGAAATAAATAAATGCGTGCGACCGTGATTTTCGTAAGAAACCTCCATAAGACTCCACTAGTGGAAGAGTTATAACGAGTAGAAATTTCCCATCTCTCTTATATTGCATTGGTCATAAATTGAGTTCACTTTGTGCTGATACTACGGAAAGGAAGTTCTTCAAATTAGAAATGGACAAACTTGTGTAGTTTTATGTGCTCTGTTTAGATTTGCGTCCAAAATTAAAGATATCTAAATAACAAAACAGTATGATTTCCATATTGTTGTGTTAACTACAGGGCGGTGTCGTTTCTCTAGGTTGAAATAATGCTGAAGATGAGAGCGAGGCACCTTGAAGTGAAAAATTTGAGTGTTGTCAACGTATTTCCGATTTACGCAATGGAAATAGCAGTCAGTAGTTAGAATTTATTTAATAGGACCTGAGGGAATTTTGTTCCCAAAGTAATAACACAAATGGAAAATTTCTTAAATTGTCGTTGCAATAAAGTTAATTTTTGTTTTTAATTGTGGGTTTGGTAATTATTTTAGTCATGTAAGTTTATTCCTTGTGCTTAGTGGGTATCATAAATTTTAGAACGCATAAATAAGGAAATATTAATCCTTCGTAAGTTCAAGTCTTATCTGACCAAATGTGTTGGAAAGGCGTTATGTGACGAATTAATTGGCTTTATTTACTAACAACGCCATGTGTGAGATAACGAAGCGGTGTTACGAGAGGCGCCGGGTAAGAACGAAATCGAATGGAAGAATGGAGGTGGCTTGACCTTCAAATACGAAGAAGGAAAAAACGATGCTGATTAGACTAAGGCGGCTGTTTCGCCGTAATGCTGATTGCGAGTCGATGTCAATGTTGCGCTAATATTACGAGCAAGTTTTCGCCGATTACGTTTGAAACATGCAGTTCCGCAATTAAAAGGGCAAAGTCAGTGTTCCGTTTTTGATACATTCACAGTGCAATTTTAGCGCATTTTTGCAAATTTATTTGTAAAAACTTCAAAATCGAATTGCGGATGAACGGGACGTCGGAAATGGGTACCGACAAAGGGAATATGGCTAATAGAATACTAATCTGCCACACAAAAATGCGCCAATGTCCCTTCGATATCACATGAGGACTTTGATAATTTTTGTTATCTCGGCCATTTATGAACCAAATTGCATGAAATTCAAACAGGGCATAGCCAGTACCATATCAAATTTAATGTCACCTCTTTGGCACTTGATTATGAATCGTAAGGCTTTAACTCGTCCATGTTCTAGTGTTAGCATATTCAAATGATGCCGATCTCTTTAGCGGCGGATCGTATCTTGATATTGAAATAAATTCTACAGGAGATTATCTCAATACGTTTTTTTAATATCATCTTTATTTTATAGCGGATTTTAAAGTTAAATTGACATTTTAATAGGTTTGAACCAGTGGACTAGGTGGCTTCTTAACTGGAAGGGTGGATAAAGTGATCACTTTAACGGCAACAGTAGATAAAGTGAAAGAAATCATTGTGCATTCCTGTCATTCTTCTTACAAATGAGACGCTGAGCACGAAATAAAATGACGTTCAAAACAGAATGCAATATTGTTTCTATGGAAACGACCGGAGGACCTAAGTTTGCTATTTTGGACGTCTAAATTAAATACCTCAGAATTTTCAACTTCTATAGTGATTTATAATGATTTCTGTGGCTTCCGCTATGTAATAAAGTTTTGTATTATACACGACGATAAAGCGAAACCGAGAGCGAAACTAAGGGAATCGTCCCTTCACAGTCTTGTATAATAGTAGTACAATAATTATTACTAAATTGCACATATTTTGTTAAGTTCGGAAATGGTTTGAGCAAAGGGAAAATGGTTTTTCTTCGATTTAGACAAGGCAGGTGTAGATTTTTTATAGCTTATGCCAATTTAAGTGGTGGTAGCTTAGTGTAGTCGTTCTAAAACAAATGCCTATTTTTTTTAGGAATTTGTTCTGGACCTATTTATTTTATTCTAGGAGTTGGAAATAGATAAAAGTATTTGCTTTAATTTGTAGCAGCCGCCGATAAGGAAATCAAGATACTGTAATTAGACAGTTGAACCTATTCAACTGTCTACTTTCTGACCCCGTTTTGAGCTTTACCACCATGGATTCCCACCAAGATACTGTAATTAATTTGCCGTTTGTAACCGTTCCCGTACAGATCATTTAATTATCTGTGCAGCATCCAAAACCTTTGTTCGATTGGAAGTAGAGGGAAATTAATATTGGTTGATTTCAGCTCTGTTAATTAATGGTTAGCCGATTTTAGTTGCTTAATGGTAATTTAACCTAGAAGGTCACTCGGTTACACGACCTGTCGCTTGATCCAAAAATTCAATTAACAATAGGCCTTACTGGACTACCGAATTTGGAAATTTCAGCCCGGCCATTTGAGTGAGCATAAATACTGGTAGCGCTAATCAGATGTGTTGCAGCAAACCTAGTCTGATAGATTGTGTTAAATGAAGCGCGCTTAATTGGCATGAGTTTTGGGGCTGGTCCCGAATTTTTATGATGACCAGAGCCTGAGAAATTAATGAAAGAAGTTTTAATTTTGAACGTTATCATCCGCGCCGCCCGGCTGAAAAATCCGAGTTCCATTTCCACATTTTTTAGAAATAACAGCATGATTTAAAGAAAGCTTTTTGATCTGTCGATATTGTTGCATTTTCAGAGTGTTTAATTTTGCATTATACCTTACCGTTTAATTTCAAGCAACCGTATGTGCGCCAGCTTCCCGGCCGAGTTTGTCGCAACACAAAATCCGCTCTAGTAGCAATACAACAAATTTTGGAAATACAATTGGTATGTACTAAGAAAGGTTCACTTAATAACATAGTGGTTTTTTGTTTTATTGAATCACAAACTCGGCGCTATAGTGTTATAGTAGGTGGGATGTTTGTATAATAGATACCCGTAATTAATGGTAGAGTAAATTTCTCACATTTTTTTCTTCAATATGATCCATTCAAAAATTTAAATAAAACACAAATTAAAATATCCTAACGATGAATGGCTTACCTGTAAAGCAGCAAACATTAACATTTCTTCTTCAGTGCAATCGATCTCTTCGTTAAGCAACTGCCACCTCGCCTGTTCGTAGATTTGATTTATACGAACCGCGTCGATTTTCGAATTAAGATCGTAAAAAGAGTAAAACTTAAATCGCAAGCATAGCGTGTCTCGCTCTCTTATCCCCTGCTCCATAATTGAGAGTGACGAATCCAACCACCTTCGAAGAGTCTCACATCAAAATTTTTAAACATAACAGTGCCAATGTTTACTTACGCCACATTCATCCTCGCCTTTTCCACCAAAGTTTTCGGTCGTATAAGATGATTCTTGGCTTCGGGACTAGGATAAGGTGGACTTTGCGCTAGAGTGCTATAAGCACTGCCATTCATTTGGTCGGTACTGGCAGTTGAATTTGGAGAGTAGCTTCCATTCGCGTCGTAGTCCGATTTATTCCATATAGTAACCTGCATGTAACGAGTTAAAATTAACCCTTAACGTTAATCCACTCACATTTCCAGGACTGTTTAGTGGTGTCGACGATGGAGGTTTTTGCGGAGTTACAGGTGCACACATAAGAGGTGTCTTATCTAAACTACCCGTACTACCGAGGGGACTTTGATTTGGTATAAAGGTATTCGTATCTGGCGGCGCAACCGCGCCATTCTTATGTGCAACGTTCTCTTTTCGTTTCTTTTCTGAATTTTCTTTGTAATTATATTTTAAATAATTCGATTCTAAGGGCTTACAAAAGGACAGTTCCTCAGGATGTCTAACTCCCAAATCCTTACAAACGCCGACGACGGCGGCAAATGTTTTAATAGAAAAGTCCACCCTCATGTCAAGGTAACGCAAGTCGGGAAGTTGAACTCTTAGAGCTTTGTGCATGGGGGTAAAGTGCAACAGCGCGTCAGCTTGTACTCCGCACTGATCGAGGGTTGATCTTGTTCGCGTTAGCCAAACGTTGCGATTAGGCCACCATAGCGCGTGATCTGACCAGTCCATCGAAATTTCTGAAACAAAAATTATATTCTCATTCAAAGCATACAGATATTGTGGAAAACATCGTCGCAAACAGGTCGCCAAGTGCCAAGACATTGTATTGTAAATAATGTTTCAACGAATACAACAATTGAATAATATAGGGTGTTGTATTTAAAATAAGAAAGTTTCTATGCCGCTGTTACATGGTACACCCTGTGTAACTGCGCAACTAAAAATAACTGTCGACGTGTCAGTGCGTCTCCGTTTGTACATATGGTATTTCAGATAATCATTTACGTAGCAGTTCCTTCGATCTTGATACCATGTATTAGATCAGTTCCAGCCAACCGACAAATATCAATCTTTGATTCAAAAATGACTGTTAGCATTTCATACAGACAGAACAACTACTTTAATACGACTACTTCAATACGCGTTAAGGTACACAAAAAGATACAACTTTATAAACACCAATAATCAAACTAATATCAAATTAATTCAAACTTACATACCCCATTAATAAATGGGTTTACGATTGCGATATAGGTAAAAAAGATACGTAATTAAATTGAAATTATCGACATACAGAGATGGACTGCGCGTAACAATGCTAAGCGCGGATACTGCAAGTGAGAGAGAAGTGTACTATATGGTCTAAGGAGAGAAGAGAAGAGAAGAGAAAACTAAGAGGCAAGCTCTCTTTATCATACTATTGACATGTAACACATAAGCACTGCCTCATCAATGTTGATTTAATATTATAATGCAACCAACAGAAACGCGATAGCGGGAGAGCTAGTTGCCTCTTAGTTTTCCCTTCTCTCTCACCTGCCGTATTGCGCTTAGCATTGTCACGCGCAGTCCATCTCTTTATATGTCGATGATTGAAACATATGGCATAACCTAAAAAGAATCGTGGTTAACCAAATACGGAATCCCATGAAAATAACTTCACCTCGGAAAGATATCAACATATTGTCCTCAACATTGTCCCATTCACGTAAATACGTTTAGATATATAATTTCGGCAATTTTAACTGATGGCTTTAGATTTTCCACTTCAGATTTCATCCTTCACAAAGTCGACACCTTTCATTTAACGACAACAGCAAAAATGATATCCCCAATCCCGATTTGTACCAACTTCACTCTCCTAACGCACTAAAAGCGCTTCCAGTCACTCACTGTAGATTGTAACGGGCGATGAAAAATGAGTGGCGGTCGAGTCGCCTTTGGAAGTTCAAGCTAAGTACGATTTCCCATGTAAACAAAAATCCCAAGGTGGCTCGACAGCAACTCATTTTTGATCGCATAGTATAAAAACTTCAAGGATACATTCAAAACAGTAACGGAGCTTTGCAAATTATGAAGAAATATCTTGCTGGGCGTTTTTTTAAAAAAGTGCTTGTTTTGATCACCTCTCCACACACATTTTTTACAAACTTGTTACGCGCTGCATATTATTTATTACTATGATCGTCTGTCCCTCTTGAACTTTTCTTTTCTAGGTTTCTTCAGAACTGGTGTCAAAGGTACCACTGAAACTATCAGGTGAATACCATTTCAACCGTCATGCTCTAGCCGATGGAGTTTTTCAGTGCTTTCAGGAAACTTACGGCCACGTCCTAAAGTTATCCTTATATTCAACATATCCTCCTAAAAGCGTCTCCAAACGTTTGAGTTTACTAGCACGGAGGCGGGGAAGGTGGAGGCAACTAAAAGGTGTGAAGTAAAATTTTAAATATGCATAATAGCCCATATGTATACGTTAGGATCATACACCGACTTCAATAGTTCAATAATATGGACAAAACGCGATCTGACCACAAGCAACATCCAAAATGTCACTTTCCGACTGTTTAATGTACTTAGTCCAGAAAAGACCCATTACAATGCCAGAATGCGTATTGGCATGTCATATTGTCAGAACGCATCGACAAAAAAACCGCCCTGTATATTTTTCGGGCAATGTTCAATTAGCAGTAAGACATCGAGATTTTTGTGGAAAAGCGATTCGGTGGGAAGGCTTATCGCTGCTCACTATCATTACAAGTCAGTATGTTCGCGTAATCTCACCAAACAGTTACAGTTATCTTTTCTAGTCCTTGTCGTTGTCCTCGAACTTGCCATTAGGTAGTTATCACTATCGTATTAGCTTTGAATGTAAATAATCTATGAGCTGATAACTGATAGCCACCAACACATGTGTTATTGGAGATACCTTAGGGCGTTTATCTCTAATGATTTTTCAAGATATGAAATGTCATGAGCAAATGAAGCAGGTAATTGTAATATTCCGGTAGCAATTAGATATTATATTATTATAACAATATATTAGAAAAATCGGTCTTCTGCGTTTCGTAGGCATTGCCATCACTTGAGTGAACACAAAACGTAGGTCTTTGGAACTCTTCCATTACGACATACGCCATTTCTGAGCACGGGTAGGTCGGTATTTCGCCGCCGTATCGATTTACCGCTGACCTTTTCGCCGCCGAAATTATTTTACTGGATTCAGCTTTGAACACCACTACACGCCATCTCATATTATCATATTCATATACCTGACCAATTTTGAACCTTGTTTTCGGTAATTTCTAATATGCAAACCCTCGTTATGCGGTCATCAATACAGATTAGACAGTTCCAGTTGATAACTAATTGATAATGGATTTTGATTTTCTCTGACATCTAGAATGTATACCAACGTACCCTAAGCGAATTAATAAAAATTCAAAATGGTCGTGATGGCCTAGCGTCCCCTCAGAAATTAAGGAAATAAAGTCTGTGCCGATTCTGTTATTTTTTTAATGGACGAGTGTAAGTTTAATTAAGTGGAGTGTAAATAGAGGTAGGTACTTCCTGAATTCAAAGCGCAAGACCATGACTTTAAAGTGCTAAAATCGAGGCTAAAATACATCAGTCTGTCTCAAATTAAGTTTACACTATTTGAGGCACTATCGCTAACTTTCTTAGATGTAAAGTTAGAAAGACGGTAAAATTACCGTGTTTTTTGTCTACTGAATCTAAATTGTAATTAAAAAACAAAACAACATCGCATTTATCGAACTGCAACTTTTTTATATGGAACATCCTGTACATTACATCGTATGACAGCTTATTAAATTCTGTACCAAAGTTCTTAACACACCATAGCCAAAACACCTCAAATAACAAAGATTTATCAATTATGTACATATTCTCATTTCGAGCAAGTTATCCATGAAAATGATAAAATGACCTCGTTTGTTGTAAAGTCTCTAACAGCTAACTTTGAAATTTATTACACAGTATTGTACCTACTGCCATTTTCATGGATAAACAGATTGAAATGCAAAATAATTGAAAAATCTTGGTTATTTGAAGTATTTTGGCTACGGTCCATTAAGAACTTTTGTAGAGAATTTAATAAACTGTCATAATATGGTGTAATACGAGGTGTAATAATACACAGGGGGTTCCATATAAAAAGTGACATTTTTGTTATTGTGTGAAAAATGCGATGTTGTTTTGTTTATTTAATTACAGATTTGGATACAGTAGAAAGGATACACAATTTTGCTAACTAACCGTCTTTCTAACTCTAAGTAAAAGATCCTTAGCAATAGTACCGACTTAATATGAAACAGACCGTACATATCCCTTTGGAAGATGTTTACTATGGACTTGACGGCGAAAACGGTCGGCAGCGGCAACCAATGAACCCGCCAGCGAATAGGCGCCACACCTACCGCGCGAAATGTCGGAGCTAGACCCTGCAAGTATGGTTTTTGAGTTCGTTCATGGAATCGAGGGTATGTTTGTATCACAAATATAAATGACGCACTAAATTATAGGTGCGTGGTGCGTAGCTCCAAAGTCGGAGAACACTTTATCCTTTTCTTGTCTTGTAATACCTCGTGTAGTACATACATAGCAGGAGGCGTAGCACCAGACATGAGCCGCAGTAACGAAATCGAGGAGCGGTGCGTAGTGCGTATCCTTCCGTTAACGATGGCAAATGAACAATTGCGATGTTTATTTAGGTACATGGTCCTAATGAATGTTCAATCAAATCTCACAGAACTTTGTATATTTTGTTTTATGCGGTTTTATGTGCATAAAATCAAAAATGTTTCCTGCCAATTTTAATAACATTCTTGTTTTATGACACCTGTATGGGAAATTCCAAAACTTCGGAATGTAGTACCACAGACGAGACCACAGATTTAAATATTATATTTAAATCTGTGATAGTATCCTGTATCCAGGTCAATTTAGATGATAAAATTTAAATGAAGCATAACTTATTTTATTATTCACCGCGCAAGGTGGCGAGAATATTCGTTGCAACAATGACCAAATGTGGCAAATGTTTTCGGCTATACCTTCTGTCCGAGATACTGTCCTTGTATTACCTACTGGCTACTTGTAGTTTGGCGTAACGATTACCTACGCAACATTGAATTGTCATTTATGCTTTTATTAGAAGGCAATCCACGCGGCAATCAGATGCACTCGAGGTATTAGACCGGGAGATGGTGACACTTGTTGTGGTGTGATTTGCTACAAGTATGGCGACCATTCAAACGTTTAATTAAGTACTCCTCAAAACGAAAATGGTGCTAACTCTCTGGGAGTGGGGCCGTTATTGCGTGACGATTGTTTAAACATGTCGAAAGATTTAATGATTTTGGACAATTTGCTACACAAAATTCTTTGGATTTTCTGGTAGTCGGTGACAAAACAAATGACGGAAACGAAATGCCATACTTTTCCGGTGGGCCTTATAGCCCGCCATACTCATTTGAAAGTGTCGATTGTTTGTATTTTTTTTTGATGATTTGCTACAAGCTCATTTTTTTATGAGCATCAAGTCCTTAAACAGTCATTCACGAAAATCAACCTGCCATACCGCAGCGACGGACCCGCATAGCCGCCATACCGGCACAAAGATGTCATTTTTGTTAATAATTTTGGGTGATTTGCTACAGTATGGCATTTGGATTTTCCGAAAGTTCATGCTCCACATTGATCCATGATATATGTG